GTGGAGGAGAAATTGGCCAAGGTTTTGAGATTAGCCCTCACTACCATTGCTCAAGAATATGTTTGGACCCGAATGAATCGTATCGAATAATGGAAAAAAAAAAAAAAAAAAAAAAACAGATATCATGGATGGGTATCGAACCGGAGTTTAGAATATAGCCCATTTTTTCTTGTATTTTCTCCAGTTTGGTTTCGAGCAAGTAAATTCCAATTGGTTCTTCCTACTTTACATCATGCCGATGCAGAAAGTAGTAGTTATGCTCATCGTCTTTATGTCGGCGATGGTATCGTTACTTCTACTGTATGCAACTCGGTCACCTAGATCAGCGTCTTCATCTATGCAATCCGATATGGATGCTGTAGACAATCTGCTGCACCAACCTGTCGAGGAAGCTATACCGGCTTGTACATGGAATACCGCCACTCGTGATAACCTCACATTATCAAAACAGCAATGGGAGAAATGCCTGGACGGGGGATCAGAGCCGTCTGCTTATCTCTCAATTGTCATTGTGACTCGGATGGATGACTATGCTGGTAAGTGTATATTTTATTTAGCTATATTGGAGCTTGCTGTAGCAGCGGCGGCTAAAGCGAAGAGGAAAAGCCCATTGTCATATTTGGCAATTCTAAAACCTCACGTTGTTTTTCTCGATTTTGACCTTTTTCTTTCGGCTAGGGAATCAATTCCACCGGTTTCAAAACTTTATCAACAGTGCCTATTTACTTGCTGAGCATACAAAGGAGAACATCGAGTTGTTGATCATAGAATGGAATCCTCCAGAAGGCACCCGGCGGGTTTATGATGTTTTGGTACCTGAGTTTTCTTGTTGTTTAACCAAAAATCCAACTTTGGGGTTAACTTTTCTTGATATTCTGTCTAGCGTTTTCGCCGCTCTAATTATCTCACCTACCGAATTATCGCGGTGCCAAAAGCACTGCACAACGTCATTCCTAATGTAGGAAATGCCCCGTTGCACGAGTTTGAAGGCAAAAATCTTGGCATTCGTTTTGCCCGCGGAGAGTATGTCGTTTGTACGAATCAAGGTTAGTTAGTTTCATTTTGCTCGAGGAACAATGTTCTGTTGTTCCAGAAGATCTAACCTTCAACACAGACGATATATGGTCCCTCAATTTCCACAATGCAATCAAGTCACATTTCTTCCAGAAGGGAACCATTTATCTGCAGCATCAGGACCGTCATAATATGTAAGTCACCCTGGGTGTTTTTGAACTGGCTGGGCGAAAGACAAGACCGTACTAACTCTTAGTTCCCTTCCTAGACACGACGACTTGCCACCTTCCATCGTGAGACTTCCAGTATACCCAGACGATGACACTTTGTACAATGCCTGCGTACCTAAGCCGCAAGACTGGGGAAATTTCAGATCGGATGGTCCTATTGAAGTGAATTTGGACAATATCTTGCAAGTCGCTGATCAAGCTGGTGATTTTACACTGGCTCATAGAGACACATGGAAGCACGTCAGAGGATATCGAGAGACAGGCGGAGTGGCATGGTATGTATTGTACAACGTTATCTGATAAGGTTTTTGGTACTGACTCCGACGTTCATTTTATCTTTGCCACCAGGGTTGACATTGAATTTGTCTGTACAGCAGTATGGACCCTCGATCTAGAGGTACAATACATCAAAGACACGTTTGCCTGTCATCAAGACCATCCTAATATCTGGGAACAGACCCCAGAACGACATACAAATAATACAAACATAGATATGGGAGAGATCATGCGCAAGGAGAAGGTGTATCTGAATGACGAGGACAAATGGGCAATGCAACAAATAGACATTTGGCAATATGGATTAGATTGCCATCAATTTAATGGAGGGCTTTGCTGGTAATCAGAGCTGTTATTTTCTAGTTGATTTTTAATTTCATGTACATACCAATACACTGTTTTATGCTTTACAGTTCAGTTATTTATTTTATTTTTTGCGAGACAAATACTTAAAAGAAATAGTTTTGATTTTTTTTATAATAATGTCTGTGCATGTCGAAAAAATACTCAGCGTAGGTTTTACTAACGGCCGTGGATAAGACGTCAGCTTAAATTGACATGAAGCCTTCATTAATTCGGTATTGGTTGCACCAATCCAGCCTGCGTCGATTATCACTGAAACACGCGATGTGCATGCATGCAGATCCTTTAGGTGTGGATACTCTCCAACTGTTTGCATGCCGTAGTCGAAGCACTGATCCTGACCCCACTGTGTGTGAAAATAGCAAACGCTTCTCAAAGCCAGCTAACCTCTAGCTAATGAGGCTCAAAATGAAACGAAGCATGTTCAGCAACCAATGTGACAGACAGAAATAAGGTGAAATCAAAAATAGCAGCAAATGTTGATCCCAGCCAAAAACATCCCAAAAATTAATGCGGCTCGGCCAATGGTTGAGACTAAACCATGCAACCTTACACTAGCTCTCTGTAAGTACGCACAGATTCTTGGAAATATGGCACAGAGCTGAAGTACCGTTCCGGACAAATCAAAAAACACAAAACTGTGGGGTGTTCCCCTAAATCACGGTTACCAATGGCAAGGGAATGTTCTAGGGCATGAAATGTGCTGTTCACGCCATTTATGCCATAACAGAAATTTTTTGCCTCAGGGGGGAAGGTGATCCTCAGTATCATGGCAAAGGTATCTCTCCCAGTTTTTTTTTTACACACGCCAACCGAACCGTGGTAAAGCCACTTGGTATGGCTACTCAACCAGTTCTCCATCTTTTCAATTTAAAGGTACCTCCTTTCCAATGTCCTGTAGCTAGGCAATCTCACGAATCTGGTCTTATTGGTTAACTCTTTTTTTTTTTTTTTCCAAACATATTCAGCAGGGGTATGCTGCCTCAGAGGAAAGGAGATGAATTAGGCTGTGGTGAGAGGCTTTTATTCAAAGCGGTTCGTATGAGAGATGTAAGGAATTATGCCGACTGACTCTCAAAACAAAGGAATGAGCTGTCCAGCTAGTTACAGGGCAGTCGTATCCTAGCTAGGGATCTTTTGGGAAATTCTCTTTGAAAAGGAGCTGGTGCGAATGGCCTGAGTTTTTTGTTTTTCGTTAAAAAGGGTAAGGCAACCTTGTGTCTCCCTACGGTCAGTCAGGCCAGCTACGCCCTGTGTCAAAATGGTGCCAATGCCCTCGCCCCCTGCCCATATCCATGCAGTCGATGGTGCAAAGAAGGCTACCGAACGTGACTGGGTACATATTTTTGGAGCAAAGCATCAAACAAACATGCTTTTTCTCACTTTGGCGTTTTTCTGTCCTCACTACAGATCTCAAAAGTATAAATTAGTCTGCGAGTCCCAGTTTTTGGATCAGAAAAAATAAATCCACCTCTTTGGCCGCGACCAGCAAATTATAGCATTGCTCCCCACCTCTTCTCTCTTTTCTCAACACTTCACTTTTCCTAAGAAACAATGGCTGATCTCGAAAACAAGCAAGAACATCCCTACTACTCCAACCCCAGCCCTGTTCCTGCTCCCGCTCCTGCTCAGCAGGTGATTGCTAACCCAGGTCCATTGGGTCTTTGCGGCTTCGCATTGACTACCTTTGTCTTGTCTCTTCATAATGCTGGTGCTGGTGTTGCTGCTACTGGCCCTAGCAATGTCGTAGTTGGTCTTGCCTTCTTCTATGGTGGTCTTGTTCAGGTATGGCTACCCAAAAAATTTTTGACAGATTTTTTTTTGTAGGCCGCGTTTGTTGACTCTGTGTTATTATTTCTATCCACTCTGCAGTTGCTCGCTGGTATGTGGGAATTCAAGACTGGTAACACTTTCGGTGCCACTGCATTCTCCAGCTATGGTGGTTTCTGGCTCTCCTTCGGTTTGATCTTCGTTCCTGGTGCTGGTATCCTCGATGCTTACACCGCCAAGTCCACCGTCCAAAACTTGGAAAACTCCCTTGGTATCTACCTTTTGGGATGGACCATTTTCACTGGCATTATGCTTATTGCCTCCCACCGATCTAACTGCGGACTTGTTGCTCTCTTCTTCTTCCTCTTCATCACTTTCATTCTCTTGACTGCCTCCAAGTTCAATGCTAGCACTCCCTTGCAAGTCGCTGGAGGTGCATTTGGCGTTGTCACCGCCGTTATTGCGTGGTACAATGCACTGAGTGGTCTCCTTACCAAAGAGAGCAGCTATTTCACTCTCCCTACTGTTCCTCTTCACTAAATTGTTTCGTCTCTCCGTACACCTTACCAACCCCTTTTTCATAAAATGGTTTGTACCACAGCTGCAGGCTTATTTTCCATTCTTTAATAATCTTTAGTGAACCCGAAACGATAATAAAATTATATCCACTTATGTTATTTTCCCAATGTTGTTGTGTGATTTTATTGTACACATCGTTAATGGGCTATGCACATGAGAAACAAGGTCTCGCGCAAAAGCCCAAACATCTTAGTATGGAATGGCAATCGATCAAAAATGGCAGTATCAGTCCGACTCTGAGGCATTCTTACCCTCCAACCCCAAGCCCACTTGGTAGATGATTGCCCATCGGTGAGATCCACCTCATGCCGGCTTTGCCAAATTGGTCGTTCAACATACAAAAATATGTACCATGGAATAGCCACCAAAACAAGCTGATGTGCAAATTGCGGCGCAGCAAAGAGAGCATCCATGCTTCCGAGGCTCGTCTATTCCAGGTATTCCAATGGTGTGGGGAAATGACGTGAGTACAGAAGATACGGTACACACGATGCTAATAGCACGTTTGGGGGGGAATTCAAAGAAAGGAAAATGTCATTGTGATGATTGGCTATATTAAAATGAGGTTGAGAACGCTGACAGGCATGATTGACAGCATTGCTGGTATTGACCGCGCATAGGTGAACTCATTCGTCGTCAAGCAAATAAACAAGCCAGGAATAGTTTTATTCTTCTCAGTAGTTATCGATGCTACTGCTTCAAATTTCCTGACCCCTTACATTTGTCATAAAAATCTTTCATTGAATTCACGCTCTGGGACCAGTTTAGCGTGCAACTTTTACATTCAACTAGTCAAAGGTGAAAACCAATGCCGACTTCCAACGACATCAGTAGACCCATACCGGATGTGCCAAAAGTGCCTGCTCCGGCTCAGCCATCCCCTTTACCGCCTGAGCCTGATGCTGAGCCGGAAATCAAGTTACCACCCAATGTGGATACTCCACCGGATCACCTCCCGCAACCGACTCCTCCTCCGCAGGTGCTTCCACCCTACAAAGGGATACGAGCAACCCTCAAAGAGATATTTGAAAGTCGCAATGCCTCTGGATCCGATAGCGGTAAATCACCCGACAAATGGGATGAGTCGTGTTTTCAGTGGTGTAAACAGCAACAGGAGGCAAGAAAAGACGGCAAGGAACCTGCGTGCAAAATGGTATGCTTTCGACGGCGAGTTAATCAGTTGGTAAAGGAAAGCGATGAAAAAACCCCATCGCCGCCGGAACGCTGGAATCCTCTTCGTGGATTTTCTATTGTGATAGTGGATGGAAAGGCCAACTGTGAAGATCATGTTGACGGTAAGTCATAGCGAGACAGGATGGAAGTTGTAGTATGCAGCGGTTATACTCACACGATGGACATCTTTTAGATATGAATAAAACTGCCATGGATCGAGCGAAGTCCTCAGAGTGAGTACAATGAGCGTGAGGGGCCTACATACATCTATCTTGCCATTTACAATCATGTGTTACATTTTCCAGCAAAGGTCCGTCTGTGCATGAAACGGACATAGGAGAACAGTTGGAGAAAATTCAGTCGGAAGGTGAGTTAGCGGTTTTGCGTATTTCCTCAACTTCAAATGACATACATACGGTCTGTAACATCAGCTAACCAATCCGTTTTCAGGGGAGAGACTAGTCATCAAAACATTTACCCCGGTGTATATGCTCAGTAAACGATACATCGATTCTTGGTCGGATGGAACGCAAGCAGCCTTTTTTGAACGGTTTACAGAAAGCGTCAAGCGAGCCGACGCATACCACATTGTCCGAGACAACGCCAAGAGAGTCTACGAAAATGCATTCAAAAACAGCAAACGCAATGATAAAGATGATAATGAGAAAGGAAACAAATCATAGAGGTTTATCTTTCAGCAGCAGGAATTGTGGGTAGTAGTAAAAACTTTTATATATATAATATACATTTTTTTTTCTTATGCGCTGTAACTATACACTTTATAACTGTACATAGGATTTAGGATATATAAATGGGACTTGGTGCACCCGAGGATTTCATTAACGGAAAATAAAATGAGCAAGACGCAATTACTTGTTTCTGGAGAACAAGCTGTTCTTGGTCTTGGACTTGTCCTTCTTGAACATGTCGGTGAAGCTGTTGGACTTGGTATTCTTCTTGGAGCTGAGAGGGTTCTTGACCTTGGACTCCTTTTTGTTTGACTTGAATGGGTTCCTTGAGTTGGTCTTTGAATTGTTATTGGGGAGGATGCTGTGAACCTTGTTGTCTGACTTCTTATTACCAAAGAGAGATCGAGAACGAGTGGACTTCTTTGAGTTGCCGTTAGAAAGGATGTTCTGAACCTTGCTATCGGACTTCTTATTACCGAAGAGAGATCGAGATCGGGTGTTGGACTTTGAGGAGTTGTTAAGCATTGTGTTGTAGTGAATGTTGAGTAAATTGAGACTTGCCAGCTTCTGTATATATATATACACACTTCTTTGTACCACCATGAAACGGAAAGTCAAAGATTAAATTATTTTAGGGTAGGTGGTAATGAGGTCATCATCGATAATTCTTTAATTGGGAGACTTTGTACACCATTTCTATGTTTCTATCGGTTCGCTCATACATGACTTGGCAATGCCTAATAAAGTCCAAGCCTTCGTATCCCATGGCGCTAGGAACACAGCGCGCTGAGCTGCGGTGATGATATCATGTCGCCGATCCGGCGGAGGAGCTTCTTTCGCTTTACGTTTTCGGATTTTGTTATGCTCTCGTTGTTGAATCAACGCTCGCGCAAAGTCATAGTAAGCAAGAGATTTTTCTTGCGCCGTTGCACTGCTTGATGCGGCTAGCATAGATAGGCTGGTGTTGGATACAGCAATGGTGCTGCTCAAATATGGAGCGTTGCTGTGACGTTTCCCTATCATCTGATCGGCCATGGCTGTCCACAATGACGCATTTGCTGGCGTTTGATGGACCAACTTGGCAAGAGCTTGAATCGCACCTTCCGTCGATCCCTGAAAAAAAAAAACCCAGGTTAACAATGGATGATAAAAGAATCCGTCATACATGGTTTGTGGCGCTTACTTTTAATTCATGATATTTACTCAATAGCCATCCACCGTTGTTTTCATTATCTATGAAGCCTAAACAGGTTATAGAAATTTAAACCAGACTTAGGTTTTATGCTTTTCAATAACCTTCTACCACACTTTTTTTTTGCGTACCTGCTTTACCAAACGGTATCTTCATCATCTCTTGGACAGCGGCCTCCGTCAAGGTGTCGTTGTCCTGGATCAATCCCATGGCGCACAGACCAAATATTGACGCCAAATGGTATGGGTTGTCTCCGATACTAAGCGCGATTACGAGGTCAGATCCAGGTCATTGAAATCGATATATTCGGATAGAGTAAACGTTCTACACTTACCATTTGAAGAGTTCCTGTTGGGCAAGATCTCGTTGCTCTTCTCCTCCCAGAGCCCAAAGAACTTGACTTAATAGGACCGATACGTTCTGTCGCATCTCAGCACTCTGTGTATCGGCGTTGGTCAAAGCTTGTTCGAACATAGTCAGCGCTTCCTCTAACTGGTTATTGAAGTAATAAGAAATTCCAGCTCCGAGTTCGCAATATAATTTGGCACCATCATCCTGTAGCGAATCAATAGCAATGGTGTAGCTTGAGATTGCGCCTTCGAAATCGCCGTTAGCACACAGAACTCGAGCAAGGTTAGCATGGACCTTAGAAATTCGCTCTTGACAAAGGACAGCCTGCTCTTGGTCGCGCTCCATGCATTCTTCAAGCGCAAGGATAGATCCAGCATATGCCTCTGCAGCTTGTCCAAACTGCTGAAGTCGCTCCAAAATAAGACCATACACATTGAGAGCGGCAGGATTGTCTGGGTTTTGTTCAGTAAGCTTTTGCAAAGCAAAGGCCGGTGACACCAGTAGCGAAGCGTCCGAAGAGTGTGGATGAAGTGATACTTGCGAAAGTACAGAGCTTGCGTATCCGTAATTTGCATCAAGCTGACAGAGCAAGGAAAATCAGTATATTTTAATATCATTGTGTAGTCTAGCGTTTGGTCGTCGCCATACAATTCTATAACAGCCACATGCGCAATACTTACAATCGTTCCATTGCTGGTGTCAAATGCGTGCTCAAACAACGTTGAAGAAGAGTTTCCCCAAATATTCGCCACGTATGCCTGTCCAATCCAAGATGAAATCCATTCGGGGTCTACCGCCTGAGCAGCATCGAATGCGGCTGATGCAAGCTCGAGATCATTTTGTAGGAGGCAGAGGTACCCGTAATTACTCCAAGGGATAGCACTCTATATCAGACGATATTAAATTGGGTCCAAATAATTATATGCAAAAATAGAAACCAAAAATAGCCTGCGCTTACCCTTGAGTTATATTCCATGGATTTGATAAAAGCATGTTGGCTTATCTTCACATCGTTATTCAATGCAATAACTCCCAAAGAGTTCCAAAAAGTGAAATTTTCTTGGTCATGTTTAAGGGCCACCTTTATACACTGAAGGGACAGTTTCATGTGGTCTTTGTAAACGATGTCGTTGAGGTTGTTCTCAGCTAGCCAATGATATGTCAGTCCTAGGTCATGCCAGTAAGACGGGGAGACGGATCCTGCCTTGCTTGCCAGATAAATTGCCTGCTTATATGCAAAAGTGGCACACGACAAAAGTACATCTAGGCACTCTTTGCGTGGTAATGTGAAGTCGGGATCGATTTGCAACGACAAAAATTCAGCCACGAGATCAGAGCTTGTGTCTTCTGGTAGCTTTAGAAGTTCGTTAGGAGTAGGTGAAAGAAGGCGCATGATATGTTGCAAATCCTCAAAGGCAAATAAATGTGAGTAGCTCATGACCGTTCTATATTGTGTGAAGGTACAGCCCACAAGCTGCCAAAAGGATTCCATCGGATGAATTTCCAGACCCCGTAAACAGGCGTTGAGTGCAGCATTGTATGAATCTGCAGCGCGTCCATAAAAGCCTTGCTGAAAATTCTCCCTCCCTTGAAGTACGTGTGCATCTGCAAGTCCCTTCAAAGCTGGTATATAGACTGGCTGTTGCTGTTCTTCTGCGAGGGCAAGAGTATCGGAATATTGTACAATGGCCTCCTCCAGAAGTCCGAGTTTTTGCTTGACTACAGCAACTTGATAGCTTGTATATACATTGCTGGGAGCAAGTTCCCTGGCTCGGACAAACGCTTTCATAGCAGCTGTATACCGTCCTTCTTTTAGGTAAGATTCAGCCAAACCTTCCCAACTAAGAACGTCATTGGCATCAGCACGTAGAGCGCTTTGAAAACTAGGAATGGCGTTGAGACAATCGTTTTTCTTCATACGTAAAAATCCAAGTCGTCGCCATGGCCAGCCTGCTCTCGTTCGTAAATTTGTAATGTCTGTTAGAATGACTTCGGCTTGATCGAGTTCTTTATCGGCAATATGGTAGTCTACAAGGTGAAGAGCAGCGTCTAAGTCAGCAGGATCCAGCATGAGAGCCTTTTGATAACACTTCATAGCCTTTGCATGATCCTTGCTGACCAATCGATAAAAGTGTCCGAGGTAGGTGAAAGCAGGACCGAAGTGAGGATCGATTTTGACAGATCGAATAAAGCACTTATAGGCACCTTCTTTGTCATTTCGATACTCGTCTAATATCCGGCCATAATGTTAGCATTTGCAGTTGATATTGACCTACAGACAGGTCGCCGTGTTAAACTCACCACCCATCTCCCAGTATATTCTGCCCAATCGGTAAAAGTATTCTGGGTTTTCTTCATCCGACGTTTCAATAGCCTCTTCAACCAGTGACAGTGCTTCATCAAATTTGCCCTGCTGACAATATATCCATCCAATCTCAACTTTAGCCGAGTGCTGTGTTGCATCAAGTTCCAAAATAGATTGGAATTGATCAAGTGCATCTTGTTGGCGATTCAAAGAAGACAGTATCAATCCATAGCCCTATTCATATCATAGGCGGGTTAGTCTCTTGGCATAGAGTGGAGCATCCAATTGAAAAAAAATAGCCACTTACGTTCTTAGCCGCAATATTCTCTGGGAACTTTTCAATTATTTTTTTGTACAGTGACATGGCGTCAGGGAAATATTTGGGGTCTATTTTGCGATAGCATGTAGCCATACATAGCTCCATAGAGAGAAGTACTCTATTCCATGTCGTTCCAAGTCAATATGGGGCATTGTTCACAATCATTCATATTCATTACCAACCTATCCAATAAGCGGCCATAATTCTTTGCATCTTGAAGGACGAGATCCCTGCCTTTGGTGGAATACTCAAGTCCTGTTTCGTATTCTTTAGAGTCGCAGTACAACCAACTCAAGCACTGGTAGCCGAATAAGCTCTCTGGCGCCAGCTCAATACCGTCCTGCCAAAAAAGAATAAGAAAGAACATACGGGTGAACAACATATCGTCGAACGCTCGAGGAATACTTACCGAGAAAAAGTCAAACGCAGAGTCACCATCACCAGCTTTATACAAATTTTGACCTTGAATAAGCTTAGACAATCCAGTATCAGGAAACTTGGCCGTGTATTGTTCACAAAAGGTCTGATCATAGAGATCTACCACACAAGGTTAGACGATAGGCAGCATCCATTCACATCGTTGATTGTTGCTTACCATAACTTTCGACGTTACTACTCTCAATCAGAAACTCATAAGGCTCCTGGACATCGACATTGTGATCGCACAAATGTTCTGCCAATTTACAGAGCTTGAGATAGGTCTATAGGGCGGGCGTTAATGATACTCCACAGCGAGATTTATATCGTTATAAATCTCAAAGAATCGTAATGGATAAAAACACATACCTTGCTCTTATCTTTCTCAGACACAATGCGTTTTCTCAAGAACAAAAAGTATTTTGTCTGGATAGCAGTGACATCGGCACTGGCATCGGATTCTGCGTCTTGGAGGACCGTTTCAAATATGTTGCCCAAATCTGATTTGGCCGTGATCTCAGCTTCCACTTGAGCTCGTAATTTGGCTGGCGGGCCAGCGTTAATTCGCATGCGTCGTGCCTTGATCTCTTTCTCAATATGTTGCTCTTCTTGACGGCTTTTGAGATCGAGGATTTGCAACCAGATAGTACTGGCTTTTGGTAACGAGCCCGCTGATGTCAATAAATCATAGTATTTGCTTCCAGGTAAATAGTAATAGAGCGCTTTTACAAACTAGAGAAGAAAAACGCCATGTCAGCCCAGAAGGATTTGGCAAAGACGCATTGTGAATATCCGTTATAACCAGCATTGTTCTCGTACCTTCGTCTCATCGGCGTCTTTGTTCTGGTATATATCGACAAGCTTCTGAATGCTTTCGTAAAGTCGAACGCCATCTCCAGCTAACAGATATGTGTCGATTAATTTCTCCAAGGTGATGGCTAGTTTCGACCACTGTTCACGTTTCTCGTAAAAACTGACTAGACCCTGCCACGCCAGCATCTGCTCTGGATTGATCTCGATCGCCTTTTGGTAGGCATTCTCAGCATCTTCCACTTGGTCTAAACCATTATGAGCAACTCCAAGGAAGACGTAGCTATGGAGAGAGGAGAAGAGTTAGATCGGAGAGGAATTCGGTTCTGTTTTTGACTCGCTCTAATGGAAAGTAGAAGGTGAACGTACGCGTTGTAATTTTGAGATTCCCAATCCAATACTCGCTTGCAAAACTTTATGGCATCTTCATATTTCTTTGAACCAAGTGCTTCTCGAGCATTTTTCAAGTTAGCCTTCGTATTGTTCATGGAGCATACAGTCGGTTCGTCGTTGTAGTATATCGGACAACGGTTTCGCCAATGATGCCGTTTAATGTCGGGTTAACAGTCACGGCCGAGGCAAAAAGGCGATTGTTCAAACTACGGTATTACTAAGGAAAGCATTCTTTGAACAATACCAGTATTTCTATGGCAGTCGACGCAGCAACCGCTTCAGAGTCAAAAGAGACCCTCAAGCCGCATGATAATGGCAAAGAAGGATTGTCCATTTACATTGACCCTGTCACTGGTCAAAAGATCCCAATGAGGGATGGCAAACCATGTCGTACATGCGTAGACATGAAAACGTGGAAGCGCTTGGGCAAAGCTGCCGCAGCAAAGACTTCTGAACAAACAGCTTCGGTAGCTAAGGAGAGCGAGACAAAAGAAACATCTAATACTAAAGGCGAAGCCATTGCTTCCAGTGCACACGAGGACAAGGTGTCTACACCAAGTGACAACGCAGAATGGCAACGAAAAAATTGCCCTCCAGACGTGGAGGCACTTGGAAGTTCGACTTGGACTTTACTACACACCATGGCTGCTTATTACCCGGAGCGACCTGCGCCATCTCAAATGGATTCCATGAAGATGTTCTTTGAAGGATTTGCTCAACATTACCCATGCTGGTTTTGCAAGGTGAGTAGAAGCTTCGTTTATTGAAGATCATGATGATGGTTGCTTATTTTTGTGTTCTCCATCGCCAGGATGATTTCCAAAAGTCAGTAGCCGCCAATCCAATCCAAGTGGGAAGTCGCAAGAAACTGAGCCAGTGGCTGTGCGATCGTCACAACGAGGTGAACGAGAAGCTTGGAAAGCCAAAGTTCGATTGCTCCAAAGTGTTTGAGCGTTGGTTAGAAGGACCTCCTAATGGCAAATGCGACTGAGCGCTTGACGCAAGACAACGTGGCTCTTTGTAAATTTGACAAGCATTTGTTATCTCAGATGCAGCATTACATATTTAAAATAAACCAATCCCTAGACATCAAATTTCTACATCACCAATTTCTCAACCCTGTCCTCTATCTTAGCCGCGCATCATGCTACTCAATATTGCACCTGAAGTAACGGCAAATATATATTCACATATGGATATCGAAAACATCTATCGCATACGCGGGGTTAGCAAAGATTCCAAAGCCATTGCTGAACGAGCCATTTGGGATCACATTGCGCAAGAAGAGCATGTCAACTTGCGATTAGGGGAGAAGGGCAGTAACGTGTCACTGAAGCTTTATGGACATTCTTACGACGCTAAGAATAGAGTTATAGAGTTCCGGCCGAGGGAAGATATAATGCTCAATCTTACAGATACGTTGGCCACATCAGGCGATTTAATGCTGCGCACATTACAACTGTGGTTCAGTGGATGGAAACACCACCAGCTATTGGACCAATCCACAGAGACCTTCGAGACAGCAATGAGGACAATGAATCGAACAGAAAATGCAAACATGCTTTTCCACGAAACCTACAATCCGGCTCATGAAAAGCTCTATCTCCTACCCTCCGTTCATGACCTTGGCGACCCCGACCGAACTCGCTATGTCGGAGATTCCGAGGTGGTCTTAGCACTGCAATACCACACAGACAAGGTGCTGACTCCATACTATTCTCGAACTGCGAATGGTCTTGCCAGTATAACCGCACTTGCACCTCCTCCAGAGCGATCAGTCAAGATCATTTCATTACACGTCTCAATCTCATGGATCCTATCTGGAATCTGCCAAAACGTTTATCCCGTTGAGATTTATGCCTCCTATCGACAGCACTTGTCCCGTACTCTATCAGAGCACTATGCATTTACATACAACCCCAATTGCGAGCAAGTTCTCGCATGGTTGATGTCGGATAACGCAGAAAAAGGCGTTGTACCAGAGGCGCTCATAGCCTTCTTGAAGGAGCACAGCCACGAAGCTCTTTCAAGACAAACCGAGGTGGAGAGGATGTTAGAAAGTGCAGGGGTAGACTCCTCTGTACTGTGGAAATACGGTTTCGCAAAGCGATGGCTTGCTGGCAAAGGAGCCTTTGTCACCGAAGATGTAGTGAGACGAATTCAGACTATGGAAGAACGATGGCAGAAAGAGCGGCAGTCGCTCATGAGACGCCTAGCCAAAGTCAAGGCTAGCGAAAGAGAATTAAGAAACCAATAAGCTTCTTCTGTAATATGACATTTTTTATGTGTTTCTTTTTCTTTATTTTTTCTTAAAAAAAAAGTCGTTTTGTAAACGTTTAATCATTGCGGTCCATCATTGTTGCCGGCAATACTTCCTTTATACTGTACTTCTATGTCTGATACTTTACGGTGCATACTGTATGTTACCAAAATGATCGACCTCGGCTATATTAAAATTGATTTATATTACAAAGATATGGTGTTGAAGTTGTATACTACAGTCAATCATCTACCGGCTACGTGAGCTAGGGCACGCTGAGGCGTAATGGCCAGGCTATGACCAGGAACAACGATGAAGTGGAGAGAGAGTGTTAGCTGCTGTACGGTATATCACCAAGCAATCATAAAGAGCCACGTACCTTTCCACATTGGAAGCATGTACTGCCTCCAGATACAGCAGATTGTACATTGGTGTCTTCTGTCAGTTCGAAATAATTGCATCGAGAGAATTTCGACTCTTTTGGACAAGACCAAAACATCTTGCCACGATTCGCACTGTTGGCTTTGGTGATCTTCTTCGATACCGCTATTAGACCACAACTGCATGTCTTACGGGGTTCCGATGTACTACCTCCCATTTCATGAGCATTTCGATATGTTCTCATTGTAGTAGGGGACTAAGGAAAACAGGATATAGGAATTAATGCGGGGGGGGCAGTCATATTGCCATACAACTTCGAATATTTACCGTATTCATGATTAAAGCTTGAGTTGCTGATAATGCAGTATGCGATGTCGGTTCGTCTTGAAACTCGAAAAACCCACAACCTCCATTGTCATTTGCAAACGATGCTGCGCACTTGTAGAAAAGCCTGCCCTTATTTGCACCTTCCTTGATCACCCGTCGCTGAATAGCTGGCTGTCCACAACCACACATGGGTGCTGAGGTGGAACTGGAGGATTCTTGATGATGATTAAACGTAGTCGATGACGACGTGGTAGCGCCGTCATCCTCCCAAGCAAAGAAATTACATCGACTGTTATCGTCTTGTGGAAGGGCACAGCTGAAGAATGTTCGACCTTGGTTTTGGCCCTCTTTAGCCACAGTGCGAGAGAAAGATGGTTTATTGCAGTCGCAATTAGGTCCGGTTGTTCGCGGTGGCTCGTCAGCCCAGGCGAAGTATCCACATTCCTTTGTACTGTCGCCGCATCGGAAAAATGATCGGCCTTTGTTAGGTCCATCCTTTTGAGCAGTATTTCTTCGACTTGGAATACCACAATTGCACTTGGGATTGTCAATGTTTCCAGCCGCCCAGCCGTTTGTCTGATTGCCATTGCTGCCGCTGTAAGGCAATGTGCCTCCTCCACCTGGTCCTGATCCGGGTCCATTACCTCCACCACCACCACCACCACCTGGTCGCCAAGGACCACCGCCGGAAGGTCCATTTCCACCATCGCTTGGAGGCGGTGGTGGATTTCCATTTGAAGTGGTACGATTTCCTCCTCGGTTGCCGACGTGTCTTCGGAATGACTCTATTAATTTGTCAAACTCATTCGTAGACTTGGTATAGATATCTCGATATCGTATTAAGCTCTGTTGAACTACGTTATCCCTCGAGCGTTCTCCATTGCATATTCGTTTCAGATCCGCCTCCATCTAATCAACAAGAAAGATTAAGTCAAACAGGTCAAACTGAAGAGGAACTAGAAAGTAACGGTTTGCCTGTATGCAGTAGTTACCTCACGCCTTAAGAAAGGTTTTGTTAAACTGAGATCGAATCCAATTTCATCATATCCTAGAACAAGAGCAATTCCAGTCGGTGACGGATGGAAGTAGTGTCTTTGTTTGAAAACATACTCTCGATCGAGAATTTTTTTGATATGTTCGTGAATGGTTGCATCTGTGCCAATTTCATTCTTTTCCATGAGACCAATCAAGTCAACTTCAGTCAACATTTCTGGTGCGGTTGTGGTGGACTCAACCATGTCCAACACAGAAGGTATAAACGTTTGATTTTGTTGAAAGTTTGGAATCTGAGCTGCAGCCCATTTGTCGTATGTATAAATATCGAGGTAATTTCGTTCCAAGACCACTAGACCTTTGGCATCAAACATTTCCTCGGCAATATCAATTTCTACAACGGTTTCTGAACCTTTCGCATCTTTTGAGCATGCAGCTAAGAACGATCGCGCTATAAATTCATACACTCGTCGTTCATTGCCTGTCAAATTGCCTCCTGAACCAGTAGGATGAATGGGAGGATGGGCTTTATCGTTATTGCGTCCTGATCTCGGTGTCTCGAATCCACCGTTTAACAACCTGGATAAGAGAAGAAAAATCAGCGCAAAGTTAGGCCAGATTCTTCCATTCGTAAAATTTTACCCTTGTGCGTGCACTCCCCATGCTGGATCATCCGATTGCTTTGCTATGAGCTCTTGGAAGTTAAAGTTACCGTCAAACTGATCGGTTTCTGTACGCGGATAGCTGATGAAACCCTTGGTATAAAGTTCTTCTGCGACCTGAGAGTAAAAAAATTAAGTGCAACGTTATAATGCCGAGAAGATGGGGAGAGGTAAACATACCGTCATGATTTGATCTGAAGTCATACGAAGAACACGACATGCTGTCTTTTGCATTTCTATAGTTGTCAGAGGCAATGGCTTTCTAAAAGGATATATAGGATTAGCTTTGACTTTGATCATTTGGGTGCCTTCCTATACTTTTGCTTGAATATAATTTTAACTAACCGTTTGGAAGTCATCTTTTGGACAACGCGAGTGACCAGAGCAATGGGATTCTGCATACATTTATCGTATATAACAAAACACATTCGCCTATCAAAAAGACGGTTCCTTTTCCAGTTGAACGTTGTATTTAATTGCTGATGGTTGGCTGTTGGTGCGACGTGCCGGCTTTGTAGTGTTGGTTGGGAGGATGGTGTGTACTTGCAATCTAGTTTCCAGAACTTTTCAGGCACAAAGTTTTGAACAGCAAGGTACCGGTCAACAACAAACCCTAGAGTTGGGAACTGACAGCTACCGTAGCTCAATAGCTTTTTCTCTTCAGCACTGAAAAAGCTATCTCGTATCCTCATTGTCATCAAGCGAGTGAAGGCAGCTCCCGTCCGTAAATCTAGTTCGGATCTTGCTTTGACGGCATTCACTTGTCGCATATCCAGCTCTGTAGGATGCTGAGCAGCTCTATGCAAATCTCTAGGAAACAATAATGATCCGGTTTTGTAAGTTGTCTGATCATTTTATGAAAACGGAAGGGGAATGTACATACACTGGCTGCATAGCAGAAAATCGAGCTCGCCACACTTGGATATTCCGTCTGACTGAGCGACATATCTCGGTAACCTCAAATCCAATGGCTTCACCTTCACGATCGCAATCCGTCCAAATAAATAAGGTGTCGGCATTGCGCACTTCATTTTTCAAGTTTCGTGCAATGTCCTTGGATTTGTCGATAACTTTATCAATGACAGGAGCGTCAAATAGAGTATCAGGTGGGCAGGAATGCCAAGCTCGGTATTCGTCAGGGAAGTCGGAAGACATTACGTGGCCGATTAAGCTGGTCATAGTTATTGTGACATTGCGGTTATTAAGACTGTAGTCGAAATCATAATTCTTTATGTATTGTACTGGTGACGGTCGCTGTTAAAGGGGCCAAGTTACATTGTTGAACTACATTCACAGTTTGTCCAAGGACTGTATCCTATACTTACAGTCTGAAATCTCCCTTGAGATAGAATTCCAGCGATCTGCTTAGCTGCGCTGGGCTTTTCAGCCACGCACAGTATGTGCATGAGATTGCTTCCAAAGTACGTGTGGCAAAGTTTACGAAAAGCGTGTCGCCTATGTTAATTATCGCGACGCGAATTGGCTGGCAAAAATTTGAAAAATACCGCGCCTAGAAATTTGTGGGCTAGGACGCAGTTTCCAACCGCGAAACTTGCCCTGCTTTATCCATATTCCTGCACAGCCTTGAACTGTAGAGGAGATAGTCAATATAAAGATTCATAATGACATTAGTGGAATAAGCGTAAGGTAGCATCAATTAAAACAAAAGTGAGAACTTGTAAGTTTGGCAAATAAGGTGTATATTGTGTTGCAGTCTCCTCGCAACGGTGGTAATAAAACAAGCGTCGTCGTCCATTCAACATTTTTTGATTATTATGTTTCAATCATTCACCGATATTTATGGTATGTTGACCTCAAGTCATGCACTCCACGTGCCGTAAAGAGGTAACACTGACGTGACCCGTTCACCGACCGATGAAATAGGGCTGTTCTCGTGAAAGTGAAGTAATCGCTATAACAAACAGCTGCTCTCTTTTTAGAGTAGGGAAATAATACTGCGGAAGCAGATAATGTTATTCACAACGGGGGCCAGCTGGCCAGAGCCTGTTTCATAGAAAGTGGTGCAGAAGCATCAATTCACAGTCACGTAACTTCGTTCGCCTTCCACCCAAAACGTCCCTCGCAGCATAAACCTTAACAGTGAATGAGCTTGCTATGCCCTACATTCCCGCCAAGCTCTTATACACTTTCTTATTTGCTTGTCAAGGATCGGCTCCAGTATACCTTGGGTTATTTTATTCCGAGCAACTTGGGCTAAAGCGGGACCAGATAGGTCTTTTAGCAGCTATAGGTAAGATAAGAAATTTGACATACTGACTACCGACGGTGTGTGTACTAATGGGCTTGGCATTCAGCACCATTCGTTTCAGCCATAGCATGCCCACTATGGACGGCGGTTGCAGATAAAACAAAAACCCATCGGTATATAATGTGCATCATACACACTTTGGCAACCATCGCCATTGTCAGTGTCATGGGCATTCCTGTGGTGGTTCAGAACATTGAAGACACGAAGGCTCGAAATACACTTACAATCGCCCTTGCTGGAACTGCTTCATTGTGTTTCGCGTTCTTTGGCGTCCCTGTTGGACCTCTTGTTGATGGTGGTGTACTCAAAATTTTGGGCAAGAATAAGGACCAGTATGGTAAGTATAAGGGAACCAGTGACGGTGGTGTGGCAACAATTGGTTGACAAAGGCGGCATTGTTTTTTCATCCATCATAGGCCGACAGAGAATGTTCGGTTCCATATCCTTCGGAATTGCATCCTCTCTAGTCGGAGCAATTGCGGATTGGACACAAGATATGAATGCCATCTTTTACGTGTACGCTACGTCGTCTATATTTTTCATCCTGGTGGCAGGCAACACCTTCTTTAAGGCAGAAAAGGTTGAATTGATATCCAAACCATTCCTGACAAGAACCAGTTCTCGCAGCAGCGGATTTCGAGCTAGTCCTTCGGCTAGTAGTGATACTGTGGAGGTTGTAACGCATCCTGAGGGAGATGGGTCTCGGGCTCGTCGCAAAGTCATCAGCACATTTTCTGTTCAAGACCCTGAGGAAATAGAGAGCGACGAAGATGATCTCTTACCTATTCGAGAAAATGAAATTCAGCGACTGATGCAATTCGCGACGGAATCTAGTATTATTGAGGCCGTCAATTTGAGTAACCCGCCTGCATCTCGAAGGCGATCATCAGCAGGTGGAGACAACATGTCGATCGACAGCAGTTACAGCTCCATAGAACCCGCTCCTACGACGTTCCTGGAACTAATAAGGCAACCGCCCGTGTTTTTGTTCTTCATTACTATGATGCTTATGGGAGTTGCCATTAATATGGTGGTCAGCTTTTTCTTCATCTTTTTGCGAGATGAGTTGGAAGCCAGCTCGACTTTGACTGGAATGACTGGGTTGGTAGGAGCCGCCACTGAACTTCTGTTCTTCTTTTACAGTCGCGATGTAAGTCCTGTTAGATGAGTTTCAATTGTTTGTAATATGTCGCGCCGACCGACCTTACTGATGGCTATTTAGTTAATCCGAACCATCGGGATCAAGAGTCTAATCGTTCTAGGACACGTTTTGACGATTGTCAGAGTGTTCGCCTATACCCTTTTACCTAAAGGTGCCAGCGCAGCATGGATTGCTCTAGCTTTACATCTTCTTAATGGTAAGTGACAAATACTTGGCTTTTTGGCAAGGGTGGGAAGAAGTCCCACGAATGTTTGTTAGTCTATTTGATCGAAACTCAGCAATTTTCTCCCAGGCATCGCATTTTCAGCACTGTGGGGTGCTGGTGTAGTTCAAGCGGATGAATTAGCGCCGCCGTCTTTACAAGCTACATCTCAAGGTGAGTTGGATGAATCGCATTGCACAATATGAATGCAGGGTAGGGACAATAGTGAAGGCTGATGTGCAAATCGTTCTCCTTTTCAAGGTGTACTTGCTGCCATGTATGCAGGGATCGGTGCTGGTTTGGGCAGTTTAATAGGAGGTGTCATTTACCAAAACTTTGGGGCCAAGGCGATGTTTTACACGGTGATCGCTGTCACCTCGTTCAGTTTGGAGCTCTACTTGGAAGTCAACACACCCTATGGACTACGAAGTTGTTTCAAAGCCATGGTTAGAGTTGCCCACGGTATCTGGCAGTGGATTGAATACAAGCGAGGTCGAGGTAGAGTGGTACCAAGATGGCGAGCTGGCGCTATACGACTGGATGACGAAGAATAGAACTCCACTCACAACACATTGCACATACGCACATTATGCCGTTTCTTGCTGTTTTCTCTTCCGTTTAATTTCCTTGTATAATCACAGAACAGAACTTTAAAGTATTTTCGGATGTGCATGCGGTTCGTTACCCATTAATAACATGTGTGAAGTAAGTGTATGGGAAATAAATCGCTATTCACCGAAGAGGAAAGCCTTCATGCTACTGTATATTGTCTATCTGCTAGTTACACGTGTTACCATGAAGCATAGCTTCATTAACCACCTAGTGTGTTTTGATTTGAGCCGCTCCGACCTGCAGATCTAAAGTATGGATCTACTGAACTGGCTGGATTACTAGTAATTACCATAAATTGATTGAATTCTCAAGTTTCGATATGACATAGCTGGACGTCTACTAGTCGGACCCCCACCCACTCTTTCCAGACGACGTCTCTAATACTAACGACATGTCTACACGATCATCATGGTTTTTTTTCTTTCAGGGCAAGGCAAGCTGAAGGGTAAAGGGGACGCATAGAGGGGTTGGAAAAGAGCAAACACAAACATGTTCTACAAGTATAAATTTTTACAAGCACCATGCGTTATTTCCCTCTACAGTGCGACCCTAAGCGGAGGTGGAAGAAGTAGATAGTGGTGGACCTGGATAAACTGAAGGCAGGGACGGCCCCGTCAAGTATCTACCGATTGTAGAACCCGCTAAAAATCTTGGGTGAGGTACCAATGAAGTTTGACTTGCTCCCGTTATAACGCTGGCAATATAATTTTTAATACTCCATGACTTTAAAAAAAAAAAACCAAAAAAAAAAGGCGTGCTGGGAGCTGAGCTGGTCATCATAACCTGGAGGGGGTTTCAAACTCCATTGCCCAATTGCCGATTATGGTGGTTGAGAGGACTTCCTGTAATCTTAACGCCGGCAAGTCCTGATGCTTGCGATAAGACAACGGAAAAAGTTAAAGCTTCCATCTCCCAAGTAAATAATGAGGACCGACATGCACGCCATCATAAAGAGATATCCAGATATATACAAATTATTGCAAATAGGCAAGTTGCCCGGGAGGTTGCGAAAATTCCCAGGTCCCGCGGGCGGACCTCGCGGGGAAGCAAGTATAGTCGGATTATAAGCACTAATTTGAACTTGTTAGTAGGAACGGGTTAAAACCATACCCGATCAGATCAAAGATCTCTACGTAATAACCCGTGTGGGTCCCTCTGCACACCATTCATCCAGACGATTATGGCCATCGTCGAAAGTCTGGTTGAAGAAAAATGTACCCCGGGACATTCGCTTTTTAATAGATATTTTTTATTGTAGAAGCCACCCATCGTCGGGTCCGAAACAAGCAAGTACGGGTTATGCCACCTAATCTGATGCTGAGCGTACAACGTCTCACCAACATGGCATTGGAGCTCACTCACCATCTGCCATCTATAGTGGTGGAAATATGGTTTGCTACAATTTTATAGAAAGATTGTCTTGCTTTTCATGGGGTAAATGTCCCATGGCCATTAGGCAGGAAGTGGGACTAGTGGTTCAGCGGAGTTTGTCCCCAGGTTCGCTCGCTGCAATGGGTTGCAATTTTTCAACCCAGCGAGCCCGTCTGCCTCCACGTGGCTGTCGCACTAAGGACTTTTTTGCACCTTTTCAAACTCCCAATCGGTCCATGATAGTAAGCACCGTCGTAAGAAAATTACTGACTGCTCTAAAATGGCTATTGGCTGACATAATTCATCTGAGCAGGGGGAGCGCAGGCGGGTAAAATGCTTCTGTTTATTCATCATTGCGTGGTGCGCGCGCGCACTTTTTCTAGACTATCTCCATGCAATTAAAAAAATCTGTCTCAGGATTTTGCCAGTACCTGATTGGACTCAATTAGTGTTGATCAATCAGAATGAATTAAAATAAAAATAAAAAAAGCTGTCTTAGTTTCAGGAAGACATCGTAAGTTTGCTGGGGTTATTCAGTTTACCCGATTTACCCATGTAGCCGTGATCGGTAGTAAGATGTCCCCCGACCGAACATAGAGGTTCGCGGTACGGCAGATCAGTACACGGACGAATTCTTATGCTCCATTCGATCCGTGCAAGAGGGGAAAGGGGACGGGTCAGTTGGAGGGCAGGAGGGAGAAAAAATGATACCATAGACCATCACGTTTTGAAACATTTGGGCTTGCTATTCGTTATGTTGCTGAAACGTATTGCGATCCTTTCAAACAAGGCAAGGTGTTTCAATGCGAAGTCGATCTCAAGCAAACAGTGGGCAGGCAAGCAAACGGGTTTTCGGCCGGTGCAAAACTCTTTTACTGATCGATACGGGTGATTGATTACCAAGTAGGGTAGGTAGAGCCAAAGCTTGCTAGAACCGTTCCTCCGATTACGGCGACCAGAGTTGAGTATCTCCACGTGACCTTAATGGATGACATCACTTATCAGTGCCTGAGTCGATCAAGGCAATGGTGAAAATTTTTTTGAACGAATGAAGCGCAGTCGGAGTAACCTGGTCGATGTTTATAATTGGTGGGAGGAGATGAGACACTAATTTGTGTCCCGAGCCATTGACGGAAGGTAAAAAAAACGTGCATTTTCTAAGGATCGTTCTACAGAATATAAAACTACAGCGTATTTCCGCCAACCTCACTTTCCCGTTTCCTTTCCTTCCTCCCTTTCCTTCTTTTTCATCAATCTTTCATTCTTTGCAATGGCATCCACCGATCCCAACGCCGAGAAGCAGGAACCCAAGGTTGAGCAGCAAGATGCTGCTACCAACGTCAACGTGCCTAACGGTATGTCCCTGACTGTTGAGGAACTGTACGATAAGGACAAGTTTGATTTGTCCACTATGGAGCCTGGCGATGTTTTCCAACTTTTGCAGTACGTATCTATTTCAACTCTCAACCGATTGTCCACCCCTCCCCTTCTCAAAATATCACGGCAATCCCTTATCCCTATTTGTTGATTTTTCCTGCCATTCTATTTCCAATGCCTTCTCCCTCCTTCATATTTTCTGTTTTTAAATTACAATCAACTTTTATTTCCTCTCTTTGCCGTTCCCCTTACTTTCTGTTCATTCTTTTTTCATCTCTCCCTACCCCTGATGAACGATCTGTTTACTAAATGATACTGCTTTTATTAGAACCACTACCGAAGGTTTGACCAGCACGGAAGCCGCCGCTCGTATCGAAAAGTTCGGTTATAACCGTCTTGAGCATAAGGAAGTCAATCCTTTCCTCCAGTTCTTGGGTTTCATGTGGAACCCTCTCTCCTGGGTTATGGAGGCTGCTGCCATTGTTGCCATTGCCCTTTCTAACGGTGGTGGTCGCGCTCCCGATTGGCCCGATTTCGTCGGTATCATTCTCTTGTTGTTGGCTAACTCAATCATTGGTTTCATGGAAGAACGTCAAGCTGGTAACGCTGTCAAGGCTCTTATGGAGTCTTTGGCTCCCGAAGCCAAGGTCAAGCGTGATGGTGAATGGAAGACCATTGAAGCTGCCGAACTTGTTCCCGGTGATGTTATTTCTATCAAGCTTGGTGATGTTATCCCCGCTGATGGTCGTTTGGTTGCTGTAAGTAAACTCAAAAAAATTTTTGTTGTTGATTTTCTGCTTAGTCGCTGTTGTCTCGTCAATGTTTATGGTTGGCTATGTATCGCTGTGTTTAAAATATTCGTGTTCTCATTGGTCAATGTTTTTTTTTTTTTTTTACTTAGGCCCACGGTCAAGTTTCTATCGATCAAGCTGCTTTGACTGGTGAATCCCTTCCCGTTACTAAGGAAGCTGGTGATGAAATCTTCTCTGGTTCCACCTGTAAGCAGGGTGAAGCTCAAGCTATCGTTATTGGTACTGGTCTCAACACTTTCTTCGGTCGTGCTGCCAAGCTTGTTGGTGATGCCAACGATGAAATGGGCCATTTGCAAGTCATTCTCGCCAAGATTGGTAACTTCTGTATGTGCACCATCGGTATCTTCTTGGTTCTCGAAATCTTGGTTATGTATCCCGCTTTCAAGTACGACTACCGTCGTGGTATTGACAACTTGCTTGTCTTGCTCATTGGTGGTATTCCCATTGCTATGCCTACTGTCTTGTCCGTTACCCTTGCCATTGGTGCTAAGCAACTTGCTGAACACAAGGCCATCGTTACCCGTATCACTGCTATTGAAGAAATGGCTGCTGTCACCATTCTTTGCTCTGACAAGACCGGTACTTTGACTCTTAACAAGCTTATTGTTGACAAGCCTACCGTCAAGTCCTATGCCGACTACAACATTGAAGAAATCATTCAATTCTCTGCCTACGCTTGCCGTACTGAGAACCAGGATGCCATTGATTTCTGTATCTGCAACTCTCTTCCCGATGTCAAGCTTGCCCGTGACGGTATTGAAGAAATGGAATTCAAGCCCTTCAACCCTGTTATCAAGCGTACTGAAATTACCTACAAGGATGCTGAAGGTGTCGTTCGTCGCGTCACCAAGGGTATGTCCCACACCATCTTGGATCTCTGCACCCGTGATAAGACCGAAGAACAAATTAAGGCTCTTAACGATGATGTTGATGAATACGCTCGTCGTGGTCTCCGTGCTCTTGCTGTTGCTATTGATGAAGTTCCCACCGGTGGTGTCGAAGATGAAGGCAGAGGTTTCAAGCTTGTTGGTCTTCTTCCCATCTACGATCCCCCGCGTTCCGATACCAAGGAAACTATTGACCGTGCTATCGCTCTTGGTGTTTCTGTCAAGATGATCACTGGTGATCAACTTGCTATTGCTAAGGAAACTGGTCGTCGTCTCGGTATGGGTGACAACATGTTCCTTTCCAAGACTCTTAAGGATGGTCCCCCCGCTGGTTCTGGTTACTCTGATATGGATGAGCTCGTTCTCCAAGCTGATGGTTTCGCTGGTGTCTACCCTGAACACAAGTACGAAATTGTCGAGCGTCTCCAGAACATGGGTCACATGACTGCTATGACTGGTGATGGTGTCAACGATGCTCCCGCTTTGTCCAAGGCTAACGTCGGTATTGCTGTCGCTGATGCCTCCGATGCTGCTCGCTCTGCTGCCGATATTGTCCTTACTGAACCCGGTCTTTCCGTCATTATTGAAGCCATCATTGGATCTCGTCAAATTTTCCAACGTATGCGCAACTATTCCATCTATACTTGCTCTGTCACCATTCGTGTTGTCGTTGGTTTCGCTATTCTTTGCTTCGCTTTCGAGTTCGATTTCCCTCCTTTCCTTGTTCTTATTCTCGCCATTCTTAACGACGGTACCATTATGACCATCTCTACTGATCGCGTTCGCCCCTCTCCCTACCCCGATCAATGGAACCTTCGCGAGATTTTCTCTTATGCTATTGTCTACGGTATCTACTTGACCGCTTCTACCGTTGCTTTCTACGCCGTTGCCTTCAAGACCACCTTCTTCCAAGACAAGTTCGGTGTTGCTGCTGTTACTGGTCCTAATGATTGGGTTCTTCACTCTGTTGTCTATCTTCAGGTCTCCACCATTTCCCAGGCTCTTATTTTCATTACCCGTTCCCGTGGTTTCTTCTTCACTGAGCGTCCCTCTGTTATGCTTATGTGCGCTTTCGTCATTGCTCAGCTTGTTGCCACCTTCATTGCTGTCTATGCTGACTGGGGTTTCACCAACATCCAAGGATGTGGTTGGGCCTGGGCTGGTATTGCTTGGGTTTGGAACATTATCTGGTTCGCTCCTATGGATTTCGTCAAGTTTGCTATGCAACGTGCTTTCGAGCCCAAGAACACCCTCAAGGAATCCGGCCATGCCGATATGCCTGGACGTCGCTCCCGTCGTTCCTCTGCTGTTTCCACTGGTGCTGCTTCTGCCCGTTTCTACGCTAACCGCACTCGCTCCCTCAAGAGCTTGGAGCAACCTCGTAACTTTGGCAAGCGCATCTTGGGTATGAACAAGAAGATGGATGCTAAGGAAATGCGTCGCTTCTCCTCTGTCCAGGTAAGAATTAACTCCTCACACCTTTTTTTTTTTTTGCCTATGCCATTTGCTAACCTACTCATTCCCCTTTAGACCAACCACGCTGCTCAGATCTTGAACTCTGACTCTGCCCCCAACGCCAGAGCATAAAGCGCTTAAAGTGTATATAATCCATATTTTTCTTTCTATACAAGAACACCCATCCTCCGGTATATCCACATCAGAAGAAAAATCCCCAATTCATCTATGAGAAAAAGAATCAATAACCAGCAGGTTTGAATAAACTATAGATAACCCTCGGTTTTAATCCTTTTTTAATTTCTACTTCTTTTCTTTTCTTGCGTATTTTATCCTTTCATGTGAAATACCAACTTTTTATTGTAGACGTTCATCAGTACAACTACCTTACCACCCATCAATGATTGTCATATAGATTTCTGTTAAAACATTGTTAACAAACTGTAATAGAAAATGGACATAGATCAAAAAAACACCAACTAGCCCCACTTGATGGATGATGAGATATGGTAATCAGTGATATCATCAATTTTTTATTTTTGTTGATCTTAAGCACATTGAAAGCATTGCTTTCACGGTAAGCGGAATGGGGTTTGGCTGATAAGAAACCAGAACAAGCGCCGCCATTATGTGGGTGGTTCTTTGTTTGAATAGTTTGGTTATCCAAGCTGCCCTCGAATCAAGACGGACGGGTGAGCTCCCAATTTTTTTTTTTTTTTTATGCTCCAGCCATTTGTCCGAGCAGAGCATTATGGTTGCCAGGCAGGCTCAAGCTTACCCCATATGGACAGCCATGTTCTCTCAATATTCTCCTGCGGGCCTTAAAAACATCCCACCCTATTAAACTGTCCGACTAGCATGATGACTTGTCTTTGGGTGCATTGCACTGATTGGACCTGGGTTTAAACACGGACTCCTCTTCGTAAACAAGTGCTATGGTATCGCGGCGCTTTCTCGGTGTGACTGAGCTAAGAACAAATGAAAGCCGCCGGGTGCTTTCAAGACAATAAAGTTTAGGTTGAGTTTTTATTTGGTCTCGGTACTGTGATAGAACTTTGATCATAACATAATGTTATAACGGAGAATTTGCCTGCTGAGCTAGAGCTTAGGACGCCGGTCGTGGAGTTGATTAATTTTCACGAGCTGTCGGCTCAATGTTTTTCGGCTGGTCCCACCAATATGAAACTGGTCCCATGGTACGGGAAACCTCATCACACGCGCACGAGAAATAGAATGGTAATGAAGACATGAACTTTATAGATAAGAAAGCTTTTTTTTGGGGGGTTGTGAGAGGAGTAGGACAGTAAGGTGGAGAAATGAACAGAGAGAGGGGGTAAAAATTATCACACAGAGAATGAATTAAAATCAAGGCAAGGCAAGAAAATGGATGATAGAGCTATTATACAGAGATGAAGTTTTAGATTTTTTCAAGATGTTCTTTCTTTTAGGGGGGATAAGGCGAATTATTCGCTTCATGATGGGAAATGCTGTCGAAGAGGAAGATCAACTTGTATCTTCGACCATGGGGAGATTCTAAATATCTCTTCTTCATTGATGTGAGGGGGATGCTGTAGGTGTAGGTTGATCTGAGGCAGTTTCAGGTGTGACTCCCAAGACAGCTTTCAAAATGGTACATCGACGTTCAAGCATACCAAGGAAACCTTCCATTTGGGCTCGATTCATGCGACTCAAGAGTTCTCGGAAACGACCGTCTTCAAGACCATCTAATTCCTTTGAACTAGTAAGTGCTGACGCTGGTGCAATGGGTTGAGGTGAGGACGCTGCAGCGGCGGAAGCATATTGTTGTTGTCGTTGCATTTGTTCGGCTGCCCAATCTCGGCGACGACGCTGGATCTTGGTTTTACGCATAGCAGCCGGTCTAGCCTTTTGATGGAGTTTTGCGTAAAGACCACATGCATTGCACACAGGTTGACCCTGGGCATTTTTCCTCCATAAAGGAGTTTGCGTTTGCATACAATTGACACACTGAACGTGGGGTTCATCGTCATCTTGAGGAGGAGGGGGTGTGCGGGATACTGAATGAGGCTTATGGCGGATATGAAGTGGACGATGAGTCGAATACTGCTTATAATACAATCCACATGCATTGCAAAGTGAATGAGCCCTATCAGGGGTGCGACGCCACAAAGGAGTCTTAGTGACACCGCAGTTGTAACATGAAATGTTACGAGCGGGTCGACTGTGATTGTGTGGTAAACCTCCACCTGAGCAGGTAGTAGGTGTGGTGGGCATGGATGGAGGTGGGGTGGAAGGAGATTCCGATAGTAAAGGGGATTCTTGTGGAGAAGGAGGAGCCGTCATCATAGGGCAATCATCTTCGTCATCGAAATCTTCAGCTTTTATCAAATCTGAGCCGTCTTCATACGAGACAAACTGATCAAAGCTATCTTGATCTTGTTGTTGCTGGTGCATGAAAGCATTCATAACCGAGGAAGGATCAATGGTCAATTGATTCGAAGAGAAAGGGAAATCCAAACTGGCTCCAGCAGGGGGGCTGCCCATGCTGGCAGACGAAGAGGTCGGGGATGGCATGCTTTGGTTCATCAGAGCCGATTGAGGGGCTTGTAAGAAATCCATGATATTTTCTTGCTTGCCAAACTGGAACTCTTCCATGGAAGTGGCTTGAAGATAATACTTGTCTGAAGAACGTATAGAAGATGCTTGAATATTCTCGTTGCCCATGATATACAAAGACATTGGGCGGAATGGAAGAGTAGGGGTTGGCGCTCTTTATAACCGTGACGGTAGACTGTGGTAAAGAGTAGAACCCGTTGGACAAATAGTGTCGATGTTGGAGAGGAAGGGGTTAAAAAGAACACCGAAGAGGATGATGTCTAAGAGCAGAAGAAAGCGAAGCCAATAAAAAAATTAAAGTGGGGCGAGGGCGGGTTTAGCCCAGGGAAACATTTTATATCAAAGTCGCTGCCAAATTAATCATGTCCCAAGCAGTGATTGGCTGGAATGAACAACTTTACTGACGATGACTCTTTACTGGAGCTACACTCCGATACGGCCAAAAATCATCGGAATATCAAACCGACAGCGTCTTCGGCTACCCGAACTATTGGCTACATCCGCCCTCCTATTATAAGGTTGTTCTATCGACGTTTTTAATAGAAGTAAAGGAAAACGACAAGAGGAAAGCTTCAAATACAAAGGCTCAATAGAATAAACATAATAAAATAAAAAAAATTTTTTTTTTATCGTCTTTCTTCTTTGTGTTCCACATTATGGAGTGTGATACTGTAAATACGGACACAAACATCCCAAAATCAACGCCATATGGCCTCAGAACAACAATATGTCAATAAGCTTGCTTCGGCCTTAAGTGCTGCCCACCGCCCAGGCTGTGTGAAACCCAAGACAACAGTGAGGTTCATTTAACCAGAAACATCATCCTTGTCTATGATGATACAGCGTAACCGGCAATGATCTGACTACACCGTATGTTACATTGGCTGACATTTGAAATATTATATCTCCTTTTGCCTCAGCCAGGGCTCAACCAGCGAAAGGACGCTGTTTGTTGGTTCCAAGCTAGACAAAGTCAATGGGGCCAGTGCGGAGCTTTAGGGTTATCTTCATCCAATGGGATGTCTAGAGTGAATCTCCGAACGATGGCGTGCCTCTACGGTCGCGTGAACAAAAAAGCTGTTATCTGGGGCGGGGCTATCGCTTATCATGCCAATCATAGCTCACTATCTTGTCTGTCCGGTTGCACCGTTCAAATGAAATGCAAATTTGAGAGCGCGTTTTTTATTTCTTAATGCAAGTTTATACAAGTGAGATGGAAGATATATATAACAGATTCAGGTACATTTCATAGTTTGTGGTGAGCACGCCAGCGGTGGGACAGTGCGCGGTTGGACTCGGAGTCTATGAAGAATTCGTATAGGAAGCCGCCTAGAAGACCGCCTGCAATTGGAGCCACAACTGGTACCCATGTATATCCTTGATGAATAGTGAACACGTTGTGTCCCCAGCCTTTGTAGTACCAGATAAGATGGTGGTCAAAAATGGTCAATCAACTTTTTTCACATATAAGAAATTGGCCTATTATAAAAAAAAATTCGTTCGCTCTTACCCATTGCAGCCAGGCAACGCCCGCCAAGGTCAGCCGCAGGATTTAAGGAAAATCCTGTTTCCCATCCAAAGCTAACTCCAATGCTAACGATGACCAGGCCAATGACCAACGGTGAGTTTCGTCCGGCAGGCATATTATGTTCATCGCTTTGTCCAAGCACCACAAGAAGCATAATGGCAGTACCGATCAGTTCCACAAGAAAAGCCGATCCATTGCTCAAATAGGGGAGTGCGTTAGTGTAAAAGATGCTGGCTGCTACATTTGGATCATTCTGTTTGGAAAATTCGATAATGCTTTCGTGATATGCACCATAAACAATCGCTGCTCCGGTAAACGCCCCTAAAAGCTGTGACCCAATGTAGATAGGTACTTTTCGCCAGGGAAACCCTCGAAAGCAAGCCAGCGTTATGGTGACAGATGGGTTAAGATGTCCTCCCTATTTTTTAAAAGAGAAAAAAGAAAAAAAAAAAGTCCGCGTAGTCAGTCCACAGAAAGTTCTTTTTCACCGCCCTGCAGCTTGAACAAAACTCACAGAAATGCCACCGGATATATAGATAGGCATCATTAATGCCAATGCGCGACCAACATAGATGTTACCAGATTGACCTAACGAAAGTGTGTGCTGCGCAATGCAGCCACATGCCAGACATAGCAACACGCATGTCCCAAGGAATTCAGAAAGAGGCTCTCGAAACTGGGAAACAAAAATTTGACAGGCGATGTTAGTACCCTGTCTACTATGGATGATACCGGTATCTTAGTTTTGCTATCTTGTTTTTTTTTTTTTGTTGACTTTCTATAATGTTTAAATCCCAACCTTTTGTCTCCAGCGTCCAAAGGGATTCAGTGGGTTAGGAATGACCGTTTCGTGGCTTCCTGCGATGTCGGGTAAGGATGTTATAATAGTATGTTTATCGGGTACAATTGTTGCGGTTGGGCTATGTGGCTCCTTGGCCAGGATATTTTCTATCAAGGTATCAGCCATGGGTATAAATTAAGGGCCTTTCTAAGCAAATATCCAATCGATACCCTGTTATACCTTTTATTTGAATCGCCGACCTCCGTAGGCGTGAGAATACTTGTATATATCCTCACTATTTATAGGCAACTGTAACCACCAACTTTTGTTGCATATGGTTTTGAAGCAATATGTTTGCTCGTGTGAGGGAATATGGCGATGTTTTTGTTTATTCTTGTTAATTGAAGAGTTTAATTAAGTGTTTACGAGTGTCGGCGAGCATGTGTTAGACGGAAATGTTGCTGACCACATATACAAGGTCCGCGAATGGATTCCTATGAAATTGTTCCATATGGTACTGGGCATTCGACATAGAGCTTTACGTAAATAAATCATCTCATCATTATTACTGTGAATATTTGTAGCTCAGTCTGGTCGGATTGTACCATAACAGGCCACACCAGGCCCGGCCAAATGCTTGCATTTGAAATATCGTCGCTGGTGTTACCAACTGCGAGAAACACGGACTATGGGAATTTGGATTTGCTCTGGAGCTGATCGCTCTCTTCCGTTTACGGATATACTGGCGTTCCGATGAAGGTGGGATCCTCCCCGCACTCTTCACAACCCACACGTTCCCCGCCTTTCCTTTACTTTTCAATCTCCGGTTTCCACTCACAGGCGAGCAAAAAAGATGCGTTGTCCCTCCGTCAACTTGGCAGGAGCTTTACAAGACGGTAAACTTAGCCATGTGTTTAACCAGAGAAAAGCAAAGCTGAATGAAACATTTGTGTTTTATTAAACCAAGATAGTGGCTTAAAATGCGAGATGTTTGCCATAAACGCGATTTTTTGTTGCAAACCTTGGAGACAAGAACGTACCTCTAGTAACATCTACGTTGGGTGCTTTTTGATTTTGATAATGGCCGCTTTAAATACAAATTATACAACTGAAAATGCCGATGGTTGTACATGAGTGCACTGATGTATTCTCCACGTGTGGAGATGGAATGGCTTTTAACGAAAAAGGTTTCTGTGCAAGCGGACCTGCCTACCTATCAGCTTCCCAGAACATAAGCTTATTTCTCGGTGTCTCTTTTAACGTGACTTCGATGGGCATTCCTTACTGCTCTTAGAAACAAATAGACCACAGCATAAAGCTAATAAGTTTATTGAATGACAATCCACATGTTTCTTATGTTAGTAGTACTACAATCTTTTTCCCGCGGACGTTACTTGCATGCGGGCAGAGCAAGTGCGTCTCAAGACGTGATTGACGAAGAGTCCATACGATCCGGATAAACAAATTAAAATCTATTTCAAATGGGGAGCTATATATGAGGAGAGAGTACTGCTGGTGCTTCACGCAAGTAGACACAAGCAAGCGTGCTGCAAGAGCTGCACGATAGGACTGTCCAGAAGGTCTGTTTACTTTTCAAACGACCTCGGCGTTCAATAAAGAACTCAATATGAAGCTAAAGCACCTGAAATCATGGGTTATAACAAATACGTTACTGTCAAACCTCAAGTCTTTATATAATGGCCTCACACCATCAAAAGCTTACAAAACATAGATTTCACCTCGTTGACTGGTACTAAAGATTGTGAAAAGGCACCCGAAAATTTTCCAGAGAGCAGTGACCTCACGACACCTGACAGCGCGCTCTGCCTGAAAAAAATAATCATCGCGGCTCGTACTCCATAGATAACTTTGTCATAATGTCATCACCACCTGATACTACTGGTCTAGGTACGAAGATATCCACTTTTTTTCTTGCAGTTACGACAGTGGTGACGTCTCTATCTGTGCCAGCTTTGTTTCGTGGGTTTGAAATCGACAAACATTCCACACCATGAACTTAATGAATGAGCACGAGGGCTAGTCGGCGAACATTTTCCCACTGACCCACGATCCGTTTTCCAACATGCATTGACAAGTCAGTATCATTAGTCACTAATACATTGAATCTTTGATCATAGACGATGCAGCTACACGAAAGCGGGAACGAGCGACATCAGTAGATCCCGCTCCAGCTGAACGAAACGACGATGATGAGCTTATGGTAGGTGGTCCAACTCTGTGTAAACCCACGATATCCATTGATTATTCCTCTGACCCTACGTGATGTTATAGCAAAAAAATGAAGACGTTTCAAAAGCGCCTGTTAAGAAGACGTAAGTGACCGAACTCATAACCTACCAATATATACAAATATCACTTTGGCTGAAACTACCTTCCTCAACTTGTAGCAAACATGATGCCGATACAACCGTTCGGGCAATACGCAAGAATTTGAAAGATATGAAAACCACGGATATGACGTGGGCAACCGGAGAACAAGTGGAACACATGCAAGCTTTGGATGAGCAAAATGAGCCAGAAGATGTTCATATGTCAAGTTATAACGATAAGAAGAGAGGACCAGATGAAGTCTATGCGCAATCCAACAATAATACCACTGACGTTGAACAAGATTCGTCCAATACTGCTGCCGATGTCGCAAATGTCATCCCACCCTCATCACCGCGAAAGAAACCAACAAGAAGAGATACTCCTGAAATTGCAGCGATACAGGAACCTACCATCGCCACTACAACTGAAGATGTAAAGGAGGATGAGAGTAGTCAGGAAAGTGAACCATCAAGTACAAAGAAGGGTGGCTTATTCGCTCAATTTGCTGGAAAGTCCAGCCAAACCAATGGGGATGAATGGGATGACTTTGCCGAAGAATCAGCATCAAAGCCATCATCGCAAGAGAAACCAAAACCTCAACCGAAATATGCGTTTGGTTCATCGTCAGGTTTTGGTACTAAAGGATGGGGTGCTGCACACCAAACCGCCCCTGTGCCTGGTGGCTCGCCATTTGGCTCCACCGGAAAGGTGAGCGTCCAACACCGATTGACAAAATGCAATGCTTTGCCCCATATTTTGATTCTGACTCATCTCTTTTTGTTTTCTTCGTGTCAAACAGACTAGCTTTAGTGGATTTGGAAGCTCCACCTTTGGCGCCTCTAACTCAGTGTCCAGTAGCCAAGTGTCATCATCATCAACCACGCCATCTTTCAGTTCGTTTGCAAGCTCTACAGCATCCCCTTTTGCGTTATTAGCAGCTAAAGGCTCGTCGTCAAATGCCCTCTCCAGCCTACCTCAGCGATCCAACTCAGTAGAGAAGGACCAAACTAAGGCAGCCAAGTCAGACGACGAGAGTGACGGCGATGAGTCGGGCGACGATAATGACGAAAGCGAGTCAACCGGCGATCGAGGCATTAGCCCACAAACATTTGGATCCGAACAAAAAGTCAAAGTTCCTGGATTAAAGCCATCTGAAAGTAAGTTGATGGGCTATCCCTGGCCACTTTGCTAACGGAATATCCAACTCATCCCATTTCATTTTCATCAGTAACGACGGGTGAAGAGGACGAATATACCGTTCATACCGTCAAAGCTAAGCTTTTAGTGATGGATGGCACATCGGACAGCTGGAAGGAGAGAGGCACTGGTACTCTGCGTATCAATACCAAGAAAACCCATGGCAATTCTGCTACTCGACTTGTCATGCGCGCTGATTCAGTATTCCGTGTGATATTGAATGTTCCACTCTTTGTTGGCATGAAAGTTTGGATCATGCAAGAAAAGTTTGTGCGATTTGCTGCATTTGAATCTGTGGAATCTGTTGAAGTTGGCGATAAAAAAGACGACGCTGCTGCTTCCGGAAGTACCAAACTCGTCAATTATGCATTGAAGGTAAAGATCATCCACTTTTTGTTTCCGTGGAATGTACATCATTTCTAACAATGGGGCGTTCTATCTGACACAGGTGGGCAGCACAAGCTCTGCACAAGACCTTTATGATATGATAATAGCGCATCTACCTCGATCAGAATAATTCAAACAGTTGTTTGGCTCTCCCACCATTAATTGTATCGCACGGTAGTCAGTCTACCCTGTATTCGAGTAGATGTACACGTTGTGAAAAGAAGAAAATGATAACCAGTGGAAAAAAAAAACGTATACGTGGTCGATCTTGTGTAGTTTGGGCCTTTAATGATTCGTATAAATTTTTGGATGCAATGCCAATGATGTGTATAGCATTGTGCTTCTTGAAGAATTATTATCTTTGATGTGGCCCATCTTCGGGAGTACCATGATGTATCCGTTGGCATAAGTATTCCCAGCAGCTCATTAACAGGTCCTGCCAACAATAGAGCGATACAAGAAACGTCTTGAACGACAATTCTTATAAGTTAGTCCGAAAGCAACAGTAGCTATGTTCTAGTGATATGTCTCTTATAGCTCTAATTGCATTGGTGAGAAGGACGTTAAGATGCACTGATATCCCAGAAAAATTCCACTTTTCTAATGTCGTAATTTAGTCATTAAAATAATGTGACGTGTTCCGAGCGGGTAAGGACAGGCAAGGTCTGCCATATCAAGAAACGATTTCGAGGCAGCTGAGAAACTCCCTCTTTTCTAGTTCTGGTGAGCATCCATCCATCCATCCATCGTAACAGAGATAGCTTGGGAGAGAAACCGAATTCATCCATGTCATGATCGATCGAACCGCTGGAGATACGTACCCTCGACATTTCGACATTGGTGATTTCTTCTACGGTTGATGCAAAAGATTAGACATTCGGCAACAACATGCCCGATATGAAAAAGACCTCTTCACCACCCGAGGGATACTTACATTCGACATTCGGTGCATTCGCCCATTCCATTCTCGTCCTGGGAAATAGTTTACTACCGATTGATGACCCAATATCTAATTCGCAATTTTCCATTTAGACAAATATGGTCACTCCTGCTGTCAAGCACACCATTGTGAAGAAGCGCACTGCTCACTTCAAGCGTCACCAGTCTAACCGCTTCATGCGTGTTGGTGTATGTATACTTTTCTTGACTACACGGTCTATGCAAATCCGTGCCGTGATGCCCAATGTGACTAAACCTTTTTTTTTTTTTGGGCCATTGTAGGAATCCTGGAGAAAGCCCAAGGGTATTGACAGTCGTGTCCGCAGACGCTTCAAGGGCCAAGCTCCTATGCCCAAGATCGGTTACGGATCTGCCAAGAAGACCCGTCACCTTCTTCCCAACGGATTCCGCAAGTTCCCCGTCTCCAACCTTAAGGAACTCGATCTTTTGTTGATGCACAACCGTACCTACGCCGCTGAGATTGCCCACAACGTCTCCTCAAAGAACCGCATTGCCATCATTGAGCGTGCTGCCCAGCTTAACGTCAAGGTTGTCAACGCCAACGCTCGTGTCAGATCCCAGGAGTAAATTTCATATCAGAATAGCATTTGTTATGGCAGTTAAGAATTTGCTTCACAGTGATTTGATGGCTGCGAAACTATTACAACTGTTTTCGATCTATAAAGAAAATTTGTTTTATCGGAGGCTGTCTTTTTAAAATTATGCTTTGGTGGATGGCTCTTTGGTGTCAATGTGATCTTTTCCTCAATCGATTGTGCACTCATCATAAAATTGTTGGCCCATGTGGGTAGAGCCTAAAATTGACATTGTGCACTCCCTCGCCCGCATGGCAACAATTTTTTTTTTTTTAAAAAAAACTTATTCCTTTTTACACAAAATGATGGAGCTTGTCGTTTATATAGAAAAAAAATGCTATCATAGATAGGACGATGTACAACATTGACCAAAGAAAAAGTACATGGGAAAGATGACAAATTTTTAGTTGGCTTTGTGAGCCATCATAGCAATGACAGCGGCTCCAAGACCAGATCCGTCGCGAGCAAGAGAGAACTTGACCTTGTTCTCAATCTGGTCGCCAAAGAGTTCCTTGAGGCCAGCCATCATGTTGTCAGCAAAGTTAGGGTAAAACTCAAACACAGATCCATCAATAGCGATCGTGCAACCTTCTTCGACAAGGTTGGAGTGGGACAAAACGGCACCAAGGCCAGCAGCCGAGACTCTAGCAGCTCTGACACCAACAAATTCGCAAACCTTCTTAACGATTTGACGGTCAACCAAGGTAGTCATGGGAAGACCTAATATGCTTTCCAAAACGTGTTGGGTATCAGACAAGTCCTTGGTGGCATCTGATTCAATGGTAGACATGTATGCGGTTTCAAAAGCCCATTGCTTGTTGAGGTCAGGTGAGGAGAGGCCATTGAATAGGAGGGTTCTATCGATAAGGCTCACGAGTACATTACGTGTAATTTCTCCAAGGTACATGCCAGAGATCAACTTCTCATAGGTTTGGAGGCGAGGGTTGATGGATTCACGATCCAACTTATTGTCATAGGGGGTCAAGCGAATAACACGGCGTTCATTGTCGAACGCGCCCCACTCCATGTTGACAGCCATCTCCTTGGTTGCGGTGGGGCCTTGATCCCACTTCACGATCTTGTCCATAGTCTCATAATAAGCTGTATGATAAATAATGCTTATCAGCACGCCAATTTTGGTCGAAATTAATGAAAATGCGGAATGCCATTATCTACCTGCGTTGGTACCAGTACCGAGAATGACGCCCATGTGTGACTTGGGATCCCGATAACCATTAGCCATCAAGGTACCGACCGTATCATTGACGATCTGCAATGTAATAAGAAAAAATAAACAGACGTGGAGGAGAGGAATGTTAGATATCATAGATAGGGGGGATTTGCCAAAAACAAGGAGCTCTTCCCATGAGCAATAGGAAACTTACAGCGGCGATATTGACGTTCAAGTTCTTACGTCTGAAAGAATCTTGGAGCATAATGACAACGTCCTTGCCGACGGCACCGTGGCAAGAAAAGCCCTTTGTCCATTGCATAAGGGTACCACGGTTGATGGCAGTCTGGTTGACAGGGAAAGAGAAAGTGAAACCAAGCTGGAGGTCATTATCCAGTTTGTCTGAACCATTTTCAGTAAGGAAGCTGTCGACACAGTCGGCAATATAATCACACAAGTGTCGCATTTCTCCGGTCTTCAACTCATTGGACACGACAAACTTTTGCTGGTGGATAGTGACCTTGCTATCTCCCAACAAGTTAACTTCGCACACACGCAAATTAGTGCCTCCCAAATCGAGTGCCAGGTATTTGCCAGTTTCCTTGCCAGTGGGGCGTCCCTGTACGTAACTGGGAATCATGGCAACTGGCAAGGCACATGATCATATTAGAACCCATAAAGTTTTCGCACGAAACCCTCTGCATGAACATGGTCTCACTAACCTGTAGCTCCGTGACGCTGAAGTCCCTTGTCCATGTCCTCGTTGAACTGCTTGACGATGGTTCTAAGGTTTTCGGTAGAAACTTCGAATTCCTTGGCAATAGCGTTGATTGCCTCCTTCTGAGCACTAGACCCATCGACATCATGTATAGTGAACGCCGAAACCTTGCGGGATAACCAAGCAGACATGGTGGTTATGGATATTTGAGAGATGAAAAGAGAAGAGCCGCGGGTGAGGGGAACGTAACGCCAAAGAAAATAACAAAAAAAAAGGTGGGGGCGGCCTTTCAAAATATCACCCGCGATTCCCAACCATTTCCAGCAGGACCCCCACAGGTTACACCTCACAATTTTTTCTCTTCATCGAGGACTTTATTTACAGGTTTTTTTTACTCTTCACCAAGCGACATTTTGCTAAGGCCACCACTAGCATCATGCAGATTGAAATGATGACTGGGAAGTTGGTTGGTTCGTTGTTGTACTCGAGCAGCGGCATTGGCACTTGTATTTGTGGGGCTGGTACCATACATCATAAATGTGGCCGGGGGACTGGAGATTCCCGACAGCACAGGTGATCCCGTTAGTGATACGGACGGGGATACTGCTCGTCGTTTGAAATTACTGCCACTGACTTGATATTGTTCAAATCTGTCCTCCGACGCTGTGATGACAATCGATCAGTGGTCTAATTAGGTTTTACCGACGTCCACTACAAGTCCGAAATACCTTTACGCTTGATATGACGAAGACTTTGGTTGGTCGGAGAGGGGAGCGCGTCATATTGTAATAACTACAAAAAAAAAGAAGGGAAAAGAATAGCAATAGCCTTATCAGTATAATCGTTACATTCATCGGTACGTCCCACATTTTGCAGTTGTCTAACCGTCATCTCTATTTCTGGGTTAAGCTTCGAACATTGGTATGGTGACATCGTGGGGGAACCTTCAATTTCCTTTGCTCTTGCCCACGCGGCTGCTGGTACCGTAAACTGTTGTGAAACGGGAGACATTGATTAGCCACTTGCTACCACAATGGCCATGTCCCAAAATATATACCTCGTTTTTGTTGTTATCCATTTCTACAATCGATGATTTTCGTAGATTCTGCGTTATTTCTTTCTCGTGTTGTATGTCGAAATCAGCAGATCGAGTTTCTTCCTGTGATTTCCAAAAATGACAACTGGTCAGCATGGTTCACTTTAAATTTCAAGGGGGTTTATGCACATGCCTACCTCTAACTGGTTCATGATCCTCGCAAGTTGCCGGCCTTTTGGCTGTGTGAGGTGCATTCGACATAAGTTGAACGTTCCATTGTTGTTACAATGATCATGCAAAGGAACACTTACCAGCAATGATCCTCTTCGTGTAACGCTTCTTCGCTCAGGTCCGCCTCCCGTACTTCTCTCCCTATCTGTACCAAATGTATTCGGTATTGGAGAATGAGAACCCGCTGAATATGATTTCCTTCGTGATGTTGGCCCTACTGTAGAAGATCCGTCTATGCTACCGATTTCAGACATTGCATCTTCGCTGCTATTGTTTGTGGAACTTGTAGTTGGTACGGAGCTGAATGAGATTTGTGTGTCTGAATGACATCGTATCATCGATGGCCTCCGAATTTGAGCACTTTTATCTATATAATCAGCCAAAGGGGATGGAGGAGCTTGTCTCCACCTGAGATTATTTGCTCGTCCTTTGTCGTCAGAGTCTATACACATCTTCTGTGAGCTTGAAGAGCTACTGGATGATCTCCGATGTAACCGAAAATTGGAAGCTTCATTGTCGCTCATTTTAAAAATCACCTCCTCTTCATCACTCATTGTGTTCCTTGACCATCGCCGGGGTGACTGTGTAGAATATGGTTGGTAGAATTTCTCCATGTACGTTGTGTTTGTTGTGTCTGAGTACGGCTCTTTTTTCTCACAGAAAAGAAAATTTCTGATTGTCAAAGCTCTCGGGACAGCGTGACCAGTTCCGTTTCAAGAGTTGCGTTTACATCCAAGTTGCAATGCTTAAAGTATGACCGATACCACTGCAGATCAAGCTGTCATTCTATGGTATTTGCACGGCTGTACTACCTCGCACTTCAATCTCTCCAAAGAAGATGACGAACATCAGGTCCGGCGTCGGCAACAGACGTGCACGCAGACATTCTCCAACAATCTAGTCAGTTTAAGCAGCAGTCGAATTGCAGACCTGGTTAGAAGCTCAACCTTTCTGTATTGGAATACTGACTAAGTAAAAAGCTAAATCATAATTTTCTTGCAGATTATTCCACCGCCTGCCATAAGCCAACTATCCAGTCTTCATACAATTCATCTTCAGAACAATAATTTAACCTCCCTTCCTATGGAGATTTGGTCCCTTGCTGGCCTGCAAGAACTAAATGTTGGATATAACAAAATCCAACATCTCCCTCCAGAGATTCACCGCGCCAAAGCATTACAAGAGCTGTTTTTGCACAATAATCTTCTCACTGCACTTCCTTCTCAGATTGGAAGTCTTCATCATTTGAGAGTTTTGGATGTCACGGCAAACCAGCTTTCGGCCATACCTGCAGAAATTGCCAAACTCCATCTTTCTCATTTTTGGGTCGAGCACAATCTTTTTGCAGTCAGTCCTCCTCAACGAGAGGCTATAGATGGGCAACAGCATAATAGCATTGTTTCCTGTAACAACCAAGTTCTATCTCTGGTTTCAATATGCGCTCAAACGATTGGAAAATCAACCCAAGATTCAGGTTTCAGCATATTGCAGCACCTTCCTTCCACTATACAATACGATTTAGAGAAATGCACGAGGCAGGGCCTCATTTGCGCCATCTGTAAAGTGTTGATATTTCATCGAGGCTTACTTTCTTTGGGACAATCCAGGATTGCAGGGATGTTGGTACCGGTCTCCTACCATTGCTGCTCGCAAGCATGCCTATCTAAACTGTTAACGCGCACGCCATCCGAGAATATAACTGACTCTGGCGCTTATGACCATTTGGCAACCAGTAATCAAATCCATAGTCATAGAGCGTCATTACAGATTCGCATAGCATCCGATCATGATACCCTGTCTCTAGAGCGAGCGAGAACACTGTAAAAGTAGGCAGTAATAAATTTTTTTTATGTGTACAGTAACCGAGAGACTGATTTTCGTGGCAAAGGCAATCGACTCAGTGTGCAGTCACATAGCTCTTCCTTTCATTCCGCAATGTCGACCACCGCTCAGAGAAAACGACCAAAGTCGAATTCAATCGACGTGGAGCCAACGGCTAAGAAACCACGTCTTGAGATCGAAGCGGATGAGGCGGACAATGCTGTATCACAAACGCAAGACCATAGCGAAAGTCAAGCATCCAGTGATCTGTATTTGGATACTGTCAATCGCCAAATGCTAGATTTCGACTTTGAGAAACTTTGCTCGGTATCCCTTTCCAATTTGAACGTGTATGCCTGTTTAGTTTGCGGAAAATATTACCAAGGTTAGAATGGTGAAAGAATAGTGAGCGATCTACGTTGGTTTTGTATACTGACTTGCTGTTCACTATAGGCAGAGGCAAATCGTCACACGCGTATTTCCATAGCTTACATGAAGACCATCATGTATTCATCAATTTGGAAACTTTGAAGGTTGGTTCAATGTTGCGGAAATTCGATGGTTGTGTGGCCATGGTCACTGATTTTTTTGTGCATAGGTGTACGTTTTGCCAGATGGATATGAGGTTAAACACAGCTCTTTAGATGATATCAAGGTAATGTGTAACAAATCAACTTTTTTGAAAGTATCAAATACTAACTTCAAGACAACAGTTTGTCTTAAAACCAACCTTTACCAAAGAAGAAGTTGCCAAACTGGATACCAATACCAAATATTCATATGATCTCCACAATAAGAAATATCTGCCTGGTAAAACACGTTCATTGAACTATTGTATGGAACGCTATGCGCTCATTCTAATTGATGCTCTCTTGGCAGGTTTCCTCGGCCTGAATAACATCAAGGCTAATGATTATGTTAACGTCATCATCCAAGCGTTGATCCACATACCACCTATTCGTAATTACTTTATACTCAACACAAGCGAGACGAGCTCATCTTCACAGCTAGGTAATGAACAGGATGAACATGTTGTACGGATGAATGGCTAGCTGACATATTTACATTAGTTGAGCGATTTGGAGCACTTGTCAGAAAGATGTGGAATCCACGAGCGTTTAAGGGCCAAGTCAGTCCACACGAGCTGCTCCAGGTATGGATCTAGTTGAGTGATCCTAGGAAGGCGACAATATACTGACTCAATTATTGCAGGAAATATCGAATGCGAGTGAAAAGCGGTTCAAACTTACGGAGCAGAGCGATCCAGTAGAATTTATGTCCTGGTTCTTAAATACATTACACAAGGATCTCGGAGGCACTAGAAAGCGAACGAGCAGTAAGTTTTACAAATATTGCTCGTTGTTTGCAATGCAGCCCACACTAACTTGGTCATCTCCTCCACCAGGTATAATCTATAGAACATTTCAAGGAGAAGTTAAAGTTGAGACGCAGAGTATTGGTGTGAAAGAGACTCAAATTACAGAGGATGAATCATGGTTATTTGATGCAGACAGAGGTGAGTTTAGAAACTTTTATATGTTCATGTAGATTCCGTGGTCATCAAGCTAAATTTGGCCTCTTCTCCAGCTATAACAGCGAACCAGTCCCCATTCCTATTTCTTACATTGGATCTTCCACCGGCACCCTTGTATCAAGACGAGCTTGAGCAAAATATCATCCCACAAGTTCCATTGATCACCATCTTAAATAAATACAATGGTGTGCAAGCTCAGGTATGTATCAATCCAATGTGTAGCGTCTTGGACGAATGTTTTGCTAATGGTTTGATGATCAGGAAATTAAAGGGGATCTCAAGCGCTACCACATCACAAGACTTCCAAATTATCTTATTTTCCACGTCAAACGGTTTACCAAAAACAATTGGGCCAAAGAGAAAAACCCTACGATTGTTAACTTTCCCATCAAAGGTGTCGATTTGTCCGAGTGTAAGTACGCTTCTACGGAAGTGAGCAATCCTATCGCTGACGCACAGTTCTAACATTCACGCACGTTTAGTCTCAGACGATCCTACAGTGGAGAAACTAGGATCGCAGTACGATCTGTTGGCCAACATCTCTGAAGAAGGTACTGCTACTTCGGCCACCTACAAGATTCATGTACGAAATCGGGCTTCAGACCAGTGGTTCCAAATCCAGGATCTCCGCGTTGAGGAAATTCTCCCGCAAATGATTTTCTTGTCTGAAAGTTATATTCAGATCTGGGAACGAAGGAAAACCCCTATCAAGGGCAAAGGCAAAGTTGGATGAATAAAATAAAAAAAGAGCTGGTTCTATAGAACAACGAGCCATAAGTTATCATCATTACTTGATTTAACGCATGCATGGGGGTTGGAAACTTAAAAGAACAAATGGTTTATGCGCTGCTGCCTCTATGCCTAAATATTTTTAAGCAGGGCATAATGAGGGCTATTCTACATCATGGGAATCATTACATTTAGAGCTTAGGACCGCCAATACGAGTTCTCATGGAATCGTAGACGGAAAGAGCCAAATTATCAGAGGGGATAGATCCGGAATGGCTCTTGATGTTACGCATATCAATCATTTCTGGTTTAATATCAGCAACGGTGGGAGTACCCATGAGTCGCATAACCATTTCAAGCTCATCCTTGAGAAGTTGAACGAGTTTGACCACACCGTCGACGCCATAGGAAGACATGGCGTACTGTAAGTAGGGTTTAGTGATGAGATAAAAGTGACTTGAGGCGAATAGAAGAGAGCTTTAAAACTTACCAGAGCTGGACGGCCAATACCGACACCTTTGGCGCCGAGAGCGATGGCCTTGAAGATATCAGTGCCTCTGCGAATACCACCATCGACGTAAACTTCAAAGTTCTTGTCCAATCCTTCAGCCTTGAGGGCTTCCATGACTTCAGGTAAGATCTCAATTCCAGAAGGAGCGAAATCCAGTTGGCGACCTCCGTGGTTGGACAAAACAATACCTTGACATCCATGACGGGCGGCAAGTACGGCATCCTCAGCAGTCTGTACACCCTTAAGCAGAATAGGCATCTTGGTAATCGATCTAAACCACTTGACGTCGTTCCAGTTCAACGAGGGATCAATGAAAGTACTGATGGCTCTAGCAGCACCTTGTGAGCGAGTAACCTTGGCCTTTGATTCAATCAATTGCTCCGGGTCATCGGCTGAGTACTTCTGACGCATATCTTTCTCGCGGCGACCTTCATTACAACAATGGCATCAGTAATTTCAATTTAGGGTTACTTTTTCAAAAATATTATCTCGAGACATACCTAGTTGTGGGGCATCAACAGTGATGAAAAGACCCTTGACGCCACTAGCTTCAGCATGTCGTACGAGCTTTTCAGTGATGGCGCGATCCTTGTTGACATACAATTGGAACCATTGGGTTTGGTTTTGAGCTCTAGCGCCAACCAGCTCGTTGAACGAACATGACGCCAGTGTGGGAATCATTTGAATAATATCTTGCTCGGCACTTGCCAAGGTCAAGACCTTTTCACCATCGGGGTGACCAAGCTTTCCAAGTGCAGTGGCGGTAATGTACAAAGGCATGGATGTCTTAGTGCCCAGCAAAGTAGTTGACATATCCACTTTCTCAACATCCACCATCACACGAGGCTTGAGCCAAAGTCGGTGAAAAGCATTGTGGTTCTCTCGCAAAGTGATCTCATCGTCAGCTCCAGATGAATAATAAGCCCAGGCTTCGGGTTTCAAGACGCTCTTTGCGACACCTGTCAACATGCAAATTTTTTAGTTACATGATAGAAGGGAAAGGGCTTATAAGCAAAAAATGATACTGACCTTCGAAATCAAATGAGTTGAGCATTTCTTCCAAGTTAGGCTTGTTCTCATGGGCAATTCTAGACTGCATTTGTTCCTCGGTTTCCACCTTTTCGGTTGCCTCCAATTCTTCTTCATTAATTTCTCCCATACATGCCTCGGCACTCAAGTATCGATCAATGATGTCCGGAGGATGGATTGGGTCAAATGCATCGGTGGCATCCTGGCCAGCGTATTTAAGGATAATTCTGGGACCACCAGGGTGCTCTGGAAGGAAGTTGGTCAAATCGTATACTTTTCCGTGAATGACGATCCACAAGTCGTCTGTCGACATGAGAATGTTAGCGTTAAGAAGGAAAAACTGGTAAGTCAATGAGAGCTATACTTACCCTTGGTATTATGCTTTGCTACCTCTTGTAATGTAAGTGTTTTCATAATAAATGGGGTTTGAATTTAGTTAGAGGAGGGTAAAAGGGGTAGAGTGTGAAGAACAAGTGAAAAGGCGGGGATGAATTTTTTATGTTTGCCTCCACGGAATCTCGAACCTAAATTGAAAGGTTTACGGATGTTCGGATATCATGAAACGTACCTGTTTTTCTTTCAAGTCTCTTCCCTCGAGAGAGGTTCTCACCGCACACAACATAAAATGCACTGAGGTACCATGCATCAGACATGATGTCTTGTGCTGGAAGCCAACAGGGGTTGAAAATCGTTACTTTCCATAAAAGTAGCAAGTACTAGGTTTAGGATGAAACTAGCAGCTGTGAAACAAAGTTTCCGGATCAATTCTACAACGATAACCATTTTATTCGACATTTGATATATTCATTTGACGTTATTGTCAAGGAAGCGACCAAACAACTCTTCCATAGATATCGAACAATATATCGCAGTGAGGTCATTAATGGACATGTATATAAAGGGAAGGGCGCGGTGTAATGGAATTTAGGGCATCAGTTGGCTTGTCAAGAATTCATCAGTGAGCTCTTCGTTATCGCGAATGTCAAAGCCCTTAACAAATTTTATCCAGTCAGTACGGCAACTGTGATCATCAAACGTCTTCCATCGCCATACTTACTCTTGTAACATCGATCTTCTCTTGGAGATAAGTTCTAGCAGTCGCATACTACCACACATCTCCGTTAACAATCAGATTTCGTTTTCTTAACCAAATTAAAGTATAACCTTACCAGCATGTGTAGTGACGGATTGACATCCTTTGGTGACCAATAGATGAACACTAGTGGAAAACTCTGACGTCCATCCTTGTGCTTGAGCTTTACCATAGTAGGGTTAAAGGATAAGCGACAATTCGAGAGCAAAGTATCAAATGGAAAAGTCAACCGCATACCTCATAGCTCAAAATGATGAATCGTGGGGCGTTTTCAGGTAATTCTAGACAGAAAAGTTCAATACACCAGCTTCTCCAACGGTTGCCTATCTCACACCTTCAATACCTTCCACCAGATCCTCTACGCTTATGTCGTCGTACTCTTCATCTTCAACAATTTTCAAGTTTTTCTTGTCCACTTTCACTAAAACGAAACACAGTTAAGCACTAGAACCCTATTCACCTTCAAAGCCATGACCAGCACTCACACACAAACGCAGCATTGCCCTGCGAGTACTTTTTGAATCGAAATTCCTTCAACTTCTGAACAAGCTCCTCATCTATATCACAAGTATTTCCACTCGACTAAATAACGTTAGTATTCAAAAAGCAGGACAAAGGTCAGTCTTTATACTGATCTAATCACCATTTTATTCTGCAAAACTTGGATCTTGGCGGGAATGAAGAGGAAAGCTGGAAGCGGACTTTGCGTCATACCCAGTTATGATTTATTGAAACGGATTTGGGAAAAAGAACGTTCACAAGTTGTGCGGTTAAATCAGACACTGCGATATCGGGATACACTATCTGAAGTTCCTCAAGAGACTTGTTTCCCAGTAGTATGTTGGTGAACGTGAGGGGAGGGAAGTGAATCTGATTTGATACTGGCTGTTGACGATCGGTTGGAAACCAGTCTTCAACTTTGCTCACATGGCCACCATCGATTTGTATCCTCACTCCCATGTATTTTTTCGTGTAATTATGTATATAAAGAACTCCATTGTAACAGCTCCACGACTTTGCATTGGCAAGACGGTCGTTCAGAACAGGAATGATATGCCGAATAAAATTAGCATAATTCGGTATCCGAACATACGTGGAGTAAGCTTCGTCAGGCAATGAAGTATAACTTCGGTTGCAACTAGGAAGGCTGTTGAAGAACGGATGCCATTCTGAAAAATGCCAGAAAATAGCGGTTAAGTTTTCACCGGATTTTTCATCGTAGCTGCGGCTACTGTACTGAACAATACCACGTAAAATGCTGTTGATAATAGTGGGCAGGTTGATATTAGGTTTAAATGCGATATGGAGCACACTTATAGCAGAGGAATCAGCATAATTGTGCATTATGAAATAACCTATAGCGTGACCATCGTCCTCGAACATGACCACCCGTCGCTGAAATGGACTCGCTGTCGAATTGATAGAGCCTTTGATCTGAGTTTCAAGGTATTCTCTACGCAGAGGTGCGTAGTTGCAGCTTTGCAAACTCAGCACCTGGTCGAAGTTTAGAATGATGTCCAAGTCTTCTAATGTTGCTGCGCGAAGGGTAGTCAATTCTTTCTCACCACTTTTGAGAGATGGAATTGAATTTAACCAAGTTTTTGACCGCTTTCCAATATCCAGTGCATATTCGTAATCAAATTGTCGGTAATAATATGGAATACCAACAATTGTCTGCATTAAGTCGCCTCGTAGGTCACTTGCTTCATGTACAGCATCCATTATACGAGGCATCAGGCCTTGATTTCGATATTCGCTGACCACGCCAACGAACTCCACTCTACCAATGGAAAAACCAATGCCATTATAAAGCTGCTTATCTTTCCACAAAGTGGTGAAGGCCACAATTTTGTCGTCTTTTGTATTTGTATCTGTTGCAAATACGGTATCTTCCGGAGTCATGAATGAGCTCTCGCCAAGAGCCCAGCGTTTGTACTGATCACGAACCAAATAGGTGACAAAATCGATTTTCTCGTCTGGAGGTTGAAATACTGGTTCCATTGCAGAGCATAGTCGATCGATGTCGTTCTTAGTAGACCACTGCAGTTTAATGCCGTTGTCGCGCGAAGTTGCCATAGAAGACCGATAATTTGATTAGTGTGAAGTTGGTACCTGCTTCGGTTTGGCTTGGCCCAGCTAACTGCGGTGTATCCTAATTTTCGAAATTTCATTTTCAAAGTCACACGCGGAATTTTTGTCTGCGATGAAGTCATTATATAAAAATCTTGACGGCCTTCAATATCCTTTTTCGCCTATTCCTTGCACAAGGAATCGCCATGGCATTAATATGAATATTTTTCCATTATTAAAACCTTGTCGCGAATTGCGTGTAGGGTATGAGCAAATCAGCGCTCTAAAGGAGTAATCCAGTCGAAACCCAGCGTCGGCTTTGAAAATCGTGCAGGGTTTGAGGCAGCTTTGTGACAAGTCTTTGGGAAATCTGACAAATCCGTGACACGTTTTTAACAAACATGAAGAAGATAAAAAGGATGCGTTCGGTCGACCAGAATTTTGATCACTTACTCAAATACCTACCATCATGTCTACATCTATATACCTTTCTGGCGCTACTGGATTCATCGGCGGAAGCGTGCTCACCGCACTTTTGGAAACCAAGAAGTATTCAATTACCGCGCTTGTTCGATCTGAAGAAAAGGCCAAGGCTATGAACGATATTGGTGTCAAGACCGTCATTGGTAGTTTGGATGACTTCGATATCATTGAAGAGCAGACTTACCGTGCTGATTTGGTCATCACGTCTGCTAACGTTGATCATCTCGGTGAAGCTAAGGCTGTTGTAGCAGGTCTCCGCCGCAAGCTCAAGGACACTGGCAAGAAGGCTTTGTTACTCCAGACATCTGGTACCTCCATCTTGAATGACGACTCAAACGGTCAATTCGAAGGAAAGGAAATCTACAGTGACGTGGATACTGAGAAGTTGAATGCCATTCCTGCCTCTAACCCTCATCGCCATGTGGATACTTATCTCATTGATAACTCTGCCGACTATGATCTGGCCATCATTGCTCCCCCATGCATTTATGGTGAAGGCACCGGACCCAAGGGTATCTCCAACCCCCAGTCTGTCCAAATTCCCACTGTCATTCGTCAAGGTCTCAAAAACGGTGCTATCCAACAAGTCGGACAAGGCAAGCACTGCTGGAGCAGCGTTCACGTCAAGGATCTTGCCGACATGTATCTCATCGTAGCAGAGCACTTGCTTGCTCATGATCTCAAGACTTTGGGTCGTGAAGGATACTTTTTCGCAGAGACTGGCGAGTTCAAGTGGGGTGATATGTACAACCACCTTGCCAAGTATCTGCATAAGATTGGTGCTCTCAAGACTGACCAAATTCAATCCGTCACCACGGACGACGAGTTCGTGAAGGCTTACGGTAACATCGAAGCAAAGGTGGGACTCAGCCAAAACTCTCGTTCTCGCGCAGAGAAAGGTCGCGCCTTGGGTTGGAAGCCAACCCACAAGTCTGAAGATGTCTTCACTGACGCTGAAAGGGAAGCTCGTCTGATTGCTAAACAGCTTGGATATATTCAATAAGTCATATCAAATAATTCTTTTTTCATCATATTGTAAAATCTTTGTGTGATAAACATTGAAAAAATAAAAAAGTTCACTGGTAAATGTACATGGTTTATTACTTTTGTAACAACATAGCTTTTACTTCTTTAAGAGGTTGAGTACGATCGACACGTAAGATGCTTCCAGTATCTGCAACCGCTATCGAACACCATTTGGGAGCCACCTCTGCTAAAAGCGTGATGTGTGCCTCTGCTTCAGATTCGGAAAGTGGGACTTTGTAACTTTCAGACAGCTTGCGAGAAACCTCACGAACGAACATCACATTCCTTTTTGCCGATGTGTACATGCTAATAAAAACTCAGGTTAGCATATTCAGATCGCAATGGATGGAATTGATTGGCTCGTGATTCGAATGTTGTTCACTTACTAGTAAATTGAGTCCACCATATCCGGAAGGCGACTTAACAATATGTTACGTTGTATCGTCTCAGGAGAAGGCTCGTACATTTCATCCTCTTGTTTTTTCTGCTGTTTGGCTCGAATTCTCTCTAAGAGTGAACTAGTGCGTGATTTAATGGTATCATTAGGTCCAGTTTCACTGGAGGCCTGTTGTGGGGCAGCCACAGTAACGTTACTAATGGAAATTGTAGCGCTGGTTTCCTGCTTCTTCGGCCCCAATTTCTTGTCTAGTTTGGCAAGGGTATCTGATATCTAAAAAGTAGTAAACGGATAAGTAAAAGTCTTGACGTATGTAAATCAGTCCTTTAAATAATAGTGTCACTAACCCTAGACTTCAATGTCCCCGTGCGTACATACTCGGCTGTATCTACAATCTTCGTTCGCAAAGTGGGTAACTCAGCTTCCGGAATATCAGGGACGGAATCCAATTTAAACAATGGATGCCAGTTCTTGAGTTTCCTTGTTCCATCATGGACTGCCTCCGGTTTTAACGATTTTAGAAAAGACTATCGAGTGAAAGAGTTAGCATACTTGATCAAGAGTAAAAGAACAAACTAGCTCGTGTGCTCACATCATGGCTTGCCGATACCAAATCGAGCAGCTTATTATGAAAGGATAGCTTTCGGTCCTCAATCTGGGCTGATGTTGCAATTTTGTTGGACTTGGAGGGTTGAGCTGACTGTGCTACCCGGGTTCGTTCTGCAGGCTGTTCATCATCCTCTGGAAATCCAATTAGGAGGGATTCAATCCTTTGACCTTCATGTAAAACTCGAACGGGTCGCATATTATAGGCATTCGGCTCTAAATGCTTGATCTGTGCGAGATGATTCAGGTCAAACGTTCTGCAAAGCGGTGGAAAAATGAATGGTTAACGAAGGTAGATGCACGAAAACTACAAAACGCAAAAGATACCAACCTTCGACTCATGTTCTCCACTGGCTTTCTAATCTTGTGAAAATGGCAAATGCTGTTTTGAGCTGTTGCGAACAAGATGGTATGATCCAGCGCATACTGTATTCTCTCCAGTGCTTCGTATTTATCAGGAAGTTTTAAGCCGCTGCGATCCTGTCGCAATCGATACATGAGATTAGTAAGACCAGGGTCGCTTTCGTTTTCTGTTTGAGGTTTTCGAAAGCGAACTGGTGATGCAGGCGAGGTTTGTATAAGGTTCGTGCTTCTAGTGGTCTTTGTCGGTGTGCGAGCCGGAGATATGGGTAGCTTTTGTTGAGGAATAGTTGGCGAAGACATGCGGTTGGACGGCGCATAGCTTGGCTCTTGATCACTTGTTTGTGATTTCGGGGTAAGTGGATCTTGGGTATTTTCTTGCACGTCCTCATCATCTTGAATTACTGTAGTTTCAGGCGATACCTTTCTGAACTTTGAATGGTGATTGAGGTCGTTGTTAACATCGTCGCGTTCCTCATCACTGGCTAAAGCGTGTTTTCTATCAATTGGCATGACACATTAGTACAGGCGGTCGCTTTCAATCATTGAAAGCAAAAGAAAAGGTTCGTACCGGTTTGAACTTTCGTCAGATATCAATTGTCCACTGTCGCCCCCACTGGGTGACGCCGTTGAAAGTATATCAGCTGAAGCATTTATCACCGTAGTAGGCGGCAAGACTGCATGCTTTTCTTCAGCATCCTTTGGGCTTATGGTAGTAACTTCCTCTCTCCTTCGAATAACATATTTATCCATTGCGGCAACGGCTGGTTTCTCATTCTGTTGCGGCAGAGATGCAATTGGTCGATCATTCGCATTGGCAGTCTATTAACGATGTTTAATGTGTAATTAGAGGCACATCGAGTTTCACTTCGGTAAAAAGATAGTGACAGTTACCTTTATATTGTTTTTTATATTGTTTTTCTTCTTAACTACTGCTTGTGTTATTCGCTCTGGTGTGGATTTGAAATGCTGTTTCTGGTCAATCTTTGGCGATTGCAGATCCGATTTGAGGCTACCCCCAGTCTCTGGTTTTTTCTTGAGACGTATATAGAAGTTAGATATAATCTTTATGTTGCTATAGCGTGAATATGCATACCCGCAGCCGATAACGCGTCGATAATGTGGATTCACCCTTAGCCATGAAGGTTTAATGATAGACAGAAGAAAGAAAATTTTGCTCATTGAAATGCTGCCAAATGCCGCCAGCGATCGGACCTGAAAATTGCTCGTAAGCCCAGCAATATGCGTACTTCACATCAAAGGCAATTGAAAGAGTATTTATATTTTAAAACCCTTTATATATTACGATTCTTTTTCAGAACATTATAAATGCATTATAGACTATGTTGAATGAGAATAGCATTTGACAATTGCAGATTACTTTCTCGAAGTTTGATATGTAATGTTTGCAGCTATGCGTACACTGACTTATCGACTAGAAATATGATCCAGGATGTAGCCATGACCAAAGAAAAGGCATGTGTATGTGAGGTATAACTTATACTAACTCAACATTGATTATGACACAACTGATGAATGGGTACAATAGATCACTACCCAGGACAAATGTAATATATATTTGGTAATTTTATTTAGACGTAAACTAATAGATCACCTTCAATTAGAAATTGATACATAGCTTAAACGACTAGAAATGCAACTGTGATAACATTCAAGTGTTTTGGTATCAATTGCTGTTAATGTGAGATTTTTTTGGGAAGAAGTGGACCAAGAAGGTCCCTAATGCGACTCATTCGTAAGCTTGGGCACTCAAACACTTGATGTCTTCCATATCAAGTTAAAAATACCAACATTCACTATTGAGTATATCGAAACGATGCGTTTCTTTCCAAGAGAAATTCTCATATTAATGAGCAGCACTTGGCTAATGTTAAATCCTTCTTTGTCTGCAAAATTGGAATATTGCTTCGTTGATCAGGATATTATTACAGCTCTTACTCAATAAACCGACATAAGATCATTTACACATTATTAACTCATGGATCGAACAATATTTAGGAAGTATTAACGTCAAGAAAGTTCTCAGATACATACTATTCTCATATTTACAGGGATAACTGATCATGATTCACAGTCCATAATGTGGATTCCCAGTCTTTAAAGCTAACGTCAACGCTATCAAAATACGGCTGCTACAGAGGGCAGTTGGAGTATCAAAAGACGTTTTTTGACAGATACAAATACTATAGAAATACCCGTTATGCAATAGAAAAAAAAAAAGCTATTTATGCTTACTTTTGGTAGGTACTTCTACGACTTCAGTAACTTTTATTTGACCTGTCCAGATCCGGCTTACATGCTCTGTCTCATCGATCACCGATGATAGAATTTTTGAATGCGTGAACCAATTTTCAATCAGAAGAGGTAATAGATGCAGTTCAGTGTATCATTTTCTACAGACATCGAGACTTGCTTTCCCATCTGCTTTTTTTTTTATCAATTTCATCCAATATCCAACGGGCTTGATCAGCCATATTGGAAGCTTCGAATTTTTTAACAAGCGCCTTGTGATTGGCTAATTTGCAGGTAGCTCTCAAGGAAACGTACAGCGGTTGCTCGCGCGTGTTTCTGATTTCTTCTTGCTGACAACTTAGATGAACAGCGAATTTGACGATGTAAGTACACATTTTGGCTAAATTCCGGTACTCTGTACTAGAAAACATTTTAGAAACACTGCATCCGTGTCATCATCTAATTTACCTTGACATTTACTCAGGTACTGACCAACCAACCGGTTGTCATTGACAATGTAAGTAACACGAAAATACAATGCAACTTTGGATAAACAAATAAGACGAATATGTGCCACTGTACCCTTCTCGACGCTTTCATATCGACTATAAACTATTGCAACTTGCGAGATTCTATTCGACATCCCCCACTTTTCTTCGTTTTCATGCAACTCCGATATCTAACACATTGCCTCCTGTAATAACAGGGCTCTGGCGTGATCAAGGCTGGATTTGCTGGAGAAGAGCAACCAAAATGTTTTTTCCCATCTTTGTAAGTGCATCTGAAGGCAATTTCCAAGCATACGGTCGGTGTTCATGGTCTCCTAATGCAATGATTCCATACCAGTGTTGGTCGCCCGAAACATGTTCGCATAATGGCAGGTGCGGTCGAAGGAGATGTGTTCATTGGCAGAAGAGCTCAGGAACTTCGCGGCTTGCTCAAGATTAGATACCCCATTGAGCATGGTATTGTCACCGACTGGGAAGATATGGAGAGGATATGGCAATATATTTATACCGACGAGCTGAAGACTCTCTCTGAAGAGGTAGAGTTCGAGCTTCTTCACATCCGGCATATTCACGATTCCCATTACTAAATTTGTATCCTATTTCAATAGCATCCTGTTTTACTTACCGAGGCACCACTCAATCCTCGCCAAAACAGAGATACTGCCGCACAGATCTTCTTCGAAACCTTCAATGTTCCTGCTCTGTTCACTTCCGTTCAAGCTGTATTGAGTTTGTAAGTTCATGTTTTCGGAATGGGGCGGCGCTGCACTGAGATGACACTAGCAGTTTTCTAATCTACTATGCTACAGATACTCGTCTGGTAGAACCACTGGTATAGTTTTAGATTCAGGTGATGGAGTTACGCACTCTGTGCCTGTGTATGAAGGATTTGCTATCCCCCACGCCATTCGACGAATTGATATTGCTGGAAGGTAAGCCTCGTTGACATCACCAATTTTAAGTGACATTTACTCATGAATTCAATCGATCAGAGATGTGACTGAATACCTCCAATTGCTGTTGCGCAAATCTGGGTACAACTTCCATACTACTGCCGAAAAGGAGGTGGTACGCATCATCAAAGAGAAGACGTGTTATATCCCAGTCAATCCTGTCAAGGAAGAGAAGGAAACCAGTGGAAAAACCGATGACTTCATGCTTCCTGATGGTAACATCATAAAAGTAAGTTCGTGACCCATGAGAACCTAACTTGATATCCACTCATATTAACTTTTTTTGTCAACCACTTAGTTGGGAGCAGAGCGATTCCGCGCACCTGAAATTCTTTTCCAACCTGAATTGATCGGCCAAGAATACATGGGTATCCACCAAGTCATTGTTGATTCCATCAACCGCGCAGATCTTGATCTTAGAAAGTCTCTATACTCCAACGTCGTCTTATCCGGTGGTTCAACACTTTGCAGAGGATTTGGAGAACGACTCCTTTCAGAGGTGAAGAAGTTGGCCTTGAAAGATATCAAGATCAAAATATATGCTCCTCCGGAACGCAAGTACAGCACATGGATCGGAGGATCCATTCTGGCATCACTTAGTACTTTCAAGAAGGTAATGTTTTGGCCGGTGAAAAAGTTTGCTCGAGGTTTTCTTTATTAAAACTTGATGTTTGCCATAGATGTGGGTCTCGGCTGAGGAATATTCTGAAGATCCTGATATTATACACAAGAAGACTTTTTAAAAAAAAGCCGTAGCCCTCGGCGACCGATTTGGCGGATAGGTATAGGGTATTTTAGGATCACCAGTACTGTGCCGTAGATATACCACTTTATTCATTTTTTACTTCCATCTTCTATTCTGTAACTGTCGTTTATCTTGATGTCACAGTATGTCTTTTTTTTTTTTCTTTCTCTCTCAAATTTTTTAATATGGAACATCGGTTTCTTCATACAATGTATAATCAATTGTCCTTATATCATTTGACATGCTGCTGTCATTATGTAACAGCTGGATCAATAAATCTATTGTGTGCTAGACGAGAGTACAAACGACCATAGATTATTCACCCATTGCGAACAAAACTTGTACTAATCCATTTCTATTAGAGACGACGACAATTTATTAATACAAGGGTAATAGCTAGCTACATTGAATTATTGGGGGTCCTTCTTGCGCTCTTTGACTTGTTTGAAACACAAGTATTGGACTACAGTACTTTTTCGGCTATCCACTAGTAGCTTCTTCACGCTACTCAGTTCGTTTTGGAGGTTTCCAGCATGTTGCTGTTGTGGGTCATATGCTTGCTCAATGGTTTGGTATATTTGTTGTAGTATTTCAGATGCTTGCGACGTCACGTATTGCGAAAGCGTTTGGTGCATGAATTCAATTTCTAAGGTAGCCTGCAGCATGCCTCCCATACCGAACCGTTCTACTTGTCTAAAGCTCTCCAGACAGTCACCAGCCATGTTCTCCAACAGAGATGATAGCGCTCGGTACACAAGCGATTTGGAAACGCCGGTGACTTGGGAATGTACCATGACCATAGACATGAGCGCTTCATACACGAACGGATGAACTTCGGTAGGTTTCGAAATGTTATACCAATCAATGCCACCTTTGAGAATACCGTTGGTAATGATTTCGTTGATGACAGCAGACTTGCGCTTGATGTAATCCTCAAATAAAATGCCGTCCAGCTGATCCACAACATCAATAAGGGTCTTTAACTCATCTTCCATACTGCAGTTGTATGCAGCTTCGAACAATCCCAAAAGTTTTCGAATAATATGTGATTTCAAGCGAGAAAGATTGCTGACTGTGAGAAGAATACGTACGTCCTAGTGAAATTAAATGAAGATGAGCAAGGTGTGACCCTTGTAATGAACAAGCGTCTTTACGAGTGCAAGTCTTACCATAGAATGAACATCAATATTTCCTCTCTTTCTCGTCAAATTGAGTTCTTCTTCTTCACCCTGAAGTGGCGTGTAATCAGAGAATGCCAAATGGACCAGTCCATCCAAGAAGGAGTACATTGACTCCAGGAAGGTATCGCGTATTATTTTGAGGAATTCCTTTGTGATTTCATGCCTCTGTTAAGACGAAGTTTAAGTGTTAGTATCTGCATGCTAGAAACATGACTTTTTGAGTAAAACATACTTGATTGTCCGTCACTGCACTAAGACTACTGATCTTGTACGCGGATCTTGAACAATACTTGTGGTATTCGTAAAAGTGTCGAAGGAGATTAGTGTACTCGGAAATCTCGTTATCCAAAGCCCAGTCCTCCAAAAGATAGAATGTTTTGGCATCTTCAAGCAAAATACTCATTAATATTCTACAACACTCGTAATAAAGTCATCTCAAACCTACCTCGAGCCCAGCATTTGCAGATGCATTCGACAAACTTCCAGCGGGTTTGTTCCATCAATTCAGTCAGTCCCGAGAACGCTTCGCCTGCCAAATTAATGAGGTTGATATCATTCACGCAGTTTGCCAATTCTCCAATGATGCGCGTGAGGTAGTCAGATACGTGAACAGAATTGGCATTTTTGGGTAAAAACTTTGGTAATGGGATGGAAGAAAGATCAGTTGCGGCGTTGGACATTGCAGGACGGCCGGCATCCAACTCAAAGTAGTTGGATAACAGTTTAGCGTAAAGATTGACAATTTCCTTAGCCATGACCTGGCACTGATCGACTTTGCCTAAATCGACACCTTGTCGCTTTCGTCTTGTGCTTGCCGTAGCCTTCTGGGTATCCTAAACGATGAAAGGAGTGAATAAGCTTGACCCGCTCATAGGTTACGATAATGCAACTTACTTTGGCAGCAAATTTTCCTTCTATAAACGACGTTGATAGTTTCCAAAAGTCAGGGAGACATCGAAGCAACAGATTAGAGGTCGTCTTGACAAGGTCAAGTATAGCTCGCCATGCTTTCAGCTCTGGGTCACTTTCAGCGCCGAAATCAGAGTCTCTCAAGTGAATATGAGATGTTGCATTCTTCAATGACAAGCTACGAGCGACATCCGATTCTTCACCGTATATATTGGCCTTCCACACATCAACCTTTCGAACAGATTCATTAAAGGTGTTTGTCAATTGCGTTGTAATCCATTTATACTGGCTGTTCAGATAAAACCATGCTGGATCCTCTGTGGTGTCCAAATCGAAAATATAGCTGTTGACAAGCCTTGTTAGAATAGCCTACATGCACAATCATCAATGAGTAATCGCCACTTACTTGATGGTCTTCTCTTGTTCTTCTATAGGTTGCCAAGGATCTTCCAGCATTTTGAACAAAATACCACGTAGCTCCACGACAATCTTATCCACTTCCACCCAAACTTTGTCAAACACTTTGCGATGAAGATCTGTCAGACCAGAGTCCTTTTCTACATCCGTAATGTTGATACCAATATCGGTAGCATCGTTATGGGAAACGCTTTCTCCTTTTAGCGTTTGATACAGGTATTTTCCCTTTTTATAGTCCCTGATAGCAGTTTCGTATTTTCCCTACGCGAAACATCCATCAACGGCGTCAGTCTCATGTGCTTAATTTCACAACGTATGAAGGATAAAATAGTCGCGTACCTGCTTTATCGATTCAAGTAGCCCACTAGGAAGACTAAAGAAGAACTTGTAACGTTCCAAAATATTCAAGGTAGTGCGTACTTTTTCAGCTTTGCCTCGGCGTTCAACAATGGGTCCATAGATTTTCTCCGCCTGGGCATTCACATCTAGAGGCAGGTGGTGTTAGGAATTTGGGATGTAAATAAATATAAAGTCTCTATCCCAAACGTTACCTATTAGATAGCCATGCAATTTCTTGGTGCCGTATTCTTCTTGCTCGTTTAAATTCTTCGACCTCATCTCATCGTGGATATGATCGATTGTATTCTTTGCACTCACAAAGCGATCGAAGTTAGAGTGTACGAGAGATTTGAGTGCGTCCGAGCGTTGGTCGATAGTGACGTTCAGTCTCTGGAGTCCAACGACTAGATCCTCATAAGAGGTATCCTTGTGCACCTGCAGCAGGAAACTTCGGGGATTGAAAGATTTGTTGGATGTGATCAACGATGAGCCTTTGAAGAAGAGAGTTCGTAAACTTTCATGTTACAGAATTTCATTTCTCTACAATGTCTCAAAACGTACGCTCTTTAATCTCCATAAAGTTCACATTCCGTGCGATGCTTTGACGGTTTGTTCTAGCATCAAAGCAGGTCAGTTAAAGCGAACCGAGGACCAAACGGTATCTCTTCATAGCAATTTTCGAAAGACAAAGTAAGCTTACCCACTGAAGATTGACTTCCTGATACCAAGAGGATCAGTATCATCTTGTACCTGCAAATCGTTCTCGTCAACATAATCGTGGTGTGGATTAGGGCCGGATTCGACCGACCGCGAAAGATGCTTGTTGGCGGATCCAAGGTGGGAAGTGGGGCGACTTCCATACACTTCGTCAATCCATTCTTCGGGCTCTAGGGTATCAATGTTGTAAAACCGAAGAATTGCAGCTTCCTCTGCAAAAAATTCCGGTGTAGCAAGATTGTCTGCCATGCTGGGTTCAAGAGAGAAGACGTGCGGGATGCGGACTTTTAAAACTAGACTTGCAAAGTCCTTTACTTTCTGAATTTAGCTTTCTTGCATGAACGCTGCGCTACTAGCCAGGGAGAATGGCATAGGACGCCCTCAAACCCTTCGTCGGGCAGAAATGACGAAGAGAATGTATGAACTTGAATTGAGTCAATTCAAAGAAGTGGCTCGTGGACACCATGGTAAGCACTAAAATGGTGAATCGTGAATGGAGCGCAGCTGCAAATATTGGTTGGACGTAACATACATATCGTTAACCACGACCTGCCTAAACGACAGCTCCAATCAACTGGATTGAAATAGATAGAGTGGAAAAGAAATAGTAAGTCGCCCGTAATAAAGTTCTGTGGTTGCTTTGCACCTTTCCTCATGCACCATTGAATGAAATAGCCTTCTTTCAGCTGGAGCTGATAGCCAAATACACATATACGACATAGAAGAACCTGTACATACAAAGTTGTGGAAGATACCTTCCATTGCAAGAGTTGAAAAGTAAGCAGGTTCAAATTGGATATATGGAAGCTTGCCCGTACTGAAGCTTGACATCTTGTCATCAGAAAAAATCGTCAAAAATTTGGCGTTTCTTCAGTTGCCTGGTATCCCTTCGATACCGGCATGTTCATAAGCTCATCATTTGATAATACTGTGAATGTTTGGGATACTAACACCATGACGGTAGGTCTCGTTTTGTAAAGATCGTATATGCTTGCGACTGACATAACACTTCTCCGCGATAGCCGGCATGTACATTTGATTTGGAAGAAAAAGTGTTCTCGCAGGCCATATCACCTATTGCATATCATAGCTTGGTTGCCGGTATGCGTTGTTTCTGTATTACTTTATTGTTCGACTTTTGTAATTTTTTACTGAATACCGAAACATCATGATAGGAGCGTCAGCAGATCCACGAGTGCGGCTTTGTGATTTGCGCTCCGGTGCGTTTACGCATTCACTTACGGGACATAATGGGAGTGTCATGGCAGTACAATGGTCAACAAGATACGAGCACATGCTGGTGACAGGCGGGTATGGCAATTGATATGCCTTAAATAGCCCTGGGTGTTGAAGACAACATGTCTAACCTACTTTTTTGCGAGTGTAGTACGGATTGTACAATTCGAGTTTGGGATATACGAAAAGCGGCAGCTTGCATCATGTCCCTAGATCAATATAACACAGAAGATGCTGATCCTTTGTCATCAACTAATCAAGCCCACAATCGACCCATCAATGGACTAGCCTTCTCTTCGGATGGTTTACACATCATCTCGTTGGGTATGGACGAAAAGATAAGACTGTGGGATGCATATACGGGCCAAAACACCTTGGTCAACTATGGCCCTCATTTACGAAATCGATCGAGAACCACCATAAAACCACTCATTGTCGATAACGGTATTTGGCCCCCATTGATATTTATTCCCAGCGACGATCATCAGGTGTTAGCCTTCGATATGCTTGATGGAAGCTTAGTCAAGCGGCTGCGTGGTTCCTATGGCAGAGTCACATCGGTAGATAAGCGACCAGGAAGAGAGGTAATGTCCACGTTTTTAGGTTCATGGCTGTGAAACAATGGTGAATGTTGACGGATGTCCTGATATAGGAGCTGTATAGCGCTTCTAAAGATCAAGAAATTCTAGTCTGGGAAGCGCCACGAAAAGATTCAGAGCTAATAGATAGGCGGCCAGAGGTGAGTAAAGGTCTTGCCAAGGGCCATACGGAGCTGCTTTAAAACTAACACTGTGGCTTCCAACAGGCTGAAATGGATGCATGGAGTAGTGACGAAGACGAATAGGACAGATATTAGTGCGCGCACTGGAAATGCTTGTAAATTCACCGCCAGACACTTGATCTGTTTCATGAAAAGCCAGGAGAGCTACCAAAACAGAAAACATTTGGAGGTATCCAATTAAATTAAATAATAAAGTAATGACAAATCATTAAAGCTATTTTCGATCAAAGGGGATGAAGCCTTTACCAGGAAGGCACAGTTACTCCTGACAGTTCTTGGCTGGCTGATTTGACCTTGCGCCACATCCGATGCGCCAAAAATTTTGTGTATATTTTTTAAATATACAGCTTTGTTTCATGCTATGTAAAAGCACTGCTTCTATTAGCCATGGCAGTGGTGCTATCACAGTGTATGAGTGGTTCGGGAGAACATTCAGACGAGACGCTTTGTGAACGCAAGAACCAAGGACAAGAAAAAAAATTTCTGTATTTGGGCAGGAAAACAAACATGTTGGAAAGGGTGCACATTTGAGAAAGTACATATAAAAGAGGAGACCTTTGAGCGAGGCCCGGCACTACGGAAAGCCATTTCATACTCTCTCAATACGCTTTTTGCACCCTCTTTCCCGTAACATCTTTGTAAATCGACTTCATCATGGGTTGCTGTATATCAATGCCACATTTATTAGGAAAGGTACGTATTGCATATTTGGGCTTGCCTCTGTACAATGTGCGTTGCTCAAACAAAAGCTTCCAATACAGCCGCTCGTCTATGAAGTGAAAATAGATAGCGCTGGAGTCGCATATCGTGTGCCAAGCGGGACAGGCACTCACCTCATTCATATCAATGGGGATGAAGAGATGTTCATTGAAGAAAAGGTAAGCGTGCTAAATGGGGTCTGTTTACGCCGTCTAAACACATCTTTTTTAACCGTCTCCCAAGATGAAGCCGTATACAACAGCATACTTAGATATGGGAAGTGACATTGCACCGCCGTCCTATCCAGGGAGCTTGATCGAAATGCCATGTCCAGCCGCTAAGCCTTCTGTTGACTCCTCATCACCAAAGTAGACGCCAATCCACTTGGCTAAAATGGTGCATATCCGTCGCGCCCTGTAATTAGCTTCAATGTTTTTTTTTTATTTCTGTATTATTGAATTGAGATCCGTCCCCTTCCCTACCCCTTTAACATCACCAAGAGGGAATGAAAATAAGAAGTTTGCTTGTTATTTTGTTAATATTTTTTTCTTCATCAAAAAGAAAGAGGTTTTTTAAAAAATAGTTATGGGGGATACGAATTGCTAAGGATCAAAAAGATGAAAATCTTTGCATGACCTGCCGATTTATAAGAATTGCTTGCTGGTATATGGACAGGAATGAGGGATTGTGAGTATAAATTACAAAAGGGAATACATTGCAGTGTTGTGTACAAAGTAGGATGTTCTGATAGATCTAATCTTCAAGTTTGTTTGAACCATGCATAGGAAGATGCTCGTAGCCTTGGTCTTTACCATGTTTTGATAGTTTGTAGTAATTGTAGGCAATAATTCCAATGATAGAAACCGCAAGTCTAAAACGTGGCGTAGAAAGAGAACAAATATGTCAATATAAAGTTATTTACACAATAATTGATGAATGCCTATATTTACCCAAGCAAGTTGATAGGGGTTAAGACGTCGCCATATATCAACACAGAGAGTGTGATGATCACCACTTCCTTGCTAATGCCAGCCACGCTCAGCGTAATTGTATTGGTGCTTTTGATAAGGTGAAATTCCGCCAAGGTCATTGCAAAAGCTACCAACAAACGAGAAGGTGAGATAAGGGTCGATCTGAGCTTATTGTGTGACAGAACTTACCTAGTAAACCACCAATGGCCATGAGACCAAACGACTCTACAACATGGAAGGCACTATCAAAGTGTTCAGAGTGCCTAAATTGCCCGATTGGATCTTCAAAAATTAAGCTCAGGGTTGCCATAGTAACAAACATGACGGGGCTAAGATGGTACAGGGTGGCCACCGGGTTATCCATTCCCAAGCTGTCGTGTTGTAATAAAAGCTGTGTCAAGCTCCATCGCAAGCCCGACATGACGGAGGCAGTCAACACCAATACGAATCCAGTCATGTCGAACTTTGTCTCGCCTTCTACCGTTAGGATAACACCAATGACCATGACTATGATAATGGAGATGACCAGAATACGGGGCTTTTCCAATCCGAACAAGAGAGCAAACAGAAGAACCCAAATGGGAGTACTGGACTTGACCATGGTATAAAAGCTGAGAGAGATGAACACTAGAGATGCATTGGCACAGCAAATCTCAAGGGCAGCAGCTAACCCGCACGGTACCTACATTTGTGTCGTTAGTTCTACCACGCAATACATAATTTTTGTTCTAGGTAAGGAAACTTACCACTTTAAATATATAATTGTGCATGGACACTGTATCGCCACTTTTCCTTGGGTTCCAACGACTACCTCCCACTGCCATCATGACAGCAGTGATGATAGAATGCAGGCCAGTGTGAATGGCGCTTACCAACAATGGAAAGTTGAAGTTGAATCGATCCTTGCCCATCAAATTTTTGTTATATAGTGAAAGACATGTGGAAAATATGTACCAGCAAAGAATGTATGACAAGTTCTTTGCGATAGTCTCTTGTCGGTTGGTTATATGGAAATTGGTGAGATCGGACTCAGGGTGCGCTATCTGGATGGAGACACCGCCTTTCTCTGGTATGGGTGAGTTAAGCAAAGAAGAACTTCCCGCTAGACGGCTAGCAAAGTAAGGTGATCTAGCCGGTGAACCAAAGTCCTTGGCCTTGCTTGGTTTGATGGCAACAGTCAACGCTGGCAGAGATCCTCTTCTGCCTTGCTTTGTTGCTGGATGGGGTGATGCTGTAGTGGTGCTAGTTGGAATAACGTTATTGTGAGTTGGCATCGGTTGTCTCATGGGATGTATTGTCAAAGAGTGAGTCCTCGAATGAGATTTCTTGTGCGATCTTGCACCATCAACTGATCTATTTGCTTTCAGGGATGAAGAACGGCGAACAGGAGGATCGGTAGAGACGTCCACAAGAGCTGAGTCTTCGTCGTGCCTAGGATATTCATCGCTCGTTCGTTCCTTCACATGGCTCGTGGTTGGGAGCTCCCTCGAGATGATTTCGTCCATGTGAAGAAATTACGGTAGTGAATAGAGAGTGAGAAGCATCCAAACCCCTTGTTAGATGCACGTGAGGTGCTGGTCCCCAAAAAAGCGAAATGGACATTACAGGCCAATCAATCTCAGTAAGACTCCGAGATCGCCCTTCGATAATGACGATGGTTTTGGCCACTCTGTTGAGCGCACTGTCATAATGAAAACTCTCACTAAAGAAACCATAGACTTCTTGCAAATAGAAGCTGAAAATTTGTATCACAGCTGCTATGCTTGACGGCCTTCGCAACACTATTAGCTTTCAGCTATGGCCAGATCTAGTGCATGGCTATCGCTTGGTGCTTTACAGTCAGGTAGGCGGCTTCCTGATTACATGTGAAGGTGGATGTCGCAGCAGTGTTAATAACAAATGCATTGATTAGGTGTAGTTCTTCTCTGGTAGTAACAGTGTGTCACACCAGTCCGTCATTTAGCGCAATATTATGTACTTCATTACATAGTGTAACATGTCATCTGCTTATTCCTTCACGCTTTCTCGTTGATGCGGTTGCAAGGTGATGAGATGAGTAGCAAATAGAGCATTGTATCAGATGTGGTTGGTTTGCTTAGGGTGTTACGACTGGTGGCCACTGTTGAAACAAACACAACTATATTCTTCAACTTCAACAGTGTCTTTTAATCTCTTACTTTCTACATAAATTCTAGAAACTGCAGGACTTCACGTTGATATTTTTTTCGCGTCTGTTGCAAAAGGCTCCTTGGCGAGGAACAGTCAAATTTTCGACAGTCCAACTTTTTTTTGGTGTGCCCGTATTCACAAGATTTTTTAGTCTAACACATTGTTGCATAAAAACCATGGCACAAACGAGTGGGTTAGCACTAGAGCGTCTGCTAGAAGACAAAGACTCTGCTCGCTCTATTATGATCATAGATTCAGTTCAACAATCCGGCAATCCTCTACTTCTTAATTTTGCTGGTCGTGCAGCACAAGATCAACCGCTGGTTGTCTTATGTACCGAAACATCACCAAAGTCCATTCTCAAATCAATATCTAATCACCAAAACGCAAATATCACTTTCTATGACGCATACTCTAATCCTAATGGATGGAATTCCACCTTTCCAACTGACCAGCTTCTTGAGGGCAAGCACAAGTGCCACACCGTCTCACAGTTATCTGACCTCAAACCACTGGTGAAGGCATTGGCCGAACAAACCCAAGCACACAAGCGCTGCACTGTCATTATAGATTCTCTCGCACCACTTTTATTTGCTGCATATGAGCAATGCTATCAGCTTGTAAGATCTTTAGCGTCTTTAGCAACAGGTTAGTCTTCTTTGCATTGTTGTTGGCGATTTGCATGGGCCCGAAGCTACAATGAACTAACACTGAACTCGTAACTAGATGATAGGAGAGTCATTGTTATGCACCATGCAGACATTTCATATGCAAGGGCAGCTGCACGGCATGCGCCATCACTGATGGAAAGTCTGCAGCGATTGTTTTCAGTTGCCATCCAGGTGGAGGCGCCACCTCAAACAGACACGTCCAACATGGAGCACCTTACCGGTTTCAAAGCTGTCGATCAATTTTCTTACATGAACACCAACTCAAATAATACTACGGCTGTTGCGAAGATCATGTGGAAGCGGAAGAGCGGCAAGGTTTTGCATGAAACAAACGCGTTTCGATGTGATGGTCAAGGCATCTCTGTCATGACAGCCGCCGCCCAGGAGACGGAAGAGGATCTTGACGAAGATTTACAAGAATCGGCTGGACCGGATCCAACTGCCAATCTATCGTTTAACTTGACATTGACTGACGAACAAAGACGTGCAAAGGAGAAGGTCGTTTTGCCTTACTTGAAGGCTCAAAACAGAGGAACAGTCGAAATCGAGTCCTCAGAACCTACCACGACACCAGCACCGCCCTCTTCCGGGTCAATCTACTACGAGCCAGATGCAGCTGACGATTTTGACGATGAAGATCCCGATGAAGACTTGGATATTTAAAACTCTTCGACAAGTAGTTTTTGGGTTAGAACCTGCTTAGAAGTTCTGAAAGACATTGTAAAATAAAGGGAACGACAGACCAACTACTCTCTTGAGAATATGTATTTCTTGTCTTTCGAAATGCTGTTATTGGTATTGCTATTGTTAGATGTTTATCTCCATCCATGATTAAACCATAGTGACATAATGCAAGACAAAAAAATGCTGCACTTGATCCATATCGGTCTTGGTTCATATCAATGTCAAATACAATAATCAATTGATAACATGGGACACTTGAATTCGTTCTCTATTTCATATAAAATAGTATATTATACGAGATACTATAGTTTCGACAAAGGGAACTTTCAGCACAAAGAAAATGGAATGTCAAGAAGATGTTAACAAGAATGGGACAAAACAAGGGGAGGCTCAAAACAAATGTGGTGGTATCATTAGGTACGATGGTGGTGCGAAGGTCAATCCTCTTCTTCTTCAAATCTGAAGCTATGTGTCATGCCTTCAGCATCAGCAACACCGCTGACGAGTTGAAACTTTTCTTCGCCTTCACCTTCGAGTTTGACCTTTTCTGTCTTTGATGGAGCGGCTTGTTGTTGAACAGGTTCAGGTTGATCGTCTCGTAGATCAGCAAGGAAATCACGAATGGCTGAGAAATAACCCGGTTGTATGCAAGTGTCGTTATGAGTTCCGTTTTTGAATTCCTTCCAAACCTTGGTGGCTCTCGTTTGAGATGCATTGTACAGGCCCTTCATATGGGATGGAGGAACGAGTTCATCTTTGGCACCAGATAAAAAGAGAATGGGTGTCTTCACAATTTGCCGTATGTTATTTTCACTGGGCCAATTCAAGTGGCATAGCCATGTGAGATTCTTTAGCATTGGAACGACATGGGGGATCATCTTGGGGACTGACAAAAAGGTATTTTCAATCATAAGACCGGCGAATGCGTCTGGGTTTCTTGCCACGACGTCAATGGCCACTGCTCCGCCAAGAGATTGTCCATAAGCAATGATTTTCGTCTTTCCAAGTATGGGGTGAGCGCGTACATAATCTAACATGGTCTATGGAAACAAATGGATCGTCAGATTACGGTTGATCCACCAGATGAACTGAGCAGAACAGGGTTTACCTGAGAATCAATGCGGAGACCTTTGTCACTGGGAGTGCCTTCGCTGAGACCATATCCACGATATGACAGCATAACCACATTGACATTAAACTTTTCGTAAAAGACCTGGGCAATAGGCAAACGGTGGCCCATGTTTCCTGCGTTTGCGTGATGATAGATAATAGTTGGGGCGTTCTTTGCCGCTTGCTCGTCTTTCAATGTGATGATATAGGATTTGATTTTGACACCATCTTTTGTAGTCAAGGTTTCTTCAACATATGGCATCCCATATTGGCTGGGCTTTGGCACCTGCAATAGAATTAGTTTAATGACTGAGCTTTCCATGGTGTCGTGGCTGCGTCACACCTGCTTGGCATAGATTGAAGTGCGATGGACCCCTCTTTCTTCTTACCTCTGTTCGAGATCCTTCAGGATGACTGGGCAAGTAAAGCAGATCAGATTGGTACAAGTAGAGCATTACGGCTCCAGCAGCACTGGCAAGGCCAGTTGCAGAAAGAGTATAAGAGAGCCATGAAGGCATGTAGTCGTCTGGCATGATGCTAGAATGGAGACGAACGGAGTACGAATGAAACGGGTTGGGATTTTTTATTTTAACAAATTTCGAAAGTACAGAAGTATTCTGGACCCTTTAGTCCCACTACATGGCAAGCAAAAAGCACGTCAATACAGATGTTTTGCACTCCAGCAATTGCATATCATTATGATCCACTTACAACTATCCGCTCGACATTCTCTTCATTTTCCTGTCCAGGCTTGAGCTTACTTTGTGCCTGCAATTTTTGACTCAGCTTCCCACCAGAACCTTGGACACCTCTGTTATTTTGCTAGTGGATAATACGATTCAGTGAGCGACATTGACAGCAAAAAAGTCGAAGGGTAGTCGGTCTCACCTTTTTCTGACGACCTTCCGCAGCTGCTAGCCGCATCTCGCGAGCTGTGGCTGCATCAGGCTGGGGACCAGCAGGTGTTCGTGCGACATCACCTGGTTCATTGAGTCTGTTACCCGACGGTTTTCGTGAACCTAAGCAGTTGCCCTGAGAAAACAGTTAAGATGAAGGCCAATGAATGCAGTGCGAATGAGAGTAATTCATACCATTCGGAGGAAATGAAGTCCAGGATCAGGTGGAACACCTTTTCCCCGGACACAAAGGGAATGTGGACCAAAATTTTTAAATTCCGTACCCTCCTCATTCAGAACATGTGTATTGCGGTTTTTATTGATGCTTACGCTGATTCCATGCTTCACGAAAATATGGAGCTCTGTCAACCAGCTCTTGTTGCGTGATACCATCGCGTATACTATCTAGGACCTTGTCGACGGTGGATTTGTGATTGGCATCGGGTTTATCTGTTCGATACCTCATAAATCGCCAGGGGCTGCTGAGCCTTAGACGTTGTTGTGCTTCGATATCGTAATTGCATTCAACAATACGACCTTGTAAGGTTCTCCCTAATGGTGCAAAGTCCCTAAACCATTCCTCGTCGGTAACTCCCATCTCACCAAAGGGCATGTAATCTCTTCCTCCCCTCCATACCCAAAGTCCAATGCGTGGCCGTGCTGTTGTGTCGACCACGCCTGGGATAGTTCCACTTGGAGGGAAATCTAGACTAATTTTAAAATCTATCGAATTTTCATTTGCAGGTTTCCATTTGAGCCTAAAGTAAAGGTGGATTGGTCAGTATTAGTGAATGGGGATGCTTGTTGAGAGGAAATGCTTGTTACATTGTTTCGCATGTTCCCAGAGTGTAGGGCCCATTAACAGATGTAAATATCAGTCCATCGTTTCCATGCTTCAAGTTCGGTATGATCTCGTTGAAAATCGTCTCTAAATGATAAGAAAATTGCTGTTCTTTGAATTCGACGCTGTATAGCAAAGTGAGTAAGTGTTCATATTGCCCATGGGCAATGGTTTGAATCTAGTTTTGTATGCCGTACCTGAACGGTTGGGATGAGGCTATATCAGGTCGTTTCTGTAACATTTGCTGATAAGGTCGAAGAATATCCATCTTCAGGTACTGCAATTTGTTCCCGATCATTAGGATGACACTTAGTGGTTGGTAATTTGAACACATTGACTCACGCCTAATCTTTTGGACAAATCGCGTTCAACAAGAACTTTTCCAGCAATGGTCAAGCAGTCGAATAGTAGTAATCGTTGTTGCACCTAGATAAAGCAAATAGTCAGTCCCCAAACCTTGGCCGTGACCAGAGAATCGCAATGTAACCTTACCCGTCCATCTGGCTCTTTGTCCAGAACGAGTTCGCCATCTATTATTGTATCCGTATGGCATTTTTGGAAGGATGGATCATTAGGTATTGGAAAGCGGAGGTTTGGTATTAAAAAGAAGTTGCTCTTTCGATCAAACTTCGGGACGAAAGGACAGCATTAGCGAAACGGGCGGTTATTCTTTCTGCGACCTCCTTTCGATGTTACGTTCACAATTATATTCGTACCAAATACACTTCTTGTGCTTTCGTTTCTCGGTTCACTGTGATCAGTGCCAAACAGCGAACGCCGTCTGATTTTTCGGCTACAAAATAGCTGAGCAGTAATACCGGACATACGCGAAGTCAGTTATCGATTGAATTCCAAGCAGGGAGTAAATTCCAGCTAATGCTACTCACTCTTCCCTCTCTAACTGTCTAAGATGATCTTGTCTGAAGCTCACTGGCTGCGCTCCTGGAAATCTAGAATGGATCTTAGTTATGGATTGCAAGGATTGGATCTTCAACTAGGTTTGGGGCCGTCCATTAGGCTAGTTAGCTCCGTACCTATAACTTCGCATTTGCATTAAATTCGCTACATATTGCTTCAAATGGCCGAGAGCAGGTTCGTATTGAAGTATTCCTGGTATATCAGGTACTCCACTATGTGGTGAAGTCATGTGGACCAATGCCGTGAAATAAAGAAAAAGTGTTTGCCGACTATCTGGAACCAAAAGCCTTACCTGCTTCCAAATTACAAGTCACAGTGAGTATGTTAAGGGTCTGCCAAAACCCTGCCTGACACTTTGATCATTTTGGACCAACGTTTCCACGATTGTTCAAACCTCTTGAAGAGTTGATATGACATTTCCTTTATTGAATGTGAAAGCGACTATTTAAAAATCAAAGAGAATGAAAAATCTAAACTAAAAGTGTTGCACCTTAAACGTCCACGTTCCTGTTGAAGCCTCGAAATCAATAAATTCAGTTTCAGGTACGGCACGAAGCTTCCTGATGATAGCAATCACTCGTGGGTGTTGTGGATCAGTTATGGGTTGTCTGGTAGTTTTGTCAACGGGGTAACACTTCTCGAGTTTGATGGTAGCAGGGACGTTCAAGCCTTTGCCTTGTGGAGGTTTGGCGTCTTCGTCTGGATAAACTGTACATGTCTTGGGTTGGAAATTGACGATGCCGACCATAATTTGATCCAAGTCAATTTCAGACAAGTCTACGGGTCCTTCAAAAGTAATTTCACCAACGCCCTTCAAGCCAACGACCAAGTGCTGTGTGTTCTTCAACTGCTGTCGGGTCTGGTTACCAAGAACTTGCAAGCTTGGTTTGATATAGTAGCCCTGAGCCATAGCGTTGTCACTAAAGGCAGTGTTGCGGTTGGTGGGTTTCGAGGTTTCCGATGCATTAGCTTGCTGTTCGTCTTCAGCAGTCTCTTCAGTCTCATGATGATCCTGGGATGCAATCAACTCGAGATGAGGATCAAAGGTAACCTTTGCCTTGCTGCCTGTGCTTAAGACACCAGTGCCACTGTTCGTAGCGGCTGATAGCTCAGAGGGCGACACTTTTTTGTTTATAATGAGTCGTTTGATGCTTGGTCGTGGTGCAAATGCTTCAGGTCTCAATACAGCATCGTCACTGATACCATCTAGACCGCCTTTCTTACGGGAAACAAGTTCACCAGTGGGAGCGAAGCTGTAACCACGAAGTTTGATTTTGGTAGCTGAGCGAGGTGTGATCATGAAATGAGGAGTAGTGGAGAGCTTCTTGCTTGGCTCTTCGCTCACAGCTACAGAGGAAGAACGCTCTGCACCGCTGCTACCAGCTGGTAGATTCTCAAAGAGGGGATTATATCCATAGGGATATTTATCAAGAGAAGCATACAGTGGTGGTTGTTGGTTAGCGTTAGGCTGCTGTTGAAGGCCAGTTGTGCCGAATGTGGTCAGGCCACCGGTTCCTGGAAGGCTAAACGTATTCGCGTTGTTGGTTTGTTGGTTACCAAATCCAAATCCGCCAGCCGTTTGTTGGGTATTGCCGAACAGTGATGGAGCTGTAGCATTGTTAGTAGCAGGCTTTGCGCCAAATAGACCAGATCCAAGGCCACCAGTGTTGCTTGTAGCTCCAAATCCACCAAACGTCGATCCTTGTGGAGCGGCTCCAAATAAGCCAGTGCTGGCTGCTGGCTTAGAAGCTCCAAACAAACCTCCGGCAGCTACGCCAGTGGAGCCAAAGCCAGCAGCACCTGTATTCGCACCGAATCCACCAAATCCAGATGTTGCGGCTGTACTTGTGGCAGGAGGGGCAGTACTACCAAAGCTGAAAGATGTCGCGGGTTTATTGGCATTGGTAGCACCGAAACCGCCAAATCCAGTAGTTGGTTGAGCAGCAGGCTTTTGGCCAAAGCCGCCGAAGCCGGTGCCAGTAGCTTGTTGGCCGAAGGAAGGCGTGCTTTGAGCAGCTTGACCAAAGAGGCCACCAACAGATGGTTGCTGTTGCTGCTGCTGTTGAGGTTGCTGCCCAAAGGGTGAAGCACCCGTGGCTCCAAATCCAGTACTAGCTTGCGAAGTTGCAGGAGTAGATCCTATTTTGTCCAAAGGTGAGTGGAAGTTGCTAAAGTTTAGAAGTGAAAATAACACAAGATCTTACCGAAGCTGAAAGGTTTGGCAGCATTGCTTGCTCCAAATCCTGTATTGGCAGTGGCACCAAATCCTGTATTCTGCTGCTGTTGTGGTTGCTGACCGAAAGCGGCACCGCCAAATCCTGTGGTAGCAGGTTGGGTTGAACCAAAAGCGGGTGCTGCACTTGTAGATTGCTGACCAAAGAGACCACCAGTAGCTCCAGTATTGGCAGAACCGAAACCAGTATTGCTGGTTTGACCGAAACCACCAGCACTTTGACCGAAACCACCTGTGGTTTGGCCAAAAGCAGATCCAGCAGCAGACGTACTTGGCATTCCAAAGGCATTTGAGGTTGCGGATTGGCCAAAGGGAGTTGAAGTTTGTGCACCATATCCTCCAGTTGCACCGAAGGCGCCACCGCTAGTGCCAGCATTTTTACGGCCAGCTTGATAATCTTGGACTCGCAGTTCTTCAACAGAGTAGTTTCGGTATGCTGGCATAGCTGTGATCGTTTGATAGCTGTTGTTCACACCAGTGCTAGTGTCACGTTCAGTTGTAGCGGTGAATTCAGGGTTGACAGTGCCTTGCACTTGGCCAGTTGCGCCACCGCCAAAAGGAGTGGAGGCCGTGGCTCCGAATCCTGTTGTTGGTGTCGGGTTTGCTGCACCAAATACACCACCACCGGTAGCGGGTGCTGTGCTTCCAAATGCACTGGTGGTTGCTGGTCGCGATCCGAATAATCCACCACCTGTGGCGGGGGTCGTTGATGAACCAAACGCAGGAGTAGTGGATGAAGAGGCTGTAAAGGAAGGTAATTGGTATTTGATAAAAACATTGAGAAAGAACAAGATCATGAACTTACCACCGAAGCCAAAGCCTGAAGTTGCTGGTTGTTGCTGTTGTTGTTGAGTATCTATCAATTGAGTATAATTAATTATCCGCGATGCGAGTGTGGCAGGCATCAGATGTAGGTATGCTGGTCATATGTAACTTACTGGCACCGAATGCTGACGATCCAAAAGCCGATGGTCGTGCATTAAAAGCTGAGGTATTGTTGGAAGTGCTACCAAATGCAGCTATGCAAATGGCAAAGTTGTTTAGGACATTGAATTGCCATGGATGTTATCAAAATCAAACAGGTACATACGTGTAGTGGGTTGAGCCCCAAATGCTGAGGTGCTAGCTCCTGGAGTGGCTCCAAATGCAGACATACCAGTATTAGCGGCACCGAATGCGTTTGGTGCGGCTGAAGTTGCACCAAAGCCTATAGTGAATAAAGTGTAAGTGATCTCTCATTATCTCGCATACCGCAGCTACGGCATAGAATTTTGTCAAAATTCTTACCACCAAACGTCGACTGTTGTTGCTGGGGTTGTTGGCCAAAGAGAGAGTTCTGCTGTTGTTGTGGTTGCTGTTGCTGTTGCTGCCCAAAGGCGCTAGAGCCAAATGCATTACCTCCTCCAAACATGATTACCAGCCCAAGTTATGGATTCGAGACTGGAGCATTTTGCTTGAAAAAAAAATACGCGCCAAAGTTCACATCTCGAATCACGTGATATATTCCACCCCTCGTCAAATTCTCATGAAGCGCTGCTTTGATCCAGGCTTTAGCAGACGAGGTAAAGGCACATTTGTCGATACTTAATACGATTGACATATCAAAGAGCGAAAGACATAACGAAGATGTACTAAAAAATTCATGTTTATTCAATTCCAATGGAAGGTGACAGTACTCTTACTTCATACCTGCCAAATGGTGTCAAATTCCCTGTGTAACGCAAAGGCATACAGCCGGTGTCTTTTACGAATGGCTTCACACTCATCACATTGCCCACATGCTCATCCCAGACAACGTAAGATTTTGCCTTCGACGAGTGGCCATACAATAAATATATTGTTTGATGACCGCTCACTCATAAACTTTCTGGTCACTACTTTATGAACATATCAGCGTTTGCAAACGCACCAGAACTTAGATTCCACTCAGCATCCAGACGGCAGAGGATTGCAAACTGAGTCACAGGAGATACTACAAGAAGTGCTCTCTGGTAAATATCATTGAAACATATTTGTTTATATGGTAGCTATGGAGTACTGACAACCTCCGATGCGGACGAAGGTGATTACCACGCTGCCCTCGAGCATCTGTCTGTATCGCCTCCAGATGGTTTATCGAAAAATATGCTAGAGAAACTCAAGCGAGTATTCGTAGCATATATAAGTTTCCAGCAAGACTTTCAGGGACTTGACCCTTCGATTTTAAAAACGGGCAAACTGGATGTAAATGCAACCATTGATCGATTCGAAGCCGTTTTATACGACATGGGTGATGTCGCAGAAGAATATGACGACTCAAACACTCGTATTTTTCTTACCATTATGGCAGAGAGGTTACTTCAAATGGCCAAATTGTTCCAAGACGAGGTAAATTTTTTAATGAAAGCCTATGTCCATGCAAACATTTTGCATAACTGAATTCATATTTTACTTCAAAAGCATATTAATAATCGAATGGTCATGTCGATGCCATCCAGCCTGGGCAACAAAGCTTCCAGAGTGAACCTCTTAAATCAGATCTTCTTCCTGAGCTGCTGAGCAAGTCACAGTTCGGGGCACAATTTTTTTTTTTTGCTCCACAGTAGGAATTGTGCGGGCAGCCGAAACTTCATCGAAAACGAAATGCTGTACGTGATTGGTCTCGGTCTCTCTGATGAAAAGGACATTACTGTTCGTGGCCTTGAAGCGGTCAAAAGCTGCGAGCGTGTATATCTGGAAGCTTACACCAGCATTCTGATGGTGGATTCTTCCAAGCTTGTAAGTTTGGGTTTCTGAATATTTCCCGCCCGTACATGAAACTATAGGTCACAGCAATATCTAAATTCCTTTCATTTGAATACAGTCCGAGTACTATGGCAAGCAAGTCATTGTTGCCGACCGAGAAATGGTTGAATCCGAGAGTGACGCTATTTTAGCCGATGCCGATAAAATCAACGTTGCATTTTTAGTAGTTGGTGACCCTTATGGGTAAGTGACAGTTGTCAATCATGTTGACATGACTGTTTGTCACAAGGAGTAACCATTTTATTATTATTTGCGGCTGTCAGAGCTACTACACACACGGATCTTGTCATTCGTGCCCGCGAGCTCGATATACCGGTGCAAGTCATTCACAACGCTTCCATTATGAACGCAATAGGCGCGTGCGGACTTCAACTATACAACTTTGGTCAAACCATCTCAATTGTATTTTTCACCGACACATGGCGGCCCGATAGCTTTTATGACCGAATCAAGGAGAACCGTGCGCTTGGGTTGCACACTTTGTGTCTACTAGGTAAATTGAAAAGAGGGCTTTGAAACAGTCAATAACATCCGTGCTCACATGTTTGTTTTACTTTAGATATCAAAGTGAAGGAGCAAAGTATAGAAAATCTGGCTCGAGGAAGAAAGATCTATGAACCCCCGCGCTATATGACTGTCAACCAGGCGATTGAACAGCTTTTGGAGATCGAAGATAACCGTGGTGAAAAGGCCTATACGGGTGAAACACTGGCCATCGGATGTGCACGCGTCGGCCAACCACATCAAACATTGATCTCTGGCACCCTGCAGCAGCTGGTCGATGCTGATTTTGGCGGACCCCTTCACTCACTTGTGATCGTTGGTAACAAAATGCACGAGTTGGAAGCTGAGTTTGTCAAGGATTTTGCTATCGACAAGACCAGCTTTGATGAAATTGTCAAGCGAGATTATTCCCTTTGAAACCCATAAAAATATGAGTCCCTTGCATGAACCCGCGGAGACATTACGCCTCCCAAAACAAACCCCCAATTCAATTAAAAATAAAAATAATAGTCCCAAAGAGTTTGCATTTCATCTCTTTTTTTCCTTTCCCTCACTTTGTGAACCATGTCTGATTCTAGCAAACAAACTGAAAAGAAACTCCATGAGGGTATTGACAAGGCCTCTGACGTAGCCAAGGATGAAGTTACCAGACTTCGTAACGAACTGAATGAACTTAGACGAAAAGCTGGACCCAAGGTGCAAGAAGCTGAAAACTTTTTGACTTCGCCTCCCGTGCTTGGCTTCATTGAAGGTAAGGAAGTGTTCGGAGTCCCATTTTATTGGTACCCAGAGAATATACTAACACGCGCGCCTTCTTTTTGGACCCATCTTACCTACGAACTGACTTCTATGGTATAAAAGGATTCGTTGCTGGAGCTGCTGTTGTTCTGCTGTATGCAAAGTATAACGGAGGTCTTCGCCTTTAGATAGTGATTCGTTGTTCTACGAAAAAATAAAAACATAAACATTTATACAATGCTACCCACTTTTGAGTGTGCGATGACGACACCAAATTTTATCTAGAGAGGAGGTTCCCAAGTCCCTTCAGTCTCGGTTGCACCTGAAGAAAACGCTCTCAGCATCTGAACCTTTTTATACAGCCATCGCCTCTGTGCACTCCATTTCCCACTAAGCATTCATGTTTTGGCGTTTTGGCTTCCATAATCCTTCTGCCATTGATTCTTTACTCGATAAAGAGGATGTCTCGCTGGACGAACTCTTCGAAGACGATGATCTGCTGCAAGAAGCAAAGACTCATAATCAAAAGCTTATCAACTTCCTGTGTGCGCCTGATATTCTGAAGCAGCTTGTACATCTCATCACAGCAAACGACTTACCCGATCATCAAACTTTAAAATACCCATACCTTGCCAGTGAAATCTTGTCTTGTGAAATTCCTGCTTTAGTCGATGCCATTGTCCTAGACCATCTTGATCTCTTGTCAAAATCTTGGTCCATATTCGATACTGAGGACACTCTTGGTACCCTGCAAACTGGTTATTTTTGTAAAGTGAACGCTGTTCTACTTGCAAAGCGCACATCGGAGATGATCACCTTTATCAAATCCAGGGACAATATCATTGACAAGATGATAAGTCATCTAGACGATGCTAGTCCGGTTGGCGACCTTTTTTTGACGTTGGTTAGATGTGAGGAACTTCCTGAAGGACAAGGCATAGTACAGGTATGGATGCGCAGCAGTGATAAACATTCAGCCTTATAACTTTATCTAATCAGTTATGCCTTTCACAGTGGTTGAGTGAACAAAAGTTGTTGATTAAGCTTATAGATCGGTTGGAACCGCATAGAGATCCAGAGGTATGTTGGTGCAACATATGTATGCAAATTGCAATGGTGTTGTCACACAATGTCTAATATACTGACTGGCTTTCTTTCGTTACATGAATAGACTCATGCCAATGCTCAACAGCTCATTTCCGATATCATTCGTATGTCACAAACAAGTAACCCAGAGTCACCCACCATTGGCACCAACGCTCTTATTCAAGAGTTAAAGAGCAAAGAAATTATGACAAGACTTGCCGATTACATGTTAGACAGCAATGCACCAAATGCCACCTCAAGTTTGATAAACGGCGTGACTATTATTATTGACTTCATTAGACATAATAACAGGTAATTGCTTGCCCCACCACTCACTTGCTTGAGTCAATGATCATTGTCTTTTTAACCTTTTCACCACTTTCTTTTCAGCGATTTTGAAATGGATCAAATGCTGGTCATGGGAGGTGGAACCATGCTGGGAGGAATGCAACAGGGCATGCTATCCTCTGTCAACTTGGGTGAAATGCTGCAAGTCATGGCAGACCGAACTGAAAATTTCCAAAAGCTGTTGGTTGAACCTAGATCTGTTGTAAGTTCGATGGCTAAACCATGTAGAGATTGCTTGTAATGAGTATGCCCATACTAACAGATTTTTTCTTTCTTGTGATCTCATTAATAGAGCGATCCTGTGCCTACAACAACCGGACCCCAAGTCCCTCTAGGCTTTGAACGCTTAAAAATTTGTGAATTGTATGCTGAACTTCTACACTGTTCCAATATGTCAAATCTTAATCTTCCCGTCAAAGAAAACATCACCATATCTGAAATAGCACAACAACGCTCCACCATGTCCACTCCTCTGGGAGATACCCACACATTAGAATTCTTGGAACAGCATCACGTTAACCGCCAACTCGGTATTTCGAACGAAGACTCAGCCATGGCGTCAAATGCTGCAACAACTTCTGATACCGACAACGACTCTTCTGATGCCACTGGAATACAGTCCAAAGAGACTGAATTCACTGGAGAAAAGGTTGTTGCGTCTGCTCCTTCTGATGAGCCAGCTGAAACCGAAGAGGAGAATGATGATGAATTGCGCCTCGCTGAAGACCTTTCAGCGCAAGACGATCACAATGTTTCCTCGGGAGATCCTCATAAAGAGACGGCAATGGAGGACCCAAGCGATGCAAGCAACTTAGATGCAGAGCACAGATTGCAAATGCCAATCATGGTAGACTTTGAAGGCGAACAAGTAGCAGTTGGTGATTACCTCAAAATGCAATACGTTAAGCACCGCGTATTACCTGCCTGTTTGGTAAGAACAAAACTCATCATCATTTTTGTATTGGCTTGTCTTGGGAGACATGAACTTGGCTAATACAAATTGTCTGTATAGGATCTATTCTTCTCCTTCCAATGGAACAATTTCTTACATTACGTTGTTTACGATACCCTTCATCAAATCTGTAATGGCCGTATGGACTTTGGCTATAACCGAGAACTCGTCATTTCGGTAAGTGTACAGCAGGTTTGGTATGGAAGAGCTGCCGTCGGTTTACTAACGGGGGTTTTTCTGACAGGTCTTCAAAGATGGTCGGCTCACCCAGCGAATTGTTGAAGCTCAAAAATTAAACGATGAATTATGGTACGTGTACAGTATACCCTGTGATACTGCCTGTCACCGACACTCACATTTTAAATTTCTGTAGTGCAAAAGCAAAGGGCCGCCGTCTTGGATACATGGGACATCTCACATTCATTTCCGACGAAGTCATCAAGGTGCTTGCATCCTACCCAGATGAGATTTATGCTGTCGTCAAAGACAGTCTGGATTTGGATGCATGGGACAGTTACATCAACGGACCATTAAGAGAAACAAAGCTTCGTGACCGTGTGCCGCTTGGCGGCATCAAGCCCGCTGGCGGACTAGATGGCCTTGAGCACGATATGATGACAGAGGACATCACTAGACAAATTGCTGAGGTCAAGGGAGACTTTGCTGACGAGGATGATGATGACGAAGAGGACGGTATGGGCGGTTGGATAAGGTAATTGCCTGCTGTTGCCTTTCTATGTCTTTATACCCTTACTAAATCATTTTGTATCTCCCCATAGTACCGACTTTGATAAGGAACAAGAGTATATAAGCAGTGGCGGTTTCCAACATACTGGTAGCTTCGAAGATGATCAAAACCAGATTGATCAAGAGTTTGGAGTTGACAGTGATGAAGAAGCAGAAGAAGATGCTGCCTTCGGTAAAGAATGGAAAGAATTCAGAAATGCCTTTCCCACTGACAAGACGGCTGGCGCCACCGCTTTTGAGAATGAAGCGACAGACACTGCGTGGGCCATGCGAGACCCCCAAAACCCATTTGAAGAAGAAGATGAAGTCATCAATGAAGAAGATCCATTTGCGGCACGAACTAACGACCCATTCGGCCAAGACGATGATGGGTTTGGCAAGAACGACGATGACTTTGGTGGTTTCGTAGGGGCCAGTAGTGACGACTCAAACCAACAAAGCGCCGAAAAAGATGCTCAAGACCCTTTCAGCCAATTTGAACAAGACGCTAGAAAAGAAGTCTCTTGGTCAAGTTTCGCGAGCGACTTTGGTGAATTTGAAAAACTGAAAGTCACCAATGTTGAATCGCCCACTGTCGAAGTTCTCACTCAAACAACCGAAGCTGACTTCGGCCAAGATGTTCCAACAGAACAGCTGTCTGAAACCAGACATTCATAACTTGCGATCTCTCACCATTCCATCATAGCTTGACACCTCCCTATTTACCACTTTCACACTTCAGAATAAACTGAAAATTGTTGTTATTTTATTACAATACCAAGTATGGAATGGCTTTAGAAAATGGAGCCTAATATTGTATTTACACTTGTATATGACCGTTGGGCAGAGACAATTACATGATACTAGTTATGTACTGAGAAGAAGAGTGAAGTAACGGTTAGCGAGAAAAACATATTGCCATAGATACAATAGAGCAGGCGTTTACTTACAACCACAATGGTCTGGTCGTCACCACTGAGCCCCAGTTCCTCCATCATGAACCTTCGACCTTCTTCGGCCGCCTGACCCGTGAGAGAGCTCTCATCATAGGATTGCAAATCAGACGGCTTCGCGGATGCTGGAGCTGGACTTGCCCTGCTATCATCGTCACTGCCTTCCGAGCTGCAACTTTCAGATCCGGTGCTGGAGCCTGTATCATCGTCTCCTTCGTTGGTCATTGAGAAACTTTCTTCGTTTTGCAGTTCAGAGGCCGTCATGTTGGATGTATAGTAGCAGCTGGTCGCTCCAGTAGCGGAGGATACTCCACTGAAATCAGATTGCAGCGATCCGTATGGCTCAGGTGCTGCATCTCTTGGCACGTCGCTACTATCGGTGTGTGATGGCTTATCTATGGGGATCGTTTTAGGTGGTGTGGCTAGTCGTTGGTCGCCTTGATTCCAGTCGAGGTCAGCAAGCGCTGGTCGTTGTTCACGAGAAGCAGCGATCGACTGCAAAGTAACTGTTGCTTCATTTTGTTCATGATTCGATGGATCCGCATCGTCTTTTGCATTATCTTGGCTAGTTGATGCTTTGCGAGGTCCATTGGCTGCTGCTGCTTTAGCGATCTGCTGCCTTAACAAGTTGCTCTCTTGCATGCTGCTGAGTGAGAGGAACTGAGGCCGTTCAGAAGCCATAGCCGAATCTTTGTTTGCCATAAAATTAGAGATGGCTCTCAAGTCGAGTGAATTAGTGCTGGTATCGGACCACGTATGAAGCTTTTCTGGTGAATCAGACGACGACAACACAGAGTCCATCGGATTCCCTTTCTCCCTCTCGTACTTGGTTTGGCGTTCATCTATCCGTCGCCAGTAATCCATCAATTTTCGCATACTCCACTTTTGAGAGTCTTTGGCCACTTCGGCTGAGCTTGTTGCGAATGCTGTATCTATCGCAGGCTCAGGGATAAATTCGGAGACCTGATCATTATGTATAAAAGCATGGTATAGGATATAGGCCTTTAGGGCAATATTGAAGAAAATGGTATGTATATGGGCGATAAGAGCTGCATCGGACTGAAAACAATACCCTTATTTTTAGTGCAAGCTGTGATGGAACGACCCACCATCATGAACTGATCAATATTTACCGGAAATGTATAGGCATGGGAGATCATGTCATCAATCCAATGTCCATCAACATAAAGCGGCCCGCAAAGTAAACTGCCGCCATGGCCGGCGGTCTCGACATTATCAAGGTCAAAGACACTGACATCCATGGCGTATATCGAGGCATTGACCTTATCTTTTGGTACCCCGATCAGTTTCACACCCGTCAGCATATCTTCCGTCAGCGTATCAGGATGCCACTTGATAACACGATGCGTTCTTCTGGAATGACCAGGGACAAACAATGATAATGCCAGCACGACACTTTTAATATTTCTGATTGGTAAAATATGGAAGAGAAGTAGTCAGCATTATGGTATTGGTGTTTTACTCTGCGATCCAATTCACTTACTCTTCGCTTGATGCGCCACCAACAACTAGGGTGGTTCTTCCGCTCATTATCGCAAATATAACGTGCTTGATGTATCGCGTATTTTCATGCAGGGCATTCTTAAGTCCAGTGCCTGGATCCCCGTCGTTGCGATCCCAAACTTGTCCTCCAATTAGGGAAAGAATATAGTTTGCACTGGGAACCTTGTCGTCCAAGTTGGCTCCACCTAAAGATGGGATTGAAGAACTGGTCTTCTCTTCACTGTCACTATAGCTGCGTTCTTTCCTGGTTGGAAGGATGGTGCTTTTGTCGTCGACGACATATAATCGTTCTCCTCTGATACGGTGACCTCCAAGCTCGAGCTTTACAGAGTTTTCTGTTGCATTTTTTTCCTCCTCTTCTTCAATTTGTTTTGCTCCAATTCTAAGAAACATACCACATAAAAAAAGAGCAGATGTTAGATTGAAGCTTGCTGATTACCGTCACTCCACCTTGTACTTACCTTCGAGGTGCTGGATTTTTGAAGTTCATGACCATGGTTCTTCCGATGGATAGAATTGCAGAGGATGGTCCTATCAGGATTGGAAATGATAAGCTATACTTGTTAACAATAAAAAGAAAATGCCTCTGGTGTACATACTAGCAACATCCAGATCCTCATCTTGGATATCAAGCGAAACGCTGTTCCTTCCCAAGTCACGCACAATGTCCATAATCTCATTAATGGTCTCTGCATATTTATCTAGAGCGATGTAGAGCGAATGTGATGGTTGCGACAGCATATCTACTGAATTCGGCGTAAGCTTCGGATTCGCAAATTCCTGTGTCGGACTCAAAAGGATGGTTTTGCGAACATCATCTTGCGTAATAATGGGTTGCTTTAGTGGTGAACATAACTGAGACAATGTCCGTAACCGGCGATCTGATGCTGTTACGGGGAATATAGAATGCACTATTTGAGGCTGTCAAAGTAAATCAGCATACATGCTCTTAGCAGAAGAAAAAAAGGTCATAGCCATGATGATTCACCTCGTATTTTGCATCCAGCGAGCTATCAAGTAGCCTTCCATCCTCATCGGCCTGATTTACGCTATCTGAACTGTCTCCCGCAGCTGCCTTCAGTTGGGATTCGCGATTCCGCCGATGTTCAAGAAAAGCGCTACTCCAAGGGCCTTTGAAAGGGAGCATATCAGTGACGGTTGACAAACCCCTCGATACAGTCCTTGTCATAGCAACAACCGAAGATGCTACTGAATTTGACCGCTGCTTATCTTCCGACTCCGTCTGCTGTTCATGAGCCTTTTTGGCTGTTTCAGTCTCTTTCTCGCTTGCGACTTTAGAGCTTTGCTCACTTTCTGATTCCTGTATTTTTGAAGAAAACAATACAGGGTGATGTTCCACTTGATCGATTGTAGCCTTCAGCTCTCCAATAGCTTGTTGTAGAGCTTCAAGCGTCAAATTGCCATTACCATCAACAGGTTGTGAAGTATCCTTGTTTGGATCATCATTGCTCTCTTTTAAACTATCTTCCTTCGATTCTGTATTCAATTGTTGCGACGCCATCTGTGACTCTGTATATTCTAGATCTTGAAGTCGGTAATGTAGGTCTCGAGCAAAGTTTGGGAAATTACCAACTTTCAGGATATGAGACACTTTGGAAAAGCGTTCCATGAAAATCGAGAAGCGTGGCAATATTTTATGAGGATCCTTCGTGACATAAGATATAGATACCGGCCGCACATAGCCTCTGGCGGAGATGTCGAAGAGAGTCAAGTATTGAGTCTTTAAACATGAGAGTGTCAGCAAAACACTAAGCGAGCCTCTCAAAAGCATAGCGAATACTTACAAATGAGTAAAACTTTCCCTCAGAATCATATGAGTAAATTTGAGCATCTTCTGGAATTCGAAACGGAGTGGTATCTCCTGAATTTGGTTCAAGCGTAGTAGAATCTGCTAAGTCAATAGACGGAGACTGATGTGGTGAAGCGATTGCATCGTCATCAAAACTGCGTCTGTGATGATCAGGTGTTTCATTAGCTGACACAATCTTGACCTAGAAATATTCCCCTCTGTCCTGAACTAAATGCTTACCGCTGCTCAGAAGATCTATCGACCGAAACAATACGCAGTACGAAAGAGTTCAGATCGAAGTGTTCAATGCCAATTTTGGAAAGAAATGATTGTGCATCTTTGGGAAGAGGAGCTTCGTTGGCGGATGAAGATTCCTTTTTCATATTGATGGTTTCAAGGTCTAAACAGGCATCTTCTATGATAACAGCAAGTGGAAGTGGGCCTTGCATTTCTGAGAACTCACTCAGCAATACAAAGTCGTGTTGGCCCGCGTATCCATGTCTGAAGCCTTCGAGGTTGATATCTTCATCTGATAGACCTGATAATTGATCTAAGAGCTCTTCACCCCACCAGCAATGCTCTCTGTTGGATTTCGTGGGTTGAAGGCTGTATTTGGATTAGTTGTTGGGTTAATATGTGACTCAAGGGAGTGGAGCGGACGGGCCATCGTAGCAGGGTAAGGTTAATACAAACCTAAAACATGCCACATTGATGTTCACCCGCCGTTTCCCTTATTCAATAAGCACAAATATATTATACCTTTGATAGCGGCTTTCGTTATTGAAACTGAGTCCAAGACCTACACTGCTCGGCTTTTGCTGTTCGTCTTTCAGATCTTGATTTGTGGTAGAGTGAATCTCCGCTATAGGATCGCTGCTGCTGCTGCTTAGCATCTCTGAGGTATGCAAATCGTCGGGCATCAGTAGAGGGGAATGCGATGAGCGCAATCCTGCGTGCGTATCAAACAAGATCTCGACCTCTTCACCATAAGTGGCCATGGCAAAGGTGCGCTTCTGCAGCTGGGTTCCAGAACAGGCTGACTTCGTGACTGGTACAAAGGGCCTCGCCACTTTTGGCAGCCCACTGTGTTCATGACCTTACCAGACGATATAATCCACCTCATACTGCAATACCTTTCCATTACTGACATCTCCAGCAATTCTGCATTAACTTGTCGTCAATGGAATTCAGTTTCTCGAGAAGTGATCAACAAAAGGCTCAATCGCTTGTGCTCAGCACCATGGCTCAACTTTCAGGTAAGGCTGCTTTTGTAACGCTAGTAAATCAAAAAAATTACGCTTTTTTTAAAATAATTCGTTCGATAGCTTGACTATAAAGAATGCAGGAAAACGTATATTAAATTAGGGAAACGTGTATTTGACGTCCAACACAGCGCTTTCATCTCCAATCTCATAGCGTTGCCTGATGAAACGAAATCGAATCATCATGTATCTCAGCAGCCCATTTTTCAGCTAAACGCTGACTGCACTTCTAATTTCGATATGGAAGTTGTTCTATCATTTACAACAAGTTGCATGGAACCGTTTTATGTGGACTGGGCTACGGTGTACAACACGACAGACGTACATTCCAACAATGGGTTTTTCGATATGAAGATTGAATTTGTTAATGAGCAGGACATTGATATGAACAGCATGAAGCTATTCCGGTGGCGCGAAAAGAAAACGGTTTTTCAAACGGTTACTGGACCCCCTCCTGATGGAAGATACTTCATGGTGACCGCTATAGTCGTATGTGCAAAGAAAGTGGCTGCCATGCTGGAAGAATATCTCAATATCGACATCGACAAGTCATGTCTATTTCCGACATTGGATAGCCTACTGGATGACCCAGAGTAGCACTTGCCATGTCACATACATGTACAGTATCGAACTTTTGTAAATTATAGCGCCATGTATAGGAGGGCATTGCATGACCCATTCATATAGCATTTTGTTTCATAGTATGATTTTTCTTTCATAGTTTATTTCTCCATTACATGTATAAAAAATCAATTAGGCAATAACAGTAGAATTTTAGAGTAACGTTGGTAATAAGGATTGAAATGTACTCTACTCGTCATCAGGCTCAAATATCACTCGGTAGTTTTCAAGAATCGTTTGCACGACTCGAACTTGCCATTGAGTCTCAGCGAGCTTTAGAGACTCTGCTTGAATATTGACAGGCGCTACAGACGGAGTGTCGTTGCCCATCAAAGTCAGTCCGAAAATGGTGGCCAAATTGGAAATGCCCATCTTGTTATGTCTTTGAGATTGTTGAACTCTATAGGGATAGGATGGTAAGTTTTAAAATTATCTAGATGAGAATCAACACTCGCACCCAATATCAATTACGCACCTGTCTAAATGATTCATCATAAACTTCAGAGTAGCATAGTTGGCATCTGGAAGATCGTTGATGATACTATGAAGTCCGAGAACACGCATACGCTCATCATCAATTTCTATATGGTAAAAGTAAGAGGTTAAAAACCGTGGTTCGTTCATCCTCCTGCAATTGGGTTTCAAAAGCTATCAGACTTACTTGCAGCATTTAAGAAGTGCTGGTATGCCGCACGAGGAAAGAGTGGATCTGGCAGCTCTCTGAACCAAAGTTTCAACACACTGGTTATATTGTTGATATCAGAGACATTCTCTTCGGCGTTAAGGTTAACATTTCTGCAGTCTAAAATTCGGAAGAGAAGATTGATGAGAAAAATGTAACAGCAGTACACAGGAATACATATCAACTTCAGTTTTACCTCTGTCAAAAGCACTTTTAAGCTTTTGGATTTGGGTATTAGTACCAGACACTCGGTATATGCCAACAGTATTAAGACCTACAGAGCGTATCGCCAGACGTTAGTAACGGCACGATGGAAGAAAATGACGGCATCGTTATGCATTCAATGCCTTACCATAGGTCTCAACAGCCTCTGCGCATTTTCTCAAGATTACGGGTACTTCTTCTCGGTCTCTCTCCATCAGTATGGCCAAATCAACACCAAATACTGGATTAGGGTTCAAAACCGACTTAGCAGTCTTGGACATGCTGTATTCTTTATAGGGTATCTCGTTCTTTTGCGTTCGACTAGTTCTGCCGCCATATTGTTTGATATAATCCTCAAGATCAGAGTCCTTGTCAATTTTTTCTGTCAGCGACCGTAAGCCCAGACCTATACAGAAAAACAAATGTAATGAATAAACCAAATCGCATTGCCCCGCACCTATATTGAGCGTCTCCTAGTACCATCGTCATTGTCCAGTGCATAACCGTCAGCTGTCAGAGCTTGTTCGTAAATGTAGGCATATCGAGCCAGCTGATATCTCAAAGCCACATTGCATTCATCCCCGATGGACTTTAAGTTCTGTAAAAACACCATAACGTCTAAGTAATCGTCGATGTAACCGACCCACCATGCCGTCAATCAACTTACAGTCAGAGAATTGGGTAAATGCGTTTTAAAGTACTCTGCGCGTGTCGCATTGGTAATATTGAGTTGTTGGCGGTAGGTCTGATCGGAAGCAGCAGCTTTGGCTCTGGCTTCTTCCTCTGTTCTGTCCAACTACATTGAAAGCAGTAGAGAAATGGTCACAAACGACTGGTAATATCAAACAGACTCGTGTTTAGCAAACTAACCTGGGCCTGAGTCTTGTTGCTCTTGAAAAGAGCCTTTTTGGTCATTTGTGACGGCTCGTTATTCTTCAACAAGATAGATTGCTCCCATTGCTCACTATGCAGCTCGTACTTTTGTTTCGCCTACAGAGCACATTTTAGTTAACTTTTCTAGGATTTCAATTCCTTTTTTCCTCCAAAAAATACCTTTTCAAGTGCCAAGTCAGCGTCAGACACCAATCTCTCATGACGTAAACCTTGCTCCTTGGCTTGCTTCCGGCTCTTTTCGGTATCTTTAAATAGGAGTTGCAAGTCATCAGCAACTTCAGTAATGTCCGTTGAGAACTTGACGTGCTGCTCCCCAATTTTCTCATGCACTTTGAGGATAGAAGTCCATGCGTCTCCATACGATCTACATTATCATCGTTAATTGTTTTGTCTGCGCAGCTTGTTATTCATGCTAAAATGAACTGACCCAGCTCGAGGGTGAGCCTTTTCAAAAGACTCGGCCATAGATTGTGCTAATTTCGTCATCTGTTTTCCATATTCCTCCTCCAATGCTGCACGTTTTTTCAGGAACATCATAGCGTCCTACACAGCGAGTGTTAGCGGTAATCCATATGATCAACAACGATCTCAAGTTTGCAGTCTACGCTGGGAAGAAATGATTTTTGCCAATCTACATACCTTTGTTGATTGCATGTCTTGCTTTACTTTGTCCAGTAGGCAGTGGAGACCACTCTATTTTAATAAGTTTGCATAAGTAAGCTTTTAGGTGACTGAGCTCACCCGCAGAACCAAAAAAAAAAGTCCTTACATCTAGATCAGAAAGCCTCCCGATTAGCTCCAGGGTATGTTGTGCATCTTTTTCAGCACCATAGACTGGAAGCGCTTCTAATGGTTCGTCGACCATCATTTCGCCAGACTTTTTAGTATAGTCGTCGTTCATCATGAATGGGAGAAAGGCACGACCAAAAGTCCAGTTTACCGTTCGGAGTCTACACTTGTCCATAAATGGAACATCAATCAAAGCAACCCAATCACAAGCGAGAGTTTGGACGACCGAAAGAATTTGATCCATGCCCAGACGACCACAAAAGAAATTGGGGTTCTGCGTAGAGACTTGGTCATACCGTTGAACGCAACGAGATACTAAAAAGCTGCCTAAATTCGCTGCTGTATGAAATTTCTCGCATATTAAAATACACCTTCAACTGAAGCTACTAAATATCAATTTTGTCAAGTGTATTGGACAATTGTAAGTCAAATACATATGGCAGAAGCCGACAGGTGGATATATCAATGCTCCTGAACTATGCTTAGTTATTTTCAATGGTTATTGGCAGAAGAACAGTTACTTACCATGCTTTGAAAACGACAAGCCAAAGCTGTGACTGGCTATTGTGACTGTTTCTACTGAAGCGGGCAAAATTTCAGATTTTGCAAAAACCTGCTGCAGTAGAACCTGAAAAAGTGCAGTATATAGTTCTCTGTTCAACTCGGTCATGGCAGCTAAAAGAAAAGTGCCCACAAAGAAAGGAAAGGTAACTTCCTTCAAGGACGACGAAAAGAAGCCTTTCAGTAAGGGAAAGCAACATGGATCCAAGTTCGGGAAGAAGAATGTTGACGAAAAGCCCATGTCAACCACAAAGGCGAAAAAGAAGGAATTTCAAGCAAAACGATATAACAAAAAGACCAAGAAAACCGAAGAAGATGATGAAGACTCCGAATTTGAAGTCGTACCCAACAATACGACCAAACCCTCGAAATCCACTGGAAGCAATGCTGCGAACACTGATTACAACTCGGATGACGACTCCGACGACGATGGTGCTGTCGACATGTTTGGATCCGCCGGTACCAAGTCAGCTAAAGGAGATCTGGAACATAATGAGGATGGTGATGATGTTGTAGACGGAGAAGGTCAAGATTCGGATAACTCTGATGACGATGACAAGTTTATTGCCGCTGAGAACTTGAATGCCAATCGCAAGAAGAAGAAGTCTGGTGGTTTCCAGTCTATGGGTCAGTATCAAGATATACCGATTTTATGGCTTTTTTACGATGAGTTGATATATATATATATCATAGCTCAATAACACTTTGATTTCTCGCTTACTAACTTCATGCACTGCAGGTTTGAGCCAAAATGTCTTTAAAGCCATCTCTCACAAGGGTTTCAAGGTACCAACACCAATTCAGCGCAAGTGCGTACCTATCATCATGGAAGGAAACGATGTCGTCGGAATGGCAAGAACAGGTTCAGGAAAAACAGCTGCCTTCCTTATTCCAATGCTGGAAAAACTTAAAACGCATTCAGCTAAGGTTTGTGTATGCTCCATGTAATCGTATTGTAGTGTTTATGGATAGCTAATCATCATTGATTGATATCAGGTTGGCGCCCGTGCAATCGTCTTATCACCATCTCGTGAACTTGCTCTGCAGACGCAGAAGGTTGCCAAGGAACTTGGAAAGTACACGGACCTCAGAAGCTGTATTATTGTCGGTGGTGATAGTTTGGAAGAACAGTTCTCCATGATTGCGTCCAATCCCGACATCATCATTGCTACACCAGGAAGATTGCTCCATCTTATTGTTGAAATGAATCTCGATATCAAGACTGTGGAATATGTTGTTTTTGATGAAGCCGATCGTTTGTTCGAAATGGGTTTCGCTGTTCAGCTCCATGAAATTTTGTCTCGTCTTCCTCAAAGCAGACAAACACTTTTGTTTTCCGCCACACTTCCTAAGCTTCTCGTTGACTTTGCCAAAGCTGGTCTTCAGGATCCTACATTGGTACGTTTAGATGTGGATACCAAGATCAGCAAAGATCTTGAAATGGCTTTCTTCAACATCAAGCAACAGGAAAAGGAAGCAGCGCTGCTCTATATCCTTCGAAATGTTATCAAGCTTTCGAAAACCACACCTTATGCTGCCGATACGAATGCTGAACAGGATAAGAAAAAGAAGAAGTTCAAGAAGCCAGTCAATATGGGAGACCTTCATCAGACCATTGTTTTCGCTTCCACTAAGCATCATGTCGAATATCTTGCCAATTTGCTGATGTTGGTAGGATATCAAGTTTCATATGTCTACGGTACACTGGATCAAACCGCTCGTCACATTCAGATTAACAACTTCCGTAACGGAATCTCCAATATCATGGTTGTCACAGACGTTGCTGCTCGTGGTATTGATATTCCTATTTTGGAGAACGTCATTAACTATGACTTTGTCGATTCATCAAAGGTGTTTATTCATCGTGTTGGTCGTGCTGCTCGTGCTGGTCGTCGTGGTTGGGCATACTCTCTCATTACTCCAGAGGAACTTCCTTACCTTATGGATCTCCAACTCTTTTTGTCTCGCAAACTCGTGTGTGGAAATACTGAAGCCAACGAAAAGGGATACGACTTTACTAGCGATATCATAATGGGAAGTGTACCACGCGAGCTTATCGATGATGACTCCGAATGGGTGCGATCTCGTGTTGCTGCAGATGCTGAGCTGACAGGACACCAGCAAACTGCCATCAATGGTTACAAACTGTACTGCCGAACACGCCCTAGTGCAGCTGCTGAGAGTTATACACGAGCCAAAGAACTTTTGAAGTCTTTGAATATCAAAGATCCACATCCTTTGGTAGTTCACGACTTGAATACTGCATCTCAGCAATCTCGGTCAGCCTTACTCTCGTCTATCACCAACTTCAGACCACAAGAAACCATTTTCGAGGTTGGTCAGAGAGGAACCAGAAAGACTTCAGAAGCTACAATGATCATGCGCTCACGCCGCAAGGCTGTCTCCAAGGTCATTGATGCGCACAAATCCCGACAAGCGGAGAAGACTCAGAACGTGTTGGATACTTTTACGGGCCCAGAAAATAATGGCGACGAAGCAGATACCCATGTTAACCTTGGAGGCGACGTTGATGATGAGGAATTGATGAACACTTTCAAGATGACGGATGAAAAGCCTGTCCGAAAGTTTCAGCCTGCCACCCCAAGCAACAAGAGCAAGAAGCCAGCTAGCTATAAGGATTCAGAATTCTATATGTCATATACTCAAGCTGATGCTAACACAGAGAAGGGGTGAGTAGACAACCATGATCTTGAATGCTACCAAAGCTTTCCTTTGACTAACGTTAATGATTGAATTTCTAGATACTCGATGAATTCCTCTGGAAACTTTGCGGAACAAGCTGCAAAGGCTAGTTTGGACCTTGTTGGTGACGAGCGTGAGACGATGACCCAGAAGAAGAACCAGTTGAGATGGGATTCAAAGAAAAAGAAATTCGTCCAAGGCACTGGTATAGGTTCAGACAACAAGAAGATGATTCGAACAGAAAGTGGAGCGTTGATCTCAGCCAGTTTCAAGAGTGGAAGGTAAAAGATCGTTTCGATTTGGCAGTACCGTTCACTTTTTGTTTACCAAACCATTGTTGACTCATTCGTCTATTATAGATTTGATGACTGGAGTAAGAAGACCAAATTGGCCATCCCACGCGCTGGTGAGCAAGAACTTTCCACGGCCAAAAACAAAATGGGACAAAAGCGTTATAGACACACAGCAACCCAAGAAGCCAAACCTTTGGATCCAAAAGCAATGGATTATGAAAATAAATTGAAGAAGAGAAAGCGACAAGAGCAAGAAGATCCTACTACTGATTCACGACCTAGCAAGAAGGGAGCTTTGGGTACCAAGCGAGTAGGCACTATGAAGAACGCTCGCAACGAACTGAAGGGAACTGATCAGATCAGAAGGGACCGCGCTATGAAGGAACAGCGCCGTGAAAAGAATGCTCGCCACAGCAAGAAGGGAAAGAAGGGAGGACGACGATAGATTCATTAGTTTTTGTAATAAAAGATACACTTTGCTATAGCCGAGGGCATGCGGAATTTCAATTTCCAGCTGACGCAAAAAAGTCACTTTTCGCGCTTCAAAACCCGTACTGTAAAATTATACAAAGCATACCCGGCCTCGACAGCCTGCAGTTCACAGTTTTTCTTTCATTGATTCATCATGTCTTGGCAAGCTTACGTCGATTCCAACCTTATTGGCAGCGGCCAAATCACCCAAGCCGGTATCTATGGTGTTCAGGGTGGTCAATGGGCTGCTTCCCCCAACTTCAACGTAAGTATTCACCCTTAGTCCTATTTATCATCTCTCGTGGCGCTGTGAGATGCTCGTCGTTATGACGAGGTGTGTCCGTGGCTTCAAAAATATCGGACGTTTACAAAAGGTTGAAGGCTCTCGTGAGCTTTTGAGGTTATTGTCATCTTCTTGGACGATCGATCTTTGAATCGCGGCTGAGCATCGCGGTTCGCCTAGTTTGCATAAACGTCAGGCAGCCAGCTAGCTACGACTGCACACCTCCAACCTTTTGAGCATCGTCCTGGGGTCATTTACTCAAATCATTTTTTATTTTCTTCATCACCATGTACTGATTCCTTCTATGTCTTTGATTTCGCCTCGGTATCAATAGGTCTCTGCCGCTGAACTTCAAACTATCAACCAAGGTTTCAGCGATCCCGCTGTCCTTCAGGCCAACGGTCTCCGCGTCAACGGTGTGAAGTATTTGTTCTTGCGCTCGGATGACCGCTCTATCTATGGAAAGAAGGTTAGTATTACATGCTTTGGCGGCTACTATTTCCAGTATGGTGATCTAAGCCTTCCATTCTATTTCTTTCCACCAGGGCAATGATGGTGTTGTTATTGTCAAGACTACACAAGCCGTCCTTATTGGACTTTACGACGACAAGGTCACTCCCGGAAATGCTACCAAGGTCGTTGAAGGCCTTGCTGACTACTTGATCTCTGTCAACTACGTAAGTGACCCGATGATTTTTTATAGTATACCAGAGACATTTATCTGACTCAACCATCTTCCTTATATTACTCTCGACATCGGCATATATTTGTTTGATATTATGCATCGTTTAGTAATCAAATCATGATTCCTATATAAACCAGTTTGTTCGCAACGTTGACATGTTTGTTCTATTTGGGTGGGGTTATCGGTGATAACAGCGGGTATTGAAAAACTAGATTTATAGTCTTATAGCGGGTGAGGTTCCAGGTTCGAGATTGCTTCAGCTATTCTAGATTATACCACCATGGCCGTAGAAAACGTTAAAGGTAGCCATATCCTCCTCATCTCTTTCCACATTGGTTTCGAAATTCCTAATGTTCCTTGCTAGTCCTCATCATGGGTGCCGGATATGGTACTCGGTTACAACGAGATCTCTTGGCTGACAAGACTGGCAAATACCGTCATCTCGTTGGAGTACCAAAAGCACTTTTACCACTTGGAGCACAAGATGCTCTTATTACACACTGGCTTCATCTTTTAGCCAAGAACGGGATTCCCTCTAGCTCAGTTCATGTTATTACCAACGCTGCTTGCTATGATGCCTTTGTCGAGTGGGCAAAGCGAAACAATGTTCCTGGCGACAATATTGCAAGTGACGGCACCACATCCAATGAAACGAGACTGGGTGCTGTACCTGATATCCTGGAAGGTGTCAAGCGATTCAACCTCAACGGCGATCATGTGCTTGTCATTGGTGGCGACACTCTCTTCCTTCATGATTTTGATTTGGCTGAATTTTTGGCTGACTTCCGCAAGAAGGAACGTGCTTGCCTTGTCACTACGTATGAAGTCCCCAATGAAACCGTTCACAAAGTTGGTATCATGGAGATCAACAAGGAAGGTACCGTCACTGGTTTTGTTGAGAAACCTCAACCGTCTGAAACCAGCTCAAGACTGGCTTGCCCTTGCTTCTATTTATTCCACCAACAATCACTTAATTTACTGCAAGACTTTTTGAACGACTGTCATGCGCGCAACGCTGGCCTTTCGGACTACGACGCAACTGGTAAATTCTTAGCATACCTCTGGCCACGTTTTCCAATCCAGACGCATACTATCTCTGGAAGAATCGATGTTGGTGGCTTGGAAAGCTACGTTGATGCCGTACACTACTTTGACCGTCAACAGTTATCCATCGCAGCTCCTCCTTTCCATCGCCCTAGACCTTAGAAACTATTTTGCCTGACCCCCAAAGTAGATACATAACAGATGTACACTTGCTATTTTTTTATTATTAACTTATTTGAAGACATATAGTAAAAATCACACCTTGAAAATATGCAGACCACGATGACACAGTGGTGGTCTGTGCAGCAGCCACTCGGCATAATGGGTCACCGTTCATCTGAGGGCTCCGATCGTCAGCCCAAATCATAACATCTTATCAGCGATGGATATGCAAAATAAAGGAAGGGGGTTTGGGGGAGGGATATTAAAAAATCCTTATATTGCAATCTTCTATTTATTGAACCGAAACACTCTGGTTATGCAAAGAGGTGTCTTCAAGAAGGAAATTTTTTTTTATTCAGTTAAAAATTGACATCCCGCATCCGAACGGATATAATATGTTTTTGAATGGTTTGAGGGAAAAAGAGTGGTTAATGAATAAAGTACAAAGTGGATAATACATCTCCGAAAACAAAAGATAACACTGAGAGAATAATGGAGTTATTATCCATGGGCAATATGTATAGAGGTGGTGTTAACAAAAGAATATATACAAAAGGGGAGGGAGCGAAACCAACGTCGAAAAGTGTACACAGCAGGGATTTACATAGCGCACCAGTCGCTTATCAGGATATCGTTGGCGGTGGGTCGCAAGTCAGGGTTGAGGTTGAAACATTGTCCAAGCAGTTCTTCCAGTTGGGGAGAGATATTTTCAGGCATGGTATATTGACCAGTTTTGATTTGCTGTTGCACTCTAGGTCTGTATTCGTCCACAAATGGAAGGCGACCAGCTATCAGTGTATACAAGCAGACGCCCAGCGACCAAATATCAGCCGACGGACATCTCACAGCTTGTTGCTGAGTAAGTTGCTCTGGTGCTGTGTAGGCAAGTGAGCCACCGGCTGAACTATCTTCACCATCGTCAAATTCAGCAAACGGGCTGCCTGGAGAATGAGTAGCATGGGTAGGGTTTTGGTATTCGGAAAGTCCGAAATCACAAAGCTTGAGGGTCCCATGCTCATCAAACAAGACATTTTCTAGTTTGATGTCTCTGTGGCATACTTTAACTGTATCATGAAGATAGGCTAAAGCGGAACAGAGTTGGATGATAAGAGGCCGTGCCATATCTTCTGTCAATTTGTGAGTGTCGTTTGAACGAATGAGCATATCCAACAGATTGCCGTTAGGGCAGTATTCCGATACAACATAGGTTGCGTAATCTGTCTCCAATGCATCAATGTATTGAACAATATTGGGATGTTCCAGTGACTTCCAAATAGCAATTTCTCTCTCCAAACGGATTTGTACACGTTGATTTTCGCGCTCATTGATCTCCACGGTTTTGTTGGTGATTTTGATGGCTACTTTTTTGCCATCCGATATACGAAAACCTTCACGAACTGAGGAAAAACCTCCGTGGCCGATGGTTTTGCCAAGGACATAGTCTCCAATTTCATCACCATCAAACTCATAGGTGGGTTCGGCAGGTGAAGCAAAGCTGGACAAAAATGAGGCGGCAGGAGACTTTGCATTTCCCCATGAGGAGGCTGATACGCCAATGGGAGAGACGACAGGGTGTGAGGAAGGCAAGGTATTTGAGCGGCGGATAATCTCGCATCGTCTTGTAGCAATACCAGGGCTGGTGAGTTGTCGTTGGTGACGGGCAGGTATGGGAGACAATAAAGTGTGAGAGTGGCCAGCTTCATTGTTGGAAGTGACAGACGATGCAGACGAAGAGGGAGAAAGGTCTGGTAGCCGTGGATAGTTTGAAATTTCTTCAGTTGCCTGTGGGTGTCTATCGTGTGGGAAGCTTAGTTCTTTGTAGATACTGCCATAGGCTTTGTCTTCATCCATGGACCTTCGGCGAGAATCGGATGTGAAATTGATACCCAGAGAGTTGGTATCAATGTGAAGACCATGCTGAGAACGGTGAGTTGAAGGACGAATGAATTGTAAGAATGAGTTGAAGCCTTCTTGTTGCTGTGAATTATCGACCGATTGCATAAAGGCGGAGAGAATATGAAAAGAGAAGAGATGAAAGAGATAAAATTGATCGGAAAGCTTTTTGGTTGGCAAAAGATAAGAAATATTTTTTTGTCCACCAAATGATTCCTCACCCGGCTGCTATCTTTGGCCAATCAAATGCTAGGATCTGAACTGCCTTTTCCAGCAGGCGATCAACTGCGGAGCCTCCTTGCTCACTAAGCTAACTTCGATGCGCATTGTCACATGGAACATTAACGGCATCTCTACAATCTTGCAATACCATCCGTGGTGCGAATCAAAGAAGTTCAAGGTAAGCGAACATGCCCCACTGAAAACAATTCCCAAATTTGACACTCAAATGTCCAACCCAACCCAAAATGACAGGTGTTACTTGACGCGCTGGACGCAGATATCATATGGTACGCATAAGCTCTTTAGATAAAGTCATGGTTTTAATTGACATGACGTCAATCAATCACTCACTCGTTCCTTTACAGCTTACAGGAGATAAAGTGTCGACGAACCAAAGTCACAAAGGAATTTGCTATTGTGGATGGCTACGATGCTTATTTTTCCTTCTCACGGTCTAAACACGGCTATTCCGGGGTTGCAGTCTATGTTCGGCAACCGCTCAAACCAATCTCAGCTGAAGAAGGAATTACAGGCTATTGGACGCAACATGAAACATTTGAGCCGTCACTCGCAATAGCAACTGACTCCATGGTGCTCGATGCAGAAGGCCGCTGTGTTGTTTTAGAATTTGAACTGTTCGTCTTGTTCTGCATTTATTTTCCCAACGATGCAAGCGAGGAACGCCGGATGTACAAGATGGACTACCACCAGTGTGTGCAGGAACGGGCTGAGCAGCTACTGCGCCAAGGAAAACAAGTCATCATAGCAGGTGATGTGAATGCTATGCACCGAGAAATCGACTGTTGCGATCCAAAGAATAATATGAAAGAATGGGGCATATCCAACTTTCAAGATGTGCCTGGAAGACGCTGGGTTGATGATTTTTTGTTTCCCAAGGGTCCGATGGTTGATATGACAAGATATTATCACCCCACAAGGAAAGGCATGTTTACTTGTAAGTTGATAAGATAAGGAGTTGTCGAGTTTAGATTAGGTGTTATTACACCATTGTGCATAGGTGATAACATCTTTTTATTTTTATCTAAATGTGTCAGGCTGGAATACCAAAATCGATGCAAGGGCTTCAAATTATGGCAAGTGTCGTAATGTTTATTTTTGCAGCCTTTTCTAATGACAAGGGTTGGCCCTGACAAATTCTATTTTGACAAACAGGAACACGGATTGACTATGTTTTGGCATCGAAGGGTTTAGAGCCCTGGTTTAAATATTCCGACATACAGCCCGACTTTCGTGGTAGTGATCATTGCCCTGTTTATGCCGATTTTCACGATGTCATCGAAAAATGTGATCCTGTAGGCACCAAAATGGCTGATCATATTCGTGACCATTTGACTTCAGACATATGCAGCGATCCATGCCAAATTGCTGCTGTGAACTTTGAAGAGTACTCAAACAAGCAGAAAAAACTATCTAATTTTTTCTCAGCCAAGCGACCTGCTGATGATGATCTGGCCTCCCTTGCAAGTCAAGCCTCTACGATAGCTAGCCAGATGTCTAATGTTGACAGCAGCGAGACTGATTGTACCAGTCAGACTGTAGGTGTTCCTAAAACTGATTCCCCAGCCATACCAATCGTACTGTCAACGCAAGTCTCCAATCTGGATACTTTGACACAAGAACATGCCACAAATTCCGTTGCAACAGGGAAGACCGAGTACTTCACTACGAAACGGAAAAAATTATCGGTGTCAAAGGCGAAAAGCCCAGTCGACTCTAATCAGTCATCGCTTAGCTCTTTCTTCACCAGATCATCCACGAAAAACACATCAACGCCGTCATCTATATCGGACGGCTCCAATAATAATTCTCCTTCTGTGGCGGAAACATACACTCCACCTATAGATCATAAGCAAGATGAAGAGTTTGTGGATATAGAACAGCTGATGAAGCAACATGAGCAGACCGTCAAGGCTGGGACACAGTGGAACGCCTTGTTCACTCCTCGAAAAGTACCAACGTGCAATGTACATAAAGAACCCTGTAAGGAGTTTGTGGTAAACAAAAAGGGAGTGAACCACGGGCGTCGATTCTATCTTTGCTCTAGGTAAGTCAGTTAGGTCAATCGCTTCCCCTCCCCTCAAAAAAAGAAAAAAATCCAAATATGGTTTCCCCGCCTCACCGTAACAACAACTTCTTTACGTTTCTCTTCATGTGAATCTGACATATCGTTTACATGTAGGCCAGTTGGACCGCAGGATGGTCCCGACTCTAATGAATATCGCTGTGATTATTTTATGTGGCAAACGGAGCTTGACAAAAAGCGGTCTGGTAACAGCTACAAATGACTTTGAGAACACGCAGCTCTCTGGCATAACGTAACTTCATGCGGATCCCATGATAGCAGGATAAGAGATTGATCTGGGGCATGTCGTTTGGTTAAGAGCAACACATATTGTTTAATGTAATGTAGAACATACCAAAATTTTCCTGTTGACTTCCTCTATGTCATGTATAATTAGCTCAACATCTTTCAACTGTATCTTTAGCAATAGCATTGGTTTTTCAAAAATATGCCGTATTACTTTGGCGATACCATCTTAGAATCGGTTGTCAATTATGATGAATGTCTATTTCCACTTTTTGCCTCGGTACTTCGGACGAGATGGAGCCGTTTATTGGTGCATCCTAATTTAGCTTATGCTGCTGTGTACTTTTATATATCGTAAAGAATGTTCGATGCGGTTGTCTCTGGATATGCAAGTTTTTGTAACCAAATGACCTTGAAAGTTGGCCCAGATGGCTCTCAAACACATTTATGCAACAAGATGACACCTCAGGCACGTGATTCGGCTAAGGCCAGCAAACTACCAGCGTAACTGAATTTAAAATTTCCAATGGATCACAGTGAGTTAAAAGCTGCGAAGAGGTTTTCATTTTAGAATATTGAGCATAAATATTTAAGCTATATAGTATTACATGCCAAGCTATCAGTTGTCAAGAAAACAAACTTTACAGTCTGTGTTGGCATGCGCCTAGTCACAACTGGCCGCTCTGCAATTTCTGACGTCAAACGAAACGCTTACATTGGAACCAACACCTGCGCTGTTATTTCAGACCTTTCTTATTCCATTTTCACAAATAGTTAAAGTGAAGCAGCAAATGTAAAGAGTTGAACATTTCGGCAGGTCAAACTGTATTCCCATGCAGAGAACATGTTTCTGCAACACTTGAAAATGACTTCAGAGCTTTAGGCTGACGAAACAAGCGATACCTTCAAAGTAAACTGAATACGTGATGTTTGCCATTAAAATTCTCTAGTCGCTTTCAACAATTTGCGCTCACCACAAAGAAAATACCGCTAATTGACTTCGTCTTCTGATGTGCAAACGGACTATGTCATCAAAAACTTCTCTTGAATCTGACTCACTGACGAATGGTTCTTAATATCTAACGAAATTGATATGCAAAAATATATGCACTGTGGACCGCTCTGGAAACTTTTTGATTCTAGAAAGCATGAAGTTCGGATGTAAAACGTTTTTTCGCAACAAAAAGTTCTGAAAGAAGCGTTGATGGATCGCGCCTGGTAAGCGGTCGTACGTACGTCACAAATATAAAAATCTTTATGCTTGCAGAGTCGCTCTATGGTTAGAACCACATATTTAAATACCTTCTCTGGCTCTTTGCTTTGACATGCAGTACTTTCTATTTCAATTACCATATAAGAAGCTGGGTGTGTGCACAAGCTACGTCAACAAGTGGAAGGTAAAAACGATAAAATGTCAATTCAGCACAGTTTGTTTCCATGCGTATGGTTGAAATATAAGCCAATCTTTAGACGATGATGTGTGAGAGTGTTATTTCCAGACTGCATTATTCCAGAATGTTACATATCAATTGTACTTCTCATCATTATACTCTCATCGGCAGTCGAAATAGCAAAACTATTTGTCAACGCAAAGGACTGGAGTCACATATTACCATGAGAATTGACAAAATATAACGAACTAGTGATTATGCTTGTCAAAATGCTTGCGAGCAAACTTGTATTGAAAGGCGAGCTAAATCGTTTTCACATTGAGCTGCAGGCTCTTGTTTATGTAGAAACAGCTGCTGTTTGCGAAAAAGTATCAAATGCTTATTGTAACGGTCTGGGAGCAAGATTAGTGTATCCTCAACAATTAAACGTACAGATCGTTTCAATAGCCAGAACAGCAAATGATTGAGTTAGTGGCTCTTCTATGAGACTAACTTGCTATCATAACAGCCAAGATTTTGCTCCAAACGATGTTCATTAAGAGAGGATTATTGATGAACCCAAACATACTAATCGTTTTTATTCAATCTTGCTGTGTTTACAAGAGAAAAATATGAATTAAAATGGGACAAGACGGCTTTGATGAATCAAGTGATGCTCTTGTTCATTCTTTTGTTGATTTTTTCTTATTTTAACTCGAAAGAGAACAGAGCTATCTACTTTTCCCAGTTACTTTTTTAAAAATGAGTGCTTTGGAAAAAAAGTGCAGAAACGTAATTTCAAAGAAACCTCGCACTTAGAATGCATGTAGGAAAATGGGTTTAGAATACAACCAAACTGAAAGCGTAGCATAAAAAACCTCATCGCAATACAAAGATAAATTGATGGCATCAGTACACCAAAAAAAAACATCAAAATCGGCTACCTAATACTTCGTCTCAATTACACCTGGAGCTTCATAGTAGCGACCATGAGGGTTGTCAAGAAAACCCCAAGAAAATGGGTAATACCACTGGTAGTAGACTCAAACACCGAGATTAGTAAAACGTTGTGACTATGGTCACTACAGTACGATGTACTCTTTACTTACTGCCTAACGACTTCCGCTCAGTTGCACTCAATTATACTTTACAAACGGACCGAAACGTGAAAGCAGAGATTCAACTTCCCATGGAAGTATGGCTTTCAGTTCTATTTCTTAGGCAACACTGATAAATCATTTAACCAACTGCATCTATGGCCATTGAAGCATAAAAGCAAAAACCTATAGTTGCTCATCACTTCCTCTACTAATAATCAGTGCTTTCTATAACCTCTTTTCCTGACTCAAATAGATTACTGTTCGGTCGATCGTTAGCACAGCTACCATTTACAGCAACAGTTACCGGGTGGCCGTCCAACACCATGCATGCTAATACATTCACGTTACGCAACAATATGTATCACTCGACTCTGAAAAGATATTCGGCAGTAAACGGCAAAAGATGAGGTAAATCAAATACTAAGTCTACGAACCAAACTTTTTGAATGAATTCGGCTGGAAAGTAGAAAACGGAGGACCACTTTATGCCCATCACTTAAGACCGTATAGAAAGCAAAATGTAATGATATATTCTTTATATTATGTAGACTGTCATTGATTTAAAGCTTTTCTAGATATATTTAAATCTGTTCAAATAATACAAAGGACGGAGGAAACAGTATGTTTAATCTGTATGCTACTCTTATGGAGCAACTTATTTGAGGTGGTAGAATAGGAGGGTTTCGACCATGCCAAAGGTCTCATCAGATGGCTCTAAGGCTGCCATGACCCCTTTGTTGATGACTTTCACTCCCATAACACTGCTACGCAATGCTACAGAAGTGATCTGGGCTCCTAAGCATGCTGGCCAA